GAATTTTACATAGATGAAGAATCTTAGACACTTTCAATGCAGTGTCAGACTAATCTATATTTTCACATTTCAAATGATAGAAAGTATCAAGTACCTTTTCCTAATATCTTCCTTTCTTTCATTCACCTCCTCCATGTTTTCAATCTTCACCTTCATTCCTTCCACTTTAATTCCAACCAGCGACAGTTCTTCCTGCAAGCGTTCCTTCATCTTTCCTGATTCGTAATCCTCCAAGACTTCCAGAAACCTTTTGTCTGTCAAACAATGTAAGTCAACATGCAAACATCCTGGTCGAATGTCACGGGCGTCCTGATCATCGCGGTCTCCACCCAGAGCTTTTTTAACTGCAGTGTCGACTAATGGTTTTAACAAACTATAACCAGCATACAGAGCTCCGAGACCCAATCCTAGTTTAGTGATTGTTCCACACACTTCTTTTGTCACTTCTTTTGCAACTTCTACACTGTCAGTGCCGATGGTGATCACAAATTTCCCGCCAGTGACCGATGCAGTGGCTCGTAAAGCTTCTCCAGCTGCGGAAAATGCTTCAGCCATCAAGGAAACGTTTTAGACACAGAACTAAAAGACAAGAGAGAGGATCAGAGCTTAGGATTTGTGTCGAACTATTGAGATTCGATTGGTGCATCAAAAACACTGAATAAACACAATAATGCTGTTGCATGGAACCTCAATTGTGCGAGCAAGTAAGTTAAAGCAACACCAAAAGAATATGTTCCGTAAAGTGAAAGTCGATATGAGGAAACAAAGAGCAATTACATCAACAATATGCATTTATTAATCATTAACATTTTCACAACATCAATAACGATAAATGGAAACAAATTTAACGCCGAGAAATATTCATTTGTGAATAATGAAAAAACAATTGAAAGATCGTTAATTGAATTTCAAACACGTAAAAGTCGGTAAAGAAATGAGGAGGTCTGGAACCGGAAGGAATTCACACGGGAAAAAAATCTGGGTACGAGGTTGCACACGCCCCTTTCATAATTAATCCCTAAATTCTTTTCTTTAGTGTAAAGAGTTCAGCCTCGTCCCCGGCACGTGTTTTATTTAATCGGTGATTAATCGCGTAGTAATGTTTGTCTCGCGGGAGGACACGCACGAAGCGACAGCGTGGGGGAAAGGAGAACGCGCCTGGCAGAAAATTAAATTGTTTTCCAAAGGTCCTGATAAGCCCTTTCCAGCAACACCACAAAAAAAAAGAGCAAGAATACCATCATGGTAAACACTCCTTGACACCTGAATCTAAATTGGCAGCTGAGACCAAACCAAAACGACTTGCAAAAGCAAAACAAGTGCAGACTAGTAAGTTATCACATGATATATTTTATGTTTTTTTTTCATCCATCTTGAAGTTCTTGGGCAATGCATTCCAGGACAATATTTTTCAAAAATCTCTTCACATTCCACACAGTCTCTTCAGCATATATATCTGTGCAGCCTACAGTTGAAAGCAATATTCTAACACCTTAATATTGCTGACAAAACCTTTAATAATTGCCAATCTATTAAGGTGCCTTGAAATGGAGTGTAGTATAATTACCAATGAGTAATGATGCCATATTCTTAGAGGCTAAACTCTATCTTAATATTATCAGGTACCAGCAATCCATCAAGTAGACAATGCACTGAAAGGAGAAAGTTATCGGAGGACATTCATGATTTTGTGGTTGCTGCAAGTGATTCTAGTCCATTTGTCATTCAGTCGGAATTGATGAACATACTAGACCTAACGGATGTTGACAAGAATCGATTGACTAGATGTGTCACTTCTGTTTTTCCAAACTGCACTAAAAAAACAGTGAACTCAGATGACAAAAAACAGTAAGTAATTGAACAATATACTTTATATACAGTCATATAAAGAATGTGTAAAAAAGAGAGGGGGATAGGAAGAATATATGATACTGAAAAGGGGGATCATCAGCTATTATGCCATTTAAAGGAAGGGGGTAATAGGACTAAAAGTGATCTTTAATTAGATTATCCTTACAAGCTTACAAACAAGAGCTTAGTGACAATGTGACTATTTACAATAACCTACATATCCCATTTACAACCATTTTTGGTCGAGTCAGATCATTAATTTACATACACATGCCCCCCTCAATAAATTATGTACATATGGTTTATTGGCAAGGTATTACATAAACTGAGAATGGAGGAACATGACCCAATTAGTAAACATATGTCATCATGTCTCTTTGCCAAAAATTTAAGGAGTGCATTTTTTTTCTTCAGTCTAAAATTGAAACTTGCTCTCACATTGACAGTTTGATAATGGTGTTCCTACAGTAAAATGGGAAAAGGGTATTAGTGAAAATGACGGATTGCTCGAGGATACAGTATTTCTTCCCATTCAATTTTAAGTATTCAAAACTCAATAGATGTAGTTGCAGCAAATATTTTTCGGTATTTTAATATCTACTGAATGCTCGACGATAATTATGAATTTGTGATATTGGATGAATAAATGATGTATGTATAACTATAATGTATGTAAACCTGGCGAGATTCATATAGCCAAATCATTGGAACATCACCGTCAAATAGGACATAAAATTTGTGAAAAACTCACCTTTGAAAGACGGACTTTGAATAACTGCTCAAGACATGCCTTGGTTTCTTTCTCGTGTAAAAGTCTCCGCATCCTTACGGATTCTTGGCCGTCAGTCTACGGATTCTTGGCCGTCAGTCTGTGTGAAATCCGTATTGTGTTTCAAACGATAATGATGTTGAATGCCACTCTCTTCAAAAAACTTTTCAACACACAATTTATTTGGACACAACAACTTTCCTGTTTTAAATGCTGCATGTGCTGGTCTTTTCAATCCTGCAATCGCGCATAATACATCTTCGATTTCTTCGAATGTTTCTTCCGCCATCTTGAATGCATTTTCTGCCAGGCGCGTTCTCCACTTCTCCTCTCCCCCACGCTGTCGCTTCGTGCGTGTCCTCCCGCGAGACAAACATTACTACGCGATTAATCACCGATTAAATCATAATTAAAATAAAACACGCGCCGGGGAAGAGGCTGTAAAGAGTTTACGATCTACGAACGCTGTCTCCTTGGCTCAGCCGCTATTGATTTATTAGGGAACCGCCGCTGAGAAAATCTCGTAGTCGAACTTAATTTCCTGACCTAGCACTAGCCGCAGCGAATTTAGACTTCCCAGAAAATATATTGATACCTTTCATAAGACTAGTTAACCTGTGTTCAAAAAGCTCACTCTCGTACAGTCTCACCGAGTGCGACATTTAAATTCTGTTATTACTGATCAATGTGAAATTGTTATTCAACAGAAAGATTTAATGTAAAACAAGCGTTATTCGAATGGAAATACTGTTACGGAATCGTTACGACGTGATTGAGATCTCCCACTTAATGAGTTTGAGTCTGAGCGAGCTTTAAAATTAGCTTTACTAAAATACAGTCGCAACGCTAGCTATCGCTTCGACGTAAGATCGTGATAACTCTCTTAACAGTAAGCTATGGGCACAGACGGATACACTCAACATTTAAGAGAAGAAAGTAATTTACTAACTGAACAATAATTCCTGTGTGATGTGGCTGATATTACGCCATAATTCAGGAAATCCTCATCGACCATCAGGCTACCATATGTTCACAAATTCAAGAATAAATCTAACATCAAACCGTTCAGGAAACATTAAAACTATAATGCAGTACCTCATGTGTCGAGCTCCTTGCTTTGAACGTCGATAAAATCGATTTAATTCCGTGTATGACAACGACTCCTATAGTCTCCGACGGTTAAAATATGTGTTTGCTTGTTCACAAGACCATCATATATCTGGTGTCGTGTTTCCTGATGAGTGATGACTCTGAACTAGGGTCGGCGTTAGATCATATCGAACTAACGTACATGACGTCATAAATTTTGCAACAACGGAAGTATAATAACAGAAGTCTTACACGAAGTCTTTCAAGAGCTGGTTCATAAAAATGATAAAATAAAAATGGCGATGAATGATGGTACATTTATACATTTATAAATAATAAATGTACACGAAAGTGTAAATGTCTGTTACCCTCATACCCAGTATAGGAGTGATCATATACTTATGTAATAGTATCTCTGGCTTTACCTTAATTACGGTTAGGGTTAGGGTTATTGAAAATTTTATGACGTCATGTACGTTAGTTCGATATGATCTAACGCCGACCCTGAACTAGAGTGGAATCATATGAAAAGAATGGATTCTGAGAACGGAGTGTGAAGTGATCGGACAACGCCAGACAATTGGAGACATTTGAGATCTGGGATCATCTTGTTCCTTTGAGCTTATTCTTCGTTCCATCCACCCTCTCGTTCTGTTATGCCAGTGACCAGTCTCGTCTGCGACAGACAATAGTCAAATGTGCGTCATGAGCCCTAAAAGAATGTGGAATCTCGTAATATCCCTCAAAATGAATGTAATTTGTCTAAAAGTTCCCGATAGTTGCTTCAATTTTCTGGCACTAGAATAGGTTTAGTTTTACGCCAAGACCAATGTAAAGCTCGTTCTGATTCATGGTGAAAAAGTCGTCATTTCACATTCACGAGAACAAATATTAGCAATTCCTGGCTCATGAGAGTTGGCCTTTTGCCATAGGGTGGCAGACCTGACCAACCGTAGCCAATCCACAGCATGAAAAAATGCCAGCAAAATTTGGTGAAACAAAACTATTGCCAAAGACGTTCAAGAACTTGGTCAGTGTTAATTAGCCGTCACTAGCAAAACTTTTTGTGCCGTCCTGAACTATGGCAATATAAAAATAGACTGAAGTTTATTTCATTTCATTTTATTCAGTAATTTTGTAAAAAATCAAGTAGTTTAAAAATAATTATGCTTGATATATCTTATGTCACAATGATCAGTTCTTGCTTATATATATTTTGTGCCTCGTGAAATCATTATCCTTTCCTACAGATCCACGCCGCGCTTGTTCCATTGGTTTGTTAGAATGCATTTTAGCATATCAGAACTGCAGTCGCGTAACCTCGTTTGCTTGTCATTGGAGGTAATTTTCTCCATTCGTTGGTACTTAAATCTAAGCACTCGACTGAACTGAGGCATGTTTTAGTTTCACAATCATAACCACCCATGACAACGATGATATTACCAGTGATAGCTGCTGCACTTGCTGCTCTTTTATGATTAAGACAAGGTAACATCTTTATTTTTCCTGTTTTCACTTCGTACATGAATACTGTGTTCAATGTTCTGCCTTTCTCGTTATGACCTCCGATCAAAACTACATTACCTTTATAACTAACAGTAGCCATAGCAGCGATAGGAAATGGCAGTGGCGACAAAGTCTTACATTCGTTATTGTTAATATCGTATGCATAGACAGTGTTTTGAGTATCCTTTGTGTATTTTGTTGTTCGTCCACCAACAACCACGACTTCGTTGTCAATAATCTGACAACCATGGTAATATCTTCTCTCTGGCAACTGGGTCAATAATTTCGTCGTGTATGGGGGAGTTAGTTTAATTTCGTAAATCCCATCAGAAATGTTGTCTTCGTCAATACGTCCGCCAGTTAAAATTGCTTTATCTTCGTTACAAACAATCCCGTGTCCTCGACACTTGATTGGCATCTTGACAGGAGCCTCGATCCATTCTTGATCCATTCTCTGCATTTCAATAATGTCAGTAAACTCGTATCCAGTCCATCCCCCACTGACATATATTTGACTCTCGTATAGAAACGAGGCAGGAGCTTGTCGTTCGATATTCATTGCTGGTTCTGGTGTCCAGATATTCTCAGGCCAGCTGAACGATTCTACGGTTTTAAGGGTACACTTCTCCCCCCTCCCTCCGCAGACAAATATCTTTCGTCTTCCGGTAAATAAATCGCCATTTTCTCTTGTTTCGTTGCTTCGATATTTCACTTCTGACGTCATTCTATTCACCTTACGGTTAAGATCATCAATGACAACATTTTGACGGGCAACATCAGCCATCAACTTGCGATTTAACTCGTCTTTATTCTCCAGCTTTCTCGTCAACTCGTCAATTTCTTTCCTCATGAAACAAGGATGAGAACGACTTGACTCGGGCGTCACTCGTTGCTTGCACTCGTCACAGACAATGATACGGAAACGACAAAGTTCGTTCTTATGTCGGTCTTGCTCGTTTCGGTTGATGACTTCAGAACAGCCCGTGTTTGTACAACGTGTTGGTGAATAGCCACATCTCTCGACATGCCGATCGAGAAATTCAAGCTCGACCACTTCTCGACAACCACGGCTTGCGTGATCGCAACGAATCTTGAGACGCTCCAACGTTTCCATTAAAAATCTCGTCGGTTTGGCCAAGGTTTCTTCCGTGAGATGGTGTTGGCAAGTTAGACAGGTTTCGGAGGTTTCGTTCAAACACTTTTGAATACACGAGCGACAAAAATGGTGTTCGTTCGGGCATCGCACTGGGTCTTTGACCACCTTGAAGCAGATCGGACAAAATAGTCTATCGTCGACTTTATTTACGAATCTTTCCTCATCGTAACCTCCAAATGAACTTCTTCTCGCCATTTCTCTTCGAAACAGAATGAAGAAAACATTCACTATGTGTTTGATATCGTCGTTTCCATACAGGTCGTATATGCCTTGTCTTAGAACGATTCCTTGTTTGTATTAAAAGTGTTTACTATAGATCACAAGACCATTATATATCTGGTGTCGTGTTTCCTGGTCATAGTTGAGTTTTATGGAAAGAATGGATTCTGAGAACGGAGTGCGATGTGGCCAGGTCACGCAGCAATTGTGGACTTTATGAAATGTTGAATGAAAAATTGTTTGTTTAATCTTATTCTTCGTTTAATCCACCCCGTCGTTCTGTTATACCCGGCTGTCAGCGCAGGCGATAGTCAAATGTGCAAATGAGCGCTAAATGAATGTTAAAGTCTAAAATAAGTTGATAATAATCAGTACGATCTGACGGAAAGACAGTGGATGCGGGATGAAATATTTCCGTGCTGAAACTGGAGTTTCAGTTTACAACAAGGCAAATCTACGCAATGCTGAAAATCTCCTTTGGGTTTTAGTTTAGGCCGGGCAATATTTTACCATGTTCATTGACTGTGAAAACAAACAAATATACTTAAAGTTTGATATAGCACTTCAGAGTATATCTCTCTATCGTGAAATGAAATACCTCAATTTCATACTAAACATTTACTTAAAATGCGCACTACTGTTTTTCTAACTCTCCATGCATCAATTCATTAAGGTTTGCTCCGCTAGTCGACTAGACGAAGGACTTTAGGAAATATACTCTTCACAAACCGCTAGAAAATGTTATAAAATGGTTAGAGACGTCCAAGTAAACACATCGAATCAATACAATATATTTACAATTTAACACCTTTTACAACTTTACAACTTCGTCTAATACGTGTTATTACAAGACTCGCTGGTTGTAGATTCCAGGCCATACTCGGTAGTTCGTACCCAGCCCCCCTCGACGCGTTTCATACTATTTGGTCTTAATCGACTACTAGTTCTAAACGGAAAAGCGGTGTCTTTGCGCCCGCGTCGTGATGCCAGCGGATGATAAGTATCCAAAGCAAAGTTATAAGAATGAGCTGCTGGCGAGCCGTAAACATTCTTAATCAGCGAGTCTCTCCGAACACGTGTGGGATGGGAAGACGGTCTACGGGCAACTTTTGAGGGATCCGTTTTTCTTGACCGCGGCTCCGAGTTTGGTGTTTCCAGTTGTGGGTCTGTATTTTTCGTATTCGGGGACGAATCTCCGCCAAGTGTATCAGAAAGCCACTTTTGCACTAGGTCATTTTTACTCAATACCTGTCCCACGTCAACACTCCTGTTGCTAGGCGACGAGTTGTCGTGTCTATTCTTCACTCTTGGGTTGCTTGGCGACCGATTTGATGACGTTGAACTAGACTTTGGGGATATCGGTGCTGCGTGAACACGTCTGTTGCTAGGCGACCGGCCGTCCGCTGGCGCAGATGAGGGCGGGGACAATAACGGGAATGAACTTTTGTACTGACTTTTTTCACGTAAAGGCTCATTTTCTGAAGAACCATATTCGGGTGATGTCGGGCGAAGTCGGTTGACGACGGCTTTCCGAGTGAGCCTTCTAGGAGATGCTAGTTTTTGGCTGTACATTTCGGAATTTGACTGCGCATTTTTCTCTGCAATTGATTGGATTTTATTTACCTTTTCTCGCGTAGTATTATTGTCGTTTTTTTGAGGTGATTTTTGAGCTGTACCTCTCACGCCAGATGGGATTTTACCGGTTCTTTTTGTCGCATCGAAAGCTAAATTCATACCAAGCACGCTTGTCTCATTTTCATGGTTATTCTTATGCGAGATTCCCTCGCATTGTTCACTAGGATTAACACCCGCTTTGCTTTTTTCTTTGTTGGTCTTGCATAGATCGGTAGCAATGTTATCGCGAACTTTTTCTTTCGTTAATTTCAAATGCTTTCTAAAGTGTCTTTGAATCACGAGCGCTGCTTGTTTTTTGCGCCGGAGAAGCGCAATGCGCTCCCAATTACTGCGCAACTCGAATATTCTCTCCGTCTTTCCAGCCGCCACGATGACGCTTTGCGGCGCGCGCGATAGATTCTCGACATTCGATTGCGCAAACGTCAAACCAGTATTTCCCTGAGCCCGCGCGCTGTTTTCCCGCGGAGGACCAGTTCTGCTTAAGTCTAGCGAATGTTTCGAGTAAGTTGATCCACTTGTTGCCCTGCGTTCGTTATTCTTTCCAGGATTAGATTTAATCTCCTGAGATAATCTCTCAGATAATCTGTCCTTCGGATTACAGTTCAATTTGTGAGTGTCCATATCTTTTTCTGTTGTGGGACGTTTGGTTTCGTACATAAATTTTGCTTTTGTTATCTTCGCTTCCAAGCTAGTTTCTTTGAGATTTGCTGACGATCTTTTGGTATTTTCCAAACTTTTCTCATTATTACTATTCTTGATCAAACCATTTTCACTATTTTTGTCACTTCTTTTCTTATTTTCGCTCTGTTTCGAGGTGCCTTGATCATTTGTCAACTTGTTTTCACTAACTGCAAAAGGTCTCTTTTGATTTTTCGGATGTTGCGTTCTATGTCGTTCCGACCATTTGCGAAAATTCTTTTGAATAACCCGCGCAGCCCGATCCAACAGTCCGCTCGGTTGTAGGCCGTGTCCAATCATAAACTCCACGACGTCGTCATGACGACCGAGAATAGCGCAATCTAATGCGGTCAGCGGGGTTGATTTTGCGGAATAGTCTCGGACCCAACTGGCATCAGACAAAAGATACTTCACCGTATCGAGGTGTCCCATTCCAGCCGCATAATGCAATGCGTTTCGATGGTCACAATTCAAATACGATACTATGTCTTGGTTGTAGCTTAGCAACAGTGATACGCAATTCGTGTTCCCAGAAATCGCAGCGTTATGTAATGGTGTTCGCCCGTTTATATCACGCATGCGCGTTTCTGCACCTTGCTGTAGTAAATACTTGCAAATCGTCTCATTGCCCTGTCCGGCTGCAAAGTGCAAAACAGTACAGCCATTTTCGTCGCGATAGTCCAGACTTACGTTTCCCTGAAGCAACTTTTGTACATGCGTCACGTCGCCATGGTAACAAGCATTGAGCAACAAAATTTGCTCGGTGTTATCACATATTTCCATGTCGTAAAACAGCCCCGGGAACGTTCGTAATTGTTCGTCATCCGTCGTCGAGAGATCGCTCTCCGAGTACAAGTCAAAGTTCTTCTTCTCATCTTCCGTGATCGTACGTAACCCATTGCTAACTTCAGCTGTAGGCCGATGATCCTCCGAGTTCAAATCGTTGTGTACCGTGTCCTTTCGCTTCGAAGTTTCGCTATCGGTATTTTCCATTGAGCTATCCTGTCGGTCAATAGCTTCATCGTTTAATTGACTACATTTAGTTTCATTGTCTTTATTAAAGACTTCTGTGACGTCATCGTAAGTGACGTCATCATGCATATCATTTTTCTCCTCGTGTTCAGAGTGTTTCAAGTGTTCCTCTTTCGTCAACTGTTTGTGCCTTTCGATCAGCGGTTTCACTTTCTCTTCGCGCCTCCGGAGAACCAAACGCCTCAGGAACTTTTTGATCTTATCGGCCGCGAGGTCCTGAAGCCGAGCAATCGTCAACGCTCCGTTGTCCATGAGAAACTGAATCACGTCCTGGTGGTCAGCGGCCATAGCGAAGTCCAACGGTGTCCAGTCCGTGGACGTGACACGGTAATTTAAAAAGGCCTGGAAAGGATCGGATACGAGGAGTTTCACGGCTTCCAGTTGACCGTTGATTGCGGCGTGGTGTAGCACCGAGTAACCATCGTCATCACGATCGTTAACCAAGTCCGGGTTGTGGGACAGCATCAACGCCATGCACTCGGTGTGCCCCTTGAAGGCTGCCCCGTGCAAGGCCGTGCGACCCTGCACGTCCTTCTTTCCCGGGTCCACCCCCTGGCTGAGCAGCCACGTGCACACGGATTTGTGACCGGCATGCGCAGCAAAGTGCAGGGGGGTGCAACCGTTGTCGTCCTCAAGTCTGTGAATGTCCAACGTTTGCGACGAAAAGTCTGCCGGAGCCTCGCTGAACTCGCCCAAGTCCAAATTTCGCGCCGTCAGCCCCAAAGATCGGAACGCTTTCATTCGATTCTCGCGAGGTTTTCCCTCGGGTTTTACACCCTCCGGTGTTTCGTATCCCGGAGGTGATGACTTTTCCTTATGGGCTAAATTTGCTCTTTCATTCACGTGAGCAAACTCTGCTGTTCTAAGCGTGTCAATAGATACTACCGATTCTTCTCGGATGGACGACAAATGCGACCCGATTGTACCCAATATCCCCTGGTTTGCGTTGCTCTGATGTTCATTATTATCGATGGGTGTACCTGCTCTATCCATTAGAATATCGATAATCCTTCTATGACCTTGCTGGCAAGCTTTAAACAGTGCTGTTTGGCCGAGTTTATCGGGTTGCGAAATGTCCGCCGAATTCTCGAGGAGAAGTTGAACACATTCCTCATGGCCAGCAAAGCACGCGAAATGCAAGGCTGTCAAACCTTGATCGTCGCTTGCGTGTATGTTAAAGTAGCTCAAGTTTTTTAACATCAATTTGAGGACTTCCAAAGAGCCCTCGCTTGCGGCCCACATAAGTGCAGTTCGACCCTGATTGTCGGTACAATCCTCAAGGTTTTTATAACATTCCAAGAATCGCTTCATGATTTGCGCGTTGTCGTTTTTGGCAGCGTAATGCAACGCGCTCGCCCCAGTATTGTCCACGTGGTGCGCGAACACTCCAGCCGAGACGAGAATATCAATGAGATCAATGTCATTCCTGAGTACGGCGTAGTGTAAAACGCTGCGCGACAAGTCATCGAGATCATTCAACGCAGGCTCTTCGGCCATGCATAACTCGCGTACCAGCTCCTGGTTTCCATTAGCAACGGCCAAGTGAAGCGAAGTGCATTTGTGGCAGTCAAATTTGCGCGAAATGTGTCGATTAAGTTTTAATAATATGCGCGCAATTTTCACGGAATCTGCGTTGGGGTTAAGTGCGGCCATGTGTAGTAGACACCTTCCCTTCACGTCGCGTTTTGTTGTGTCTGCGCCTTCGCGCATAAGCAGTTTAAAATTTTCCAGCCGGTTGTAAAACACGCTCCAGTGTAGCGCCGACATTTGTTCGTTGTCCGTCGTGTTCAGAGTACGTTTGTTCATCATGAGCCGTTTTAAAAGTAACCGTAGACATTTAGGATTTGCCTGCATCGCGGCGTAATGTAAAGCAGTCCTGCCATCTTTGTCGCCAAAATTACATTCCAGATTTGAGTCGACATGTTCGAGAAATAATTTAATGAACTTTGGCCGGTCCAAATACGCAGCCCAGTGGAGTACACTCCTTCTATCGTCATCAACCTGCTGTATGCTCGCTCCGTTACGAACCAATAACTCCGCACATTCGTACCAATCGCCAAAAACCGTGTAAACCAACGCCGTGCGCCCGTATTTATCTCCCTTGTTGAGCGCTTGAATATCGCCTTGTTGCTGTAAAATACGTTCGATCGAAAGTTTGTCGCCATTTACTGCTGCCGTGTGTAAGTCGGTCCCGGTATGAAATGTGTTTAATGCGAGGTCGTCTATATTTAATTTCGGTGAATCCATTCCACAAGAGGAACTCCAATCGCAATTGTCTGAAATCTTTCAAGGACGAATGCGAATTGATTAATCTCAGTTATTTCCGCCATAACATATCAAAACAAATCATCTCAATGGCAACATAAATAACGCGTATGTAAAAAAAATTCACGTCTTCCTAAAGTTGTAAGAATTTTGAATCAATTCGTGTGACTTTATAGAGGAAATTATACATGACGCGTAAGCCTTCCTTTCTGTCGAGTTTCGTGTTTCCATGCTTTGATATTTTGATAAAAATATCGCATACCAGACCGCATAGAATAAATAGAAGCTAATTTGTAAGCGGATAGCTATACCTGTAAATTACCTGTTAATGATATAAATTATGCAAAATTCGTTTTGGTTTTGTCACCGCCGAAATATTTTCTAGTTTTCTTGTCTAACAAACCTGCTACAGATTTAAATCTTCGTATAAAAAGAAGGCTTTGCCTTTATCATTGAATAGAAAGCTTTTAAAGCATTTGAGTTCTGACCTGTTTTGGCGTGACGCGATTATATTGTATGAAGTTTACTTCACACAACGGGTATGAACCGGAAAGCCCATTAATTTCAAAAGAGTTTCAAGTTTCAAGAACGCTTATGAAAAAAAGTATATCTTTAGGCCTTTCGAAACAGGAAATGGCGTTTTATTGCGAATATGTAAACAAATATTCTATGTATGCGCAAATTTGGAATTTTGATTTCCGAATAAATTGCGCGACCCACGCGTGTGCCCACGAAGCGTTACCCACGCGAGGGTGACCCGAAGTCTCGTCTCTCGTTCATGAAAGAAAACCACGCGCAAAAACATGGCGAAGTTTGGTGAAATTCAAGGCGGCAATTTGGGCGAAGATTTGTACAAAAATCTCGAAAAATGTCGAGTTTTAGTTGTTGGAGCCGGTGGAATTGGTTGTGAGCTCTTGAAAACGCTTGTTTTGACTGGGTTTAACGATATTGAAGTGATTGATTTGGACACGATCGACGTGAGTAATTTGAACCGCCAGTTTCTGTTTCAGAAACAACATGTCGGCAAATCTAAGGCAAAAGTGGCGCGAGAAAGTGCAATCGAATTCAACCCTCAAGCAAAGATCAAGGCATATCACGACAGTATCATGAGCCCTGATTATGATGTGAACTTCTTCCAAAGGTTCTCGGTTGTTCTCAATGCACTGGATAACCGAGCAGCAAGGAACCATGTCAACAGGATGTGCCTTGCTGCCGGTGTGCCTTTGGTAGAGAGCGGTACTGCTGGTTACCTCGGGCAGGTTACGGTCATTCAAAAAAGCAAGACGGAGTGTTACGAGTGTCAACCTAAACCCCACCAGAAGACTTACCCCGGGTGCACTATCCGAAACACACCATCCGAACCCATCCACTGCATCGTTTGGGCTAAACACTTGTTCAACCAACTGTTCGGTGAAGCAGATGCCGACGAGGAGGTCTCGCCAGACGCCGAAGATCCTGAAGCAGTTGGTGACGCCGGAGCTGTGGCTAACGACTCTTCCAAAGATGATATACAACGTGTCTCAACTCAAGATTGGGCAAAAAGTATCGAGTATGAATCTGCCAGACTGATCCAGAAATTTTTCATTGAAGACATTAAATATTTGTTGTCCATGGATAAGTTATGGAAAGAAAGAAAAGCCCCTATCCCGTTAGATATTGAAAATCTTCATGAGAACTCGTTACCGGATAACGAGAATGGCTTGCCTGATCAAAAAATTTGGACAATCCGAGAGTGTGTTGAAAAATTCAAAGGATGCGTGGATCAGTTGAAAGAAGAACTAATCAGAAAAGGCGACTTCTTGGTTTGGGATAAGGATGACAATGCCTCATTAGACTTCGTTGTCTCAGCTTGCAACATCCGCGCACATATATTTGATATTCAACAGAAAAGTCGTTTCGACGTCAAGTCAATGGCAGGAAATATTATCCCTGCAATTGCAACAACGAATGCCATCATCTCCGGTCTTATTGTACTGGAAGCGTTAAAAGCCCTCCAAGGAGACATTGGCAAATGTCGAACTATATACCTTAACAAAAAACCCTCTGTTCGAAAGAAATTATTGCAACCATCACCACTTGTTGCTCCCAATCCCAAGTGTTATGTCTGCTCGACGAAGCCCGAAGCCAAAGTTATGTTGGATTGTGCTAAAGTTACTTTAAAAGCTCTTGAAGAGAAACTTCTCAAGCAAGAGTTTGGCGTCATTGCACCTGATGTTGAAATCGAGGATGGCAAAGGGACTATTTTGATCTCAAGTGAAGAAGGGGAAACAGATGAGAATAATTCAAAGATGTTAGCTGATTTTGGAGTCACTAACGGTTCTCGTTTGAAAATTGATGACTTTCATCAGAATTACGAACTTGTTTTGAACATTGTTAATTGTAGCAACATGGCTGACGATGAGGAGTTTAAAATCTTACAGGATGTTGAAAAAATGGATGATGATTCTACGAACAATGAAGAAGCTAATGATGTGATTGTAAGTGGAGATATTAACGAGATAACAATGGATGCTAATGAGCAAGGAATTGAAATTGCAAAGGAAAAGAGAAAGAGAAAAGCTAGTGATTCCTTAAGCGGTGATCCTGAAATTGCTCCAAAGCATGCTCGTATAGATTTAACGAATGATAACGAGTTGCCTGGTGATGTAAGCAAACAGCAGTTTTCATTTCATGAAAATGGCAGTCTAGTGTCTGAGGAATCAGAAGGAAGATGGGAACCAGGAACTGTGATTGATGTCGATGCTCTGTCAGGATCGGAGAGCGATGACCTAGGATCAGAACCTGCTGTTATGGTGATTGATGATGATGACAAAGATGATGAGAGTGAGGATGGAAAGCTAAAGATTTCTGGGGACAAAAATGGGGAAAGAGAAGAGCCTGTAGTTGTGGTACTTGATGATGATTGAGTCACACAATTTGAATACTCTACTGGTAGAAAACAATTGAACTTGTACTCGATAGAGCTTCTACAACAACTTTGGTATCTCATGCTGCTTGAGTTTAGTTTAAACAAAGCACCATTTTACACTGAATTTAAACCAAAAGCATGTACAACATTACATATTGTAATTAATATGTGAAATGATTATTTTGTTGATTTGTAAAAATGATGGCATTCTTGGCTTTCAGTTTTATATTTTTTAGTAAAAAGCAAGAAGTTGTATGCAGAATTGTTAAATAAAATAAAGATGTAAGTTGTTGTTAGTGTTGGTGGTAACTGGTGTAACTGATTACTGCTGATGATGTCAAATGCTAGAGCCTAGAAGTGCTGGGTTAGATGCATGATTATAAGCTGGGCAAAATGTTGAGTTTGCAATTTGCATTAGTTACAAATAACACTTATATGATTTCAAACTCACTGTCACTGACCACGCCCAACTGCTAAGTGGCGCTGACCTCCATATATTCTGAAGTGGCATCTTTTGACCACTCCAGATATATGTATAGAGTTAATCGTCGAAGCAAATGGCACTTTTGAGCGATGTGTTTTTCAAGTGTATCAAATAGCACCTTGCACAACCCAGACACTGGCTGCAAGATGTCGATGACCTATGGTAAGTTTTTGACTCCTAATTTCCTTGTTTTTTTGCACGAAATTAACAAACCTTTTCACGCGAACGCAATTCTGCCGCTTTCCTTAAAAATAACATCGTGCTTCCTGTATTTTGATGAGTGTAATATAATTAAACAGGAACGATTCCTGCTTTCTACCGCGAGGTTTATCAAACTCTCTGTACAGAGGGGTCGAGCAAAATAGACAAGGATGTCTTGCAAAAGATCCTGTTAAAAGCTGGCTTACCAATCGCCACTGTCGCAACGGTAAGAAAGCATAAACGTACTTTATAGTTTATACCATTGTGCTGAATATAGCTTCGGCTCTCTGTAGTATGACGATCGGTTATCCCACTGATATAGAATCGTTTTAATTGAGGCTTTAATGCCCATTTTTGGGGCTAATAGAAATATAATCGCTTTGTTGTGGGCACGTGCAATATCTTTCTGAATACATTTTATCAACCGTGAGATGGCCGTCGTTTGTGTTCGGATGAACACTTGAACAGTTGCTGATGTTTACATTATTTGCAACAATTTATACTAATGATAGATTTTCCCTCCGGAATTGACGGACGCAGCTCTAGAATACAAATATCCCGTATGAAGGTCTGTTCACACGATCCAATTTTGTTGGATCCAATTCACTTCTGATGGATGTTTTATAGTCTGTTGTCTTGATGTATATGGGCAGCAAATGCACTGAAGCCAATGCAGTATTGCTTTATCAATAACAGACTATATTTCATACGTCAGAAGTGAAATGGATCCAACAAAATTGGATCATGTGAACAGAGCTTAACTCAAAGATGTCCTCATCACCAGAGTCATGCTTGGGCGTGCTGAAATATGACATATTATGCCCAATATTTCCATTTGTGGCCACTTTGTGGATAATAAGAACAACCACTGTAGTCAACAGTGTCCCACAAAGTCTCGCAAATATATCCTTAAATATCAAGGGGCATCTATGGAGCTAGTTTAGGGTTGTTTTAATTAATTGATTGTGAAATGCTACTAAGGTGTTAGGCATTTTGGTTAATTGCTATTTGCTAATTATTTTCTTAGATATATGAAAGTGCTGATCCAAATCATGAGGGATCAGTTGGTAGAGATGGTCTCTACAAGGCACTTGCCCTAACTGCCCTTGTTCAACAGGGAAAGCCTCCAAACGAGAAGTTACTAGAAGGCTACATTGGCATGGGTTAGAATTATATGACTATTGTAGTTACACATAAATATATTGAAAATACTGGCTGCATTCATCACTTAACCCATTAACTGAGAATACTTTTCCACTGACGAGTAAAGTCATTGGGCATATATCTCTTGGAGCTTTGTCAGCTGGTGGGTTAACAAGAAACACGTACCAACAGACAGTTTTGTCAACTCTGACTCAGTCTTAACTGACCGTACTCTTTCACTATGAGGAAATCATCTGACGTTTGTGAAGTAAAGTGCTAAAGTAGGCAACATCTGGGTGCATTGCAAGCTAATGGGTTAACAAGAGACACTGACAAATAGTTTTGTCAACTCATTAACTGACACTACTCTTCCACTGATGAGTAAAATCATTTGGGGGCATTTCAAGCTAATAGTTGTTAATATCTACTTTTGAGAACTATTGACCTTTGAAAATATTACCATTTATATTCAACCACATTGTCCATAAAAGGTTGTATTCTCATTTTAACATACCCAGAGCTTCCAAGGCCAGAGATTGGTGACATAACCAACTTGAAAGAAACAACCATTCAGGTTCAGAAAAAGAAGAACCCCTCGGTCCTCGGCCTTAAATACGACCAACTCATCGCGATGGATACGATTTCTGTTGATCTTGTCCCAGAGAAGAAAGGAATTCTTCTCAAACACAATGAATACAGAGTTAACAGCCAGGTATTGCAAATCTTGGATATTTTTTATCTCCTTTCAACATGAAAAAGATTTATTGTGGTGTATTACTTTAAGAAATACAAAACGACAGTCAATCGACGCTACAGGGATTTTGAAGCGCTTTTCGATCTGCTACTTAGCCGATATCCATATCGAATGGTGCCAAAATTGCCACCGAAGAAAATTGGAGGTATTGATAGATACGTAAGATTATCATTCTAGTCCATATATATACACCAGTACTTCTAAATTCAAATATTTAACTAACACAAGTCATTGGCAGTTTCATAATTTGCCTTAAAACCAACAGTATTCAGGGACCGATAAATACAATTGTTTAGCGTTAGATTTAGTATAGGATAGTTTTCCATTTTGTGTAACAATGATTACACTTTTCACTTTCAGCTACTAAAGAGTTCATTGAATCGAGAAGAAGGTCATTGAAAAGATTTCTCAACATAGTTGCTCGTCATCCTGTCCTAAATGAGGATAAAATGGTTGTCTGGTTTTTAACAACAAAGGGCTCAGTAAGTTCTACAGTTTTGTGAATGTCAAAAGTTCCAAGATTTTTGAGTTTATCTACACCCAGATCATTTAATAAGTACAGTGATTTTTCATTCTGGTCTTGAACAACTTTTAAACAACTTTTTTGTTGGTCTTTTGTAAAGGACATTGGCGTGAAACTAAAAGATCAATTTAAACAAATCCCAGATGAGTTTATGATAAACCCTACAGCCAGCAAGTCAAAGGTGTGTGTTGTATTTGTAATATTCCTGTGAAAGGGTCTTATTTTATACTTTAGGGTGCTTAATGTCAGTTTTATGGCTGAAAATGGGACTCAAGATAGTTCTGAATGAACTAAATGTGTTTATTTTTAGGACCTGGTATCCAAGGACACGCAGATTCACTTTAGTCAAGCGAGGGAACAAATCTTCAAGGTTCATGATAGTTGTTTTTATCTGAAAGAAATTATGGATAGACAAGGAACTAGAACACTTAGTAAGTGAAATACCGCTCAAGTGGACGATTCGAGAGTCTATAGATTAAATTTAGCAAGAAGAACGCAAGTGAAATTCAACATCACAGCTAGAAAGAGCATTTTCGATTGAGTAAAACTACGAAATTTGGTTGCAAAATGCTTTTAAATTGGGAAAAATTACCCCTGTGAGTTTGACAAATTTTCCCGCCTCCCCGGTGTATTTTGCGCGGGAAAAATGGCCACTTTAGATTTAAGAAGTTGAGGTTATTTCTGTATTGTGAGATTGAGAAAGTTTACTAAAACGTAAGCGGTTACCAATTCTAAAATTCGACTTGCTTCACAAGCTTTGGCAATGGAAACGCGCATTGTGAGAGGATGTATTGATATGTTTTATAATATTTTTTATGGATGTATTGATATGTTATTGTTTTTTCAGATTACGCGACAGATATGCTGGACATTGCTAAACAATTAAAGTGAGTGTTACGACTGGGAAGGGAGGTGGAGGATGAGGGGGAGGGATGAGGGGGAGGGATGAGGGGGGAGGGATGAGGGGGGAGGTGGGAATAGTAAAATAGACCTTTCTCATAATGGCGTCAATCGGGGTAAGCCTAACCTTTTACAAATTCTTTTATTTTCTTGTAGTAATTTAAGTACTGATAAAACTCCTGTTTCTTCCTGGGCCTCTGGTACCAATACGAACTGGACCAACTTAAAACAAGGATTTAAAGGATTGTCTGTTCATTTTGAGAAGGCTTCAGAAGCTGCCGCTAAACAGGTAAACTTGTATGTACCTTAATCTCGTCGAGTACTGTACTCATATGTATCCTATATTCATCCAGTACTGTACTCATATGTACCCTAGCTATACTCATCCAGAACTGTACTCATATGGATCTCGCGCAGTACTATACTCATATGTACCTTGATATCACGCAGTACTATACTCATTTGTACCTTGATATCACGCAGTACTATACTCATATGTACCTTGATATCATGCAGTATACCGTACCTTAATCTCATGCATCTCTCTCTTCTCACAGTATTTGTTGGATGAAGAAAGTTCTGCCGAACACCTGGCTTACTTTCTCGACGTAACTTCGGCTTACAAGGTGCAGTTTATGGTTTCATCCAGTGTTGTTAGTCATCCTGTAGTAATCGTGAACATTTGCCACTTAGGATTTGTGCAAGCGATTAGAAAGCGGTGTATTGAAGGACCATCAACACGCCTTGCAGAAAATGCAACAGATTAAGAAACGCCAGATACACGCACAGGCCCGAGGCCAGGAACACTCCGCAATCGATGAGCTGGAGTCCAGAATAGTGCAACAGGAAAACGAAATCTCCAATATGGAAACACGAAATTCCTTCTCTCTTCATTGCGCGCAGCTGGAGACGCAGTTGGTTCACGCTAATTTTAATATACTTCATGTTGCACTCAAGTCATTGGTCGCTTCACAAGTCGCCGAACATGAGGGGGTAAGATGAGCCATGTTTCATGATGGTAGACAAAGACATAGACATATGTTTTCTGAAGGTGGAAAAACCAGGAAACATTGTTACCTGCCTATGTTTTATGGTGGACCAGGAATCTAATACGCTGCTTTTCTTTGATTTCCAGCTAACAAGCGTGTGGCAAGGAATGGTATCACATGCAGAAAACCTGCTTACAAATCCCGACCAACCTGTTTCGCCTCCAGCATCACCAGTATGAAATTAAAATAATTATTAAATACTCCATAGTTCAGGGTTCTACCAACTCTGTATGTTATACTAATGAAATTCTATTTCCAAAACATAAGTTTTTATAGATGTGTCCTGCATATAGAACTGAATATGTTTGCAATGTAATTGCATACGTCATTCAGTGCGATTAACACAGGTAATAATGTAAAGAAATTATAGATTTATAGCATTTTGCTAGATGAAGATGATGATTTTTAAATGCTTGTGTGTGCTTGAGCAATGTGGCAAATAACAGAATTGATTTCATGCATCCAGGTATCTTATTAAAGTACATTGAAGATTTAACCATATTTTGGTAAATTTGATATAAATTTTAATAAACTTTAGCGTCTTATCGTAATGTGCATTTCCATTATTTTATGACCTAAACTTATACTGACTAACTTAAATTAAACAAAATTTTCATTTTAGCCAAATTAACCCACACTAGATGTGCTACTATGACGATTACGATAAATTACACTCTTTCTATAAAGTACACACACTATTTCCACTGTATTTTTTAATTTTTTTCTAATTCTACACCTCATGCGAGTATTCGCCCTAGACTTTCAGTTTCCAGCACCCAGTTCCCTCGAGCGTCGCTCCACAATTTTAAGGTAAATTTACCTGACAGCATGCATATATAGATGATAATAGAAACCAGAGAAAAATAGTCAACAACATTGTCTGTTAGCAAAAATTAAATCCATATTGAAAAACAATTGTATTACATTTACATATATCGAGGTAAATTCAATGGACACGTGATGGTAACGTGCCGAACACGTGACGCTATCTCGAATAATGCTTTGGTACACAGAAAGTACTAAGTCGTAACAAATTTTAGTAAGTTTCTAGGCAGCTTTTTAGTTGTTTATCCTTCTCTAGCTTCTATCATTTTTAAGACAGAATGATCCAGGATTGCTGATAATTCGCACGGATCTAACCATATTCCTATGCAAACAAAGATTTGGCACAAATCCAAGAATCAAATCTGATCGCTTAGTCGGTTTCATGGTCTGGAGTATTGAATTTCCTCCTCCTCAGCGTTCAAAGCTTCAAGCAGCCAGTCGGATTGATTGTTACCACCGACTCCTGCTTTGTAATAATCTCCGTTGATTGGAAAACTGTGGTTCTCGTCTGGCGGGGATATCAAGCACTGCAGCAAAGCCATCACCAGAGAATATGCTGCGCAAACCGCGGACCCAAATTCGAAGACTGACCCCGGGCCATACAGCTGGTACGCGACCGAAACCAGCACCCCGCCCACGCCCATCCCCAAGCCGTAATACGTGGCAGTGAAAAGATTCTGCATTGATCGTTCGAAGCCGATTGGCGCTACCAAAACGGCAAGGGAGGTTGAAGTTAACCAGATCGAGCTTGACGTTAGAGCGTGAATGAGCTCTATCGGGATAATTGTCGCCGGTTGGGTGGCATATGTGTACAACATGAACCGCGCTGAGAAGCCGAACATGGATAAGAAAAACATCCAGCCATGTCCCAACCAATGTACCATGTATTTTGCCAGGAACAACAGGGGTATCTGCGCCAATCCCGATGCCATCACAATCAACCCCATGTGTAGCTCGTTACCCCCGAGGTCTTGCACGTACCAGAAAAGGTAGGTCGATACCGCAGACTGCGCTGTGCCAAGAATTGCCATGGCAACGATTGCGACGATGACATTCGGGTTCTTGCAAGCGACCTTCACCACTCGACAGAACTTGAATTTCGTTGCCGTTTTTCGAGCAGGAACGTGCATCATCAATGCGAATATTAAACCCGTTGTCGTAAAAAGAAGATGGAATCCAAAATGCAAGTCGAACACGTTTTGCGATAGCTTAAAACTGCACGGCAAGTTGAAGACTACAGCGGCGGTAACTAATGACATCACACTCCAGCCAATGACACCACAAAGCCTTTGTACATTGTAGCTCGCCTTGTGCTCTTTGATTATAGCAAAGCTCACTAACTCGTGAAGCGGTTTCGCAGGACTTGACACGAAAGTTCCCACAATCACGATGATCAAAAACGTTAAAAATTGTTTATCGAATTTCAATCCAACTGTATCGAATATTTCCTGCTCGATGCTCCGATTGTGGGCAGCATGATAATGCAGAGAATTGTTCGTGTTTACTTTGTCTAAAACGTGACGCTTTTGATCCACATGAACGCTGCTATTTATAAGAAGAGTTTCGTTCAAAGTTCCACTTATTTTAGCACAGTCTGGCCTGGATTCCCCTTGATATTTTGCCGTGAACAGGAACGCCGTGTTCGCCAAAGCCCCGAACAGCACGGCTAATACCAGAATGCATTTTCGCGTGTTCGTCTTGCTTGCCAAAAACGACAATGTTGGGGCAGACCAGAACAAGATCAGATATCTCGTAGCGAGCAATAGGCCAGTTTGGATGGCAGACAAACCATTGAGACGGAAGAATATCGGCAGAAAAGGTATAAGACACCCCAGACTTGAAGAATAGAAAAATACGAATAGTTTCGGTGTCAACAGGAAGCGATATGTCGACGAGCCATGGTTTTTATCGAATTCCAAATACATCTTTGAAATGAATGTCTGATTCGACTTTCGACTGTTCGTATCTAGAATAGGACAACGTTTACTCTAAATTGTGTTCAGCTGTGTTAAGCTTCTCTATAACATTCGGAATTTGTTGTACTTTCCTTCTTCACGATCCTTTCTTCAAGGTTTTTAAAACCATGGCAGCGTTTGGTACACGTCAAGTATTTCTCTCGTACCGAATTGGATACACGAATAAAAACAATGTAATTTGCATGCTATTAAAACATGCATTCATTCAAAATGCAAACATTGTTTACATTTCGCACGAATACGTCAAGGATTTGAGTATTTCTATATTTTACCAATGTGCAAATGATTCTCGTGATAACACTTCAAACCGACGTTTGTGTCGCTAACTCGTGACAAAGACTCTTTGTGGAAAAACGTCGGAAGTATCGGGAAGTTTTAATGCTTGCGTCAGTTTAAAAAGCATTTCCAGAGGCTAATTTTATATTGGTTTTGTGGTTATTTTACTTTTAATAGAAGAGTTATACGTGTTTCTGAAAATGCCGAAACATTTTGGTACTTTTGAAAGCAAAGAAGTTCACACCAAAAATAGCAACACCACAATGCAATGCGGTTCAATATATTGCAGATATTTGTTTAATTGTGCCATACTAAAACTTCACCCTCTAGTCTCTATGTACTTATGCTTGACCCTTACATAAAGTATCGTAATTCATGATCGACCTCCGGTCATCAGTACCACCGGCGCGTTTCCTCCGAATTGATCGACCTTCAATCCTCATCAATGTTCGGCTTAAAATACTTTGCACTTTTCATGTAAATTTTACAGTAATTTTCATCGCATCTCTCCAGGTAAGAAGTGTATTTTGTGATCGTACATGTCTGAACTATGTTCTCTTATTAATATCTCGTCCAATTGAGCGTCATACCTAGAATGCGGTTTAATATTGCACGTGCTATATAAAATGCTATATATGTATTATTTGTAATTGATTACGGCAGGTACAATTGTTAATTGACTGATGTTTGGTCTTGTCTACTTCGTTATTATTTTATGTTCAACACCCCCTGTTGTCGAGGTTGGCGTAGCTATAATGTACAGCCTTACGTTATATGTTATCTAATAAATAGAAAGTTTCTGAGAAATTTTATCAAAGCTTAAATTTGTTCATATTTTGTAGAATTTCAGGAAAAATGGATAAGCAGAAGCCGAGCTTAGATGCTTATCTCCAGCAAGATTTCCGCATTCCTGACCAGTTGGTAAGAGTTTACTTTGGTTTTTAAATTCTGTTGAAATATCCTGACAAGACAAACTCAATGATTTATAAGGATCAGGTCTGATAGCTTTGTCCTCTTGAATTGAATCTCAGCCAATGAGTGTTGGCCCTTCCTGACAAGAGCAGGGCTTCCAGGCCTAGTTACAAATCTTTAGCATGTTTTTCATTTTTATTAAAAAGAATGAGTGATGAGTTTGCATAGTGGGTATGTGTAACACATGGTACCATTGCAGATGAAATTTTTAAGCCCTGTTCCACTAAATAATTATTGCTGCTGTTAATGTATGTGATTTTCTAGGAAGTGATGTCAGGAAGCATTATAAAATTCCTGTAATGAATGATGTGTTTATATACTATGTACTAGGGTAACTAAAAATAATAAGTAGTGAACCAATCTTGATGCATTCTGTGTTATGGGCTTAGTGTATAATAAGGGAATATTTGTAGGTAATTCAATTAATATTATCTTTATTAAAATATCCAGTTTGAAGATAGTGATGTCGGCATCGAAGACATGTGTAGCACAGTTGAGATTGAGACGAGCGAGGAGGAAAATTGCAAAGCTAAGAATGTCGTCAATGATGGCGGTGATGTTACAACTACATCAGAAACTGTGCAATCATTCACTGTTGAAAACCAAGGTATATCACTTGTAATAAATTTGTGAGACATCTACAATTTTCATCTATACATCTAGCCATTTGTCAGACAGCTGTACATTTTTTTGGAGGATTGAAAGTAAAAAACATTGAAAAAATGACAGCAATGACTTCTGTGAATTTTATAAATATTTCAAAATAATTATTTTCACCAAGCAATTTCAATATGTCTGTTAACCTTTACAGATGCTGCAGTGAAACAAGCTTGTCCATCAGATACAATGGTCAAAGCAACAAATAGTGGTAAAAATTGTGCCTCGGTTGAATCAGTTGGCCAGGGTGAACAATCCTTACCCAGCACTAATACCAATGTACCAAGCACTAATACCAACATACCAAGCACCCAGACCAACACTCGTAAGGTAAACCCATTACCAACCCCAACCAGTCAAGTGATTGTTACTCCTGTGCCAGTTCGCGACACCATACCAGCGCCTCGATCAACCAACCATGCACCATTAAAAATGGTATCTGTACCAGTGAACTCTGACGTGATCACCCAAGGAAACAGCCAAGTGGTTTTAATTCCCGTCGGTGGAATGGACTCGTCGAAGCTCGAAGGCGCTCTCAAAGTTCCGCAGGGTCAGAAACTCGTGATCATAAAACCACAAGAAATCCTGAAGACGATTGAGGAAAAAAAGTTACAAAGTGCTTCGAATTCAGGTGTTGTCCTCCCGAACGTGGCGAGGAATTTAACCCAACAGGGAATCATTCTCCAAGGCATCAGCCAGACTGGATTTCAACAGATACCCGTCTCCCAGATGACAACATTGGGCGTGGTGGGTACCGGTCCGGTTCAAGCCGCCATGAAGGGTCTAGTCAAGTTGGCTCCGAAGAACGTCGCGCCGAGCACTCAGGTTGCTTCGAAAATCGTTCAAAGTGCCAATAATGGTAGTTCCTTGATACCTGGTGTCGTGAAACCATTTCGTCCAAGGGCAGCGGTGCAGGGTGTGGTGTCCAGCGGAACAGGGGCCATCAAACAAGCGCTCACGGGAAACCCTGGGTCGGTGGGTGTTGCGAACGTGCGACCCCAGACAGTCACCGTTAACAAGGCTCCAGTGTCTAAGCCTGTTAGTCAAGGCTCGGGATCGATTGCAAGTTCCACCGTCAGGCTGCAAACGATAGCAAATAAAGTCTCTAAACAAGCCGAAAACGAGAGCATCGGTGAAAAAATCGTGGCAGAAAAACGCCAGCTGAACACCACAACGCAAGTTGGAACGGTTGATTGTATAGCCTCAGTTCAACCAAACACCTCTGCGATCTCGCAGTCAAGTTCGCCCTCCTCCCAAAGCGCTTTGTCAACTTCCCACGTCACTCAACCACCCTCTCAAACCAGCGCGACGACACCTCAAACCAGTTTGACCGCTTCCCAAACCGGTTCGCAACTGCCATCTTCTAGCGCATCGTCCACAAACGTTCAAAGCGATGCAAAACCAAACTTGTATCAAGCGTTGAAACAGAAGTTGACAGAGGAGAGTTCATCGTCTGACCACGCCAGCGCAGATCACCGGAAACCACCAGAAGTCCCACTACTAGGATCGGAAAATTCAACGGCTTCGCATTCGTCTCAAAACGAGGCAGACCGAGGCAGTGACACTGTGTCGAAGAATGCCACCCCCAAGAAACTGGTTGTAACCTATGTTTCACCTGACACACGAAAGCTCGACCTTGGCGATCGAGTTACACCGCTGATTCAAGTTCCCGCCAAACGGGATGAAGTCAAGCGAAGTTTTGTCGGGCAAAGTGGACCTGCGAACGGGTTGCAGCCCAAAATCGTTCCACGAATTTCATCTCCGATAAGGCAGATAAAAACAGAAGATGGTAAAAAGCAAGCGGAAACACCATCGACGCATGCGCCCGCAAAAAGGCCTACGTCCAGCGGCGTGCACTCTCCCTTAGATGGTGGTGGCGAAATATCGGTGGAAAAAATTGTTAAAAAACGAGGTCGTCCTCGGAAAGATTTGTCAGCAAACACGAATAATGTGGTGAAAAATAAACAAAGTATTCGGAAACCCGATAAAGACAGTATTTTGAAGGGGTCATGGGGGGAAAAGACAACCATACATGGCCCCACCCTGAAACATGAGTTAAACAGACAGGGGTCAGCCCCTAAGAGGAGGGCGAACACCACTAAACCCAGTGAACAAATAAAAACAGTAAAAAACAAACGTGTTTCGAGCACCAACCCTTGGACATGTTCATTGTGCGGGAAGGTGCCCTTTATGTATCCGTTAGGCTGTCTGTACGGCCCGTATGACGAGGGGAGCGACCTCCTGGTGAAAGAGGAGGGTTGGGGCGAGGGTGAGATTCCTGACAGGGACAAGGGGGATGAGCCGCAACAGAAGAAAAGGCGTGGGTCGAGCAACAGCGACGAGGGAGGTGGTCTGCAGAAGGATACGCGGGAACTGTGGTTCCACGGAGAGTGCATGGTGTGGTCACCAGGGGTTTACGCTCTTGGAGAGTCCTTGGCTGGGTATAAACAAGTCGTATACGATGCACAGTCCAGGGTAAGGCTTTGTTTTGCGTATTAGATTCAATCATAGTCCCATCGACTATGATGAGCTACGATTTCTTATTGAGATTATTATTATAATTATTATTATTGATTATTGACACTCCCCTAGAGGGGCTTTTCAGTGACAAAAATAACAAACACATAAACTTACTGTATTATTAATACATTTAGTCCTACTTAATTTGATTGAAGCACATTACTAGCAAACAAGGACAATTTCACAAAACTGCGGCAAGGACTTCAACGGGAACAATGACAATAATACAAAAACAGTGACATCGACAACGCTTATTAATAGTACACAAATCTTTTCAATTTTGCGCGCTGAGTGGATTTATTCATTGTCTGTGAGCTTTCATGTCAGAAAAACTCCGCTCCGCGCGCAAAAATTCCGCCTAGTGTAAAACAGACTTAAGCGTGCGAGGTTTGATCAGGTGATGTTGTTACGATTGCTTCGTTTTTCAGGAAGAGTGAGATCATCTGCTGGTCAAGAATATTTGAATTAAAAGTCATATTTTTGTTTTGTAGAAATGCGACTGTTGTGGAAATAATGGCGCCACCCTGGTTTGTCTGCAGAGAACTTGCAAGAAACAATATCACTTCTATTGCGCAAAGAGAAGAGGTATGTCGACGTGTAGTGTCGCAGCGCCTCGCAAGAACGATTTTCACTGGCTGAACTTTACAATACATTTCTGTTTCAACCAATAGCATAGCTTCGTTCCTTAGAATGCATAGGAAAGCATTATCCAATTGCACGAAAGCTTCTGAGCACTGCGACATGTCCCGACAATAGACATCTCCCTTTTTAGGTTTCAAGCGTGCAATACGCGACGGTAGTTGATTATCAAGGTCAATTTGGGTTGTGATCTCGCCATGTTCTGGAGCGATTTAGTTTAGCAAAGAAGCAAAAAGAATCAGCAAGGTTTTCTTACAATCGCTTCTAAGCAGAGCGATATCGCAACTCAAATTTGCTTGATAATCAACTACCGTCACGCACTGCGCGCTTGAAAACTAAAAAGGGAAAGGTCTATTAAGACCGGACATTTTTAACGGTGTGATTGCTGCACAATTTTCTATATTTGATATAATTTCTCCGTTTCTCTAAGGTTGTGTATTTGACGAATCGAACTATACGATTCAGTGTGGAAAACATGTAAAGGTGTGTGTATTATCGATTGTCATTTTAATAGGCGTAAAGATATTAGTTTAGGTTTCCTCCTGTAGTAACACTGGATCAATAAGAGATGATCCTTACTGGACCTCTAGGAAGAACAGTTTAGAATTGATAGAGCTATCCAGTGCAAATAAAGTTAGTTTAGTTTAGGTTTCCTCCTGTAGTAACACTGGATCAATAAGAGATTATCCTTACTGGACCTCTAGGAAGAACAGTTTAGAACTGATAGAGCAAATGATTGAAAAATGTAGGAACAAATAGAAAAACCTTGGTTAGATTCTTTATCACAATGTTAATTTCTTTATACAGTAAACAAAGATTCACCTTAAAAAGAGTTAACCGAACGTGCGAGGTCAGGTGAGGCTGATATTAATGTGATGTGATAACCTTTTACACGATTTAATCTGGAACTGATTGCCCTCGATTGCGCATGCGTTTCGAAGTTGACTTTTGGGGGAAAGGCGTGAAATGGCGTCAGATCTTGTGAACAAGACAATGGGTTGAGATTTCTTTGCTACGACGTTTATACTAGAAACCAGACTAGTTGAAACGGGTTTGTGTCTAAAGATGATTGATTGCTTATATGACTTCGGTGTTTCCACATGAAATGATGGATTTGCTTTTTTGAAATTGAATAATCGCTGGCTTCCCAGCTGATCTGATAAAACACTCGACAATAACAACTATCGAAAACGAAAATAGAACTATTAACTTTCGAGGACCTTTGTTGTAATATGTATAGTTGCTGTATCTAGTGTATTGTTAAATCATTGGGTTTGCTACAAGACTCGCTCCAAGTTTCTTTCGCTCTCTGAAGATATAGATCCAATATAGTGTAAATAACATGACGTAGCTGAAAGTGGCAGAGCGGGAAAAGAGATTTGTCAACTTCACAAATTTTCTGTTCAAAATTGAACAGAAACTTTCTGCTGTTGATTTTTCTTGCGCGAAATGCTATTTGGTATTGTAAATTATGGAATAGCATTAAAAACACCAGCTGGAAATCGCTATGCTGGGATTTATCGCTGATATGAACACCAGGGATATAAACAGCCCAGTGATCTCTAATAAAACTGGAACGATACTTCCAGGGGGGATGGAGCGAGTGCAATTCAGTTTTTCTGAGCAGTGAGCAGAAAAACTTAACGCTGAGCACTGTGCTATAATAAAACTGGAGCTATTAAAGTACTCTATCCCCAGATGTCGGTCCAGTTGTACAGAGTTCACCTGGTAACTGAAATACATTTTTATAAACGTGCGTTTTTTATCGTACTTTTTTTCGCTCATTCGTCGGGGCTTTTTCTTTATTATTTTCAACTACTCAAAACTAGTAACAACAGGACGTTTAATAATTTACAGATTTCGATGTATGTCACTGATATAAACCCCATTTAACGCTTAAGTTAAATTAACCGAGAGAAAATTGCTCCTGGCAATGTCCAGTGTTGATTTTGGAAAACGTTTTCAACCATATTTCGTTGTTCAGCGTTCGTAATCTTTCTGGAAACTTTTCCACTTGCTTTCAACGTCTCTTCTCAGTTTTGTGGTAAAAATTTATCCAACATTTTAAACTAACCAGCTCGTTTTTCGTCTATTATTATTATTCAACAAAAGCATTTCTAAGATTGTATTTATTTTATATGTACAAGATTTCGTTGGGGTTTGTCGTTCGTGTTAAATGATCGAGCACTTTGATTTCTCGGCCCAGGGATTCTCTTTCTTGTCCACTGGTGTGATCAGGGGATCCGAGTTGATGTTCTTTTGACAGTAATCCTTTAAACTAAACGAAAAAATATTGTTTCAAGTTACTTCAGAGTTCAGTCAGGTAGAGCCAATGTCCTATTATATCCAACATTATCCATAGAAAAGATACTCTACAATATTGGATGGATATCCAGTGTCGTCCATCACTACCCATCATAGTTGCTAAATAAGGCCAACTATTTTAGGGGATTTTGTACAATATCAGGTGAAGATTTTTTGCAATATCATATTATATCCAACATTATCCCTCATTACCCATCACACTAGACAAACGGGACAATAGTGGGTAAAGACTTGACAGAGTCAATCATATGTCCAACATTATCCTTCGTTACCCCTTACTCATCTTCAGTACCCAAACTTTCAACTTTGGGTTATGTCGTAATGTCGTAATACCTTACTTCGTTTATTTTGTTGTTAAACCAGCACTCAAACAGCAAAGCGTTCTTATATCCCTAGATGTTTTTGAAAAAAGTTTATTTCTTCTGGCAAAGTCCTGCACTTCAAACTGCCGGATCTACATAGCACTCTTTTGAGCACCTTTTAACACTGGCAATTTTTCTCTGACGTAAAACTGAAATTAGCATTTCTTGTCTGCACGCATTTCTCTTGACAGACTTCACACGACTTCCCTATATACGCACAGGCACCTAGCACATAGTATTGGGCAAAAAAATTTGATCGTATAAAGACCGTCTTTCTCGAATACTAGTACCTACTCGAGTTTCTAGGCTGCTGTAATATAGAAATATCACAATGGAGCATCGTGTGAACAACTGTTCCCGTGCTCAGAGCCTTGCATACAAAAATTCCTGCTGCGATCATCAAAACGTCGAACAGTCACACAAAGAAATGAATAAGGGCCTTTGCAGTATGGTTTTCACACTCGCGTTGAATTAAGGCTGGAAGAAGTTGTAGGCGTTTTAGGACTTGATTTAAACTTGTCTTTTGAACTAATAAAACCTTTTTATTGCGATTAAAGGAGATTTTATCGGCTGTTTTTATCCCACGGGGTTAAACTGATCTTACTTGAGCTTGCCCCTCGAGCAAATGGATTTCAATTGGTAACAAACTACGAATGTATCAATGCGTTACAATAGCAATGCAATGTTACAATGCTTAATATGTTACATTAGATAAGTGAGGGAAGGCTTGCTTTTGACCGACTTTCATTTTCTGCAAGGTTTTTTTTAAAAGAGCATGCTGATATCCACATGTTCCTTGGCTTGGGTCTTTTAGCTTTCGAGGAACTCATTTTTGCGAGGCAGTAATTTGTTAGCATATATTTTGCAAGGCAGTCATTTTTGTTGAATTTTAAATCATCATCTTCGATTGAAAACCGAATTATTTTTGACAATATGTCCGATATCTTTCAGCTTGCAACGAATCATGAATTTGTTGACAAAATGAGACAGCAGGCGAAAAAAAAACTCGCTTTTAAGACTCGCTTAAGTGAAGTGATGCGGCATTAACAAACAAATTTGCAACTTCTTGGAAGCAAAGATGCGTGTTGAATAGATGGCTTAACGCGGCTAGACTTGCGTGTTGAATAGGTGGCTTAACACGGCTAGACTTGTATATTAGGGCTCTTTAATTCTTCAAACAATCGCACAGCTGAACCTGTGCTATTCAGCTATTGTGTTTTGTAAAGCTGACAGATTACTAGCGATTAAGGTGGTGTTTTAGATCATGAGGTTCATGTATATATTGCATGGACTTCTCGTGCAAGGTTTAAAACATTTCGTGCCGCTTTCCGGAACGAAATTTTTTTATTGCAAATTCAAAATAGGACCGCCTCGCAATTTCGTCCGCTTAGAGGAACGTGCGTTCAATTTTAACAAATCCTGAAAACGAGGTTTCATTCGATTTCCAATTGAATTATTATTCGAGATTTAAAAGGGGTAATGTTATCGTCCACCATTTCTGAGGAAAAACTCAAAACCATTTTGCTACATTCCCTATTTATGAATGCAGTGATCTATACAGACCAGCTTTCTAAACAATAATTCGTTCCTACATTAATGTAAACAAAATTTTAATTTAGAAACTTGGGCCTTATAATTCATGATTACATTCGATTACACTTCAGAGGACAGTTGTTCGAAAGGCGTTTAGCTTAAACGGTGGATAAGCCAAAGTTTAAAAATACTCTCATATATCTTGTGAATGACTGTATCTGCATGTTATGCATTAAATATGTACTTCCATTGAAAATTAAACTATTTACATCGAAATATTTCAGCTCAGTTGTGCAATAAATAGATCATTTTGTTTTCCATTTTGAACTTTTCCACCGTTTAAGCTAAACGCCTTTCGAACAAAACTGGCCGCTGCATCTCAACGAAACCAGTTTTAGACGTATGCCTTTCAGCAAAATATTTTACGGCTTGTAAATGCTTCCTGGGTTTTTTTCGCAATTGAAAATCATGAATATATAAATATATATCTATAAAGACTATATATGTGTTTCGAAACAATCGTTTTCGTGCAAATTTAAATCCGCATCTCAAGGTAAAAAGTGAATTATTTTAAGACGAATGAAATCGATTCGTTTGAAAATGTTCTTTTTTGGAGACGTTTAAATTTTGGAGAATTTTAAAAGATATCGAACATACGTAAATTATAATACAACATGTATTTATATGTAAATATATTATCTCTGCCTTAGTGTCTGCTGTCTTTTTAATCCGACCTGCTGTAGAAAAAATGGGATTGGAATATCTGAGTGGTTTGGAGAACTGTTACGTTTAGGTGCCTTAAGGTAACTGGATATTTCTGGACGATTTGAGGGGATTTTTTGATGAAAACAGAAGGCCATATTATCGAAATAGCTGATTTGCATTCGACAATTGTGTTGACTGTTATATGCAAAATTGCAAGACTTGTCGCGGTTGGGTTCGCTCAGAAATCTTACACATCTCAGGATTTTAACGTCAGAAGAATACCATGCCTTATATACACTGCCGATTTCGTCGGAGACATCGACGGTTCGCGCAAAATACAACTTGATACATTCACAACACCGCGATATACTTGCATTTTCATCCTTACAGCGAGGAATATATCCCTACTACAATATTATTCGATCTTTGTAGACGATACACTGCTTCCCTTAACGTACACTATATGAGTCTCTTCTTTATCTAAACCAGCCGAGGGAAAGATACAGAAAGGTCAAGCCGTTTGCATCGTGTTTAAGTCGACAAATGCGGCCGTCAAAATGATATACAATTGCAAAAAACCTTTGTGTTTATGTATCTAGCTTCACTTACTCGTTACAAGCTTTCGACATTGGAATCCGCGATATTTGTAGCTGATGTTTCAGGCTTTCCACAGTCTTTTGTAACTGAGTTCTTTCCATATCGGCGAAGCTTATGGCGAGGGTTTTTCGCAGGCGTTTTATTACTGTCCTTGTTCGAGGCTTCCTGGCAACAGAATCTTGTGTTATTAGACTCGCCCTGTATTTCACAAGCACTACCGAGAATTCCTAATGAAAATTTTAATCAGTTGCTTTGTTGGGAAACATTTGAATACATAATAGTCCAAATGGCGTCCGAGCAGATGGCCGTCACGCCGTCAGCCAATCACAGCGCGACGATTGCTTATTGTACATTCAAATGAGCGATGGATTACAAATGTGTTTAATAAACAGGGGGCGGTTGTATGATAGCTGGATAGCGCTATCCACCGGATAGTGATTTTTTCAACCGTTCTATAAATGCTTGAAAAGCAATAAAATTTCAGCTTTGGGACCAAAAATTGTTAAAGAGGATCCTTAATTTAGGAATACTAAGATTTAATCAAAGTTATAGCCAACAACGGTCGACTTATCCGATGGATACCGCTATCTGGCTTCCATTCAACCAGCCCCAGAAGGTCGTCTAGTAGAGCCGTCCACTGCATAAGAAGATATAGTCACGTATAGTCACATATATTTTTAAATGAATTAAGGGGATTAAGTTAGTTCAGACAAACCACGGCAGCTTATTGTAGAATACTACCTACACTGGACCACCACGTTTGAGATATCTTTTTCAGGTAGTTCAGACACAAACCACGACAGCTTACTGTAGAATACTACCTACACTAGACCACCACGTTTGAGATATCTTTCTCAGGTAGTTCACACACAAACCACGACAGCTTATTGTAGAATACTACCTACACTGGACCACCACGTTTTAGATATCTTTCTCAGGTAGTTCACACACAAACCACGACAGCTTATTGTAGAATACTACCTACACTGGACCACCACGTTTGAGATATCTTTCTCAGGTAGTTCAGACACAAACCACGACAGCCTACTGTAGAATACTACCTACACTAGACCACCACGTTTTAGATATCTTTCTCAGGTAGTTCACACAAACCACGACAGCTTATTGTAGAATACTACCTACACTAGACTACCACGTTTGAGATATCTTTCTCAGGTAGTTCAGACACAAACCACGACAGCTTATTGTAGAATACTACCTACACTAGACCACCACGTTTTAGATATCTTTCTCAGGTAGTTCAGACACAAACCACGACAGCTTATTGTAGAATACTACCTACACTAGACCACCACGTTTTAGATATCTTTCTCAGGTAGTTCAGACACAAACCACGACAGCTTATTGTAGAATACTACCTACACTAGACCACCACGTTTTAGATATCTTTCTCAGGTAGTTCACACACAAACCACGACAGCTTATTGTAGAATACTACCTACACTAGACTACCACGTTTGAGATATCTTTCTCAGGTAGTTCAGACACAAACCACGACAGCTTATTGTAGAATACTACCTACACTAGACCACCACGTTTTAGATATCTTTCTCAGGTAGTTCACACACAAACCACGACAGCTTATTGTAGAATACTACCTACACTGGACCACCACGTTTGAGATATCTTTCTCAGGTAGTTCAGACACAAACCACGACAGCTTATTGTAGAATACTACCTACACTAGACTACCACGTTTGAGATATCTTTCTCAGGTAGTTCAGACACAAACCACGACAGCTTATTGTAGAATACTACTCACACTGGACCATCACGTTTGAGATATCTTTCTTAGGTAGTTCAGACACAAACCACGACAACTTATTGTAGAATACTATACCTACCCTAGACCACCACGTTTGAGATATCTTTCTTAGGTAGTTGACCGTAGTTCAGACACAAACCACGACAACTTACTGTAGAATACTACTCACACTAGACCACCACGTTTGAGATCTCTTTCTTAGGTAGTTCAGACACAAACCACGACAGCTTACTGTAGAATACTACCTACACTGGACCACCACGTTTGAGATCTCTTTCTTAGGTAGTTCAGACACAAACCACGACAGCTTACTGTAGAATACTACCTACACTGGATCATCACATAAGCTTATGTGCCGAAAGGGTAGGCATTAATCTACGATAAAATAAGTGTAGGTCCAGTGTAGGTAGTATTCTACAATAAGCTGTCGTGGTTTGTGTCTGAACTACCTGAGAAAAATATCTCAAACGTTGTGGTCTAGTGTTGGTAGTATTCTACGATAAGCTGTCGTGGTTTGTGTCTGAACTACCTGAGAAAAATATCTCAAACGTTGTGGTCTAGTGTTGGTAGTATTCTACGATAAGCTGTCTAGACAAGTACACAAAACGAAAACACGTTCCAATATTATAAACAAAATACCACAAAAAACAGGTGCCTACCAGGTTTCTGGTTAAGTCGCCAAGGGGAGGTAAAATATAAATAAACCGCAGTTGTCTAGTTTGGTGTTAACGTTAGAAACGGTTAAACAAAACAGACTCTTGCCTACGACGCAGCGTGCGAAAATGTCTTTAAAAAAGATCGTTATCTTCGCCGTCTTATTGCAAACTTTTCATCTCGCAAGCTGCGACCTTTCCCGTGTAAGTCATGACAATATGAAGGCGATCAATTGGGGTCTTCCTTTGGCGGGACATAAGCTCGACGCGACGCCGATAGCAACAAGCAAAGTTTCAAATCGAATTCAATGCATGGCAAAATGCATCAAGACCCAAGGATGTGTGTCTATAAACCTCGGGCCAAGCCAAGCGGGTGAACACGAATGCGCGCTTCTGGACACAACTCGTTACGGCGCTTCTTTCTCGAACTTAACTGTAGCCGTTGGCTGGACCTATCTTGGACCAAAGGTATTTTTAGTTATGAAATTTTGGCTCGTTTTAGATGTGAAATTTTGATGAGCTGAACTCGTGGTCCTTAAGGCTCTTGATGTTTTTAAGTTCATGAAATGTTTTTAGACTAAATGCGATACGAATCCATGTGCTGACAAAGACGAAATTATGTGTATTGAAAGAGAAAATGACCACATATGTGTGAATGTAACCAATGGTATGCAAACACTCTAGTGTAAAAAACGAATACTTTTTTTTTCTTACTTGAGTTAAGGGGACAGTTTCTTCCTGTAGTAACACTGGATCAATAAGCGATCATCCTTACTGGACCTCTAGGAAGAACAGTTTAGAACTGATAGAACTATCCAGTATAAAAAAAGTTAGTTTAGTTTAGGTTTCCTCCTGTAGTAACACTGGATCAATAAGAGATCATCCTTACTGGACCTCTAGGAAGAACAGTTTAGAACTGATAGAGCTGTTATCCAGTATAAATAAAGTTAGTTTAGTTTAGGTTTCCTCCTGTAGTAACACTGGATCAATAAGCGATCATCTTTACTGGAACTCTAGGAAGAACAGTTTAGAACTGATAGAGCTATCCAGTATAAATAAAGTTAGTTTAGTTTAGGTTTCTTCCTGTAGTAACACTGGATTCAATAAGCGATCTTACTGGAACTCTAGGAAGAACAGTTTAGAACTGATAGAGCTATCCAGTATAAATAAAGTTAGTTTAGTTTAGGTTTCTTCCTGTAGTAACACTGGATTAATAAGAGATTATCCTTACTGGAACTCTAGGAAGAACAGTTTAGAACTGATAGAGCTATCCAGTATAAATAAAGTTAGTTTAGTTTAGGTTTCATCCTGTAGTAACACTGGATCAATAGAGATCATCCTTACTGGACCTCTAGGAAGAACAGTTTAGAACTGATAGAGCTATCCAGTATAAATAAAGTTAGTTTAGTTTAGGTTTCATCCTGTAGTAACACTGGATCAATAAGCGATCATCCTTACTGGACCTCTAGGAAGAACAGTTTAGAACTGATAGAGCTATCCAGTATAAATAAAGTTAGTTTAGTTTAGGTTTCATCCTGTAGTAACACTGGATCAATAAGATCATCCTTACTGGACCTCTAGGAAGAACAGTTTAGAACTGATAGAGCTATCCAGTATAAATAAAGTTAGTTTAGTTTAGGTTTCATCCTGTAGTAACACTGGATCAATTAGAGATGATCCTTACTGGACCTCTAGGAAGAACAGTTTAGAACTGATAGAGCTATCCAGTATAAATAAAGTTAGTTTAGTTTAGGTTTCATCCTGTAGTAACACTGGATCAATTAAGAGATCATCCTTACTGGACCTCTAGGAAGAACAGTTTAGAACTGATAGAGCTATCCAGTATAAATAAAGTTAGTTTAGTTTAGGTTTCATCCTGTAGTAACACTGGATCAATTAAGAGATGATCCTTACTGGACCTCTAGGAAGAACAGTTTAGAACTGATAGAGCTATCCAGTATAAATAAAGTTAGTTTAGTTTAGGTTTCATCCCTGTAGTAACACTGGATCAATAAGATGATCCTTACTGGACCTCTAGGAAGAACAGTTTAGAACTGATAGAGCTATCCAGTATAAATAAAGTTAGTTTAGTTTAGGTTTCCTCCTGTAGTAACACTGGATCAATAAGCGATCATCCTTACTGGACCTCTAGGAAGAACAGTTTAGAACTGATAGAGCTATCCAGTATAAATAAAGTTAGTTTAGTTTAGATTTCTTCCTGTATTAACACTGGATCAATAAGCGATCATCCTTACTGGACCTCTAGGAAGAACAGTTTAGAACTGATAGAGCTATCAAGTATAAATAAAGTTAGTTTAGTTTAGGTTTCTTCCTGTAGTAACACTGGATTAATAAGAGATTATCCTTACTGGACCTCTAGGAAGAACAGTTTAGAACTGATAGAGCTATCCAGTATAAATAAAGTTAGTTTAGTTTAGGTTTCTTCCTGTAGTAACACTGGATTAATAAAAGATGATCCTTACTGGACCTCTAGGAAGAACAGTTTAGAACTGATAGAGCTATCCAGTATAAATAAAGTTAGTTTAGTTTAGGTTTCTTCCTGTAGTAACACTGGATCAATAAGAGATGATCCTTACTGGACCTCTAGGAAGAATAGTTTAGAACTGATAGAGCTATCCAGTATAAATAAAGTTAGTTTAGTTTAGGTTTCTTCCTGTAGTAACACTGGATCAATAAGAGATGATCCTTACTGGACTTCTAGGAAGAACAGTTTAGAACTGATAGAGCTATCCAGTATAAATGAAATTAGTTAATTAAACAGCTAACCATGTTCGGCACGTTTTGTCTAGTGGCATCGTGTCAGGAATACAGAGATATTGGCTTCACAACCTCTGGTATCTACACTCTAACGCTAAGGACAGGTTTACAATTCAAAGCTTATTGTAAAATGGATCATCTTGGCAAAGGATGGATAGTTATGATGAGGAATGACGGCCAAGACGCCGCACTTTTTGACCGAGATTGGGTGACCTACCAAAATGGATTCGGGGATCTAAACTCGAATTTCTGGTTGGGAAATGAATTCCTGCATCAGATAACCAAAGATAAACCACATGAACTGCACGTGGATCTTCGGAAACCAGGCAGTGGTGCTTACGTATTTTACAGCGGTTTCCAGGTAATAAAATCATCATAACTAGGGCAGGTGGAAAACAATTCCAGGGAGGTGGAAAACAATTCCGAGGGGTGATGGAAAACAATTCCGGGGGGGTGATGGAAAACATTTCCTCCCGGAAAACAATTCCGGGGGGGGGATGAAAAAATCTACATCCACTCCACATCTCCTTCTGCTAAGCATAACTTTAGAGTTTATTCGAGATAACATTAACCAATGCCATTCAACAGGTTGCTAACAAAGACGATGGCTACCGTCTCACTTTCGACGCCTCATCCTATGTCGGAACTGGTGGAAATTCCCTGCCTCACCACAACAATATGAGATTCTCCACACCAGAAAGAGACCTTGATCCCGTTTCGGCGAACTGTGCCGCTGAGAGGAAAACTGGATGGTGGTTTCACCACTGTTCTTTCGCCACGCCGACCATGGTCCCAATTCATTGGGGAAACTGGAGCCCGCAATTCATCGACCTTAAATTAAGGGCGATGTCTCCATAGAACAGTGAACATAAAACCTGAAACGCTAACTTTTACAGTACGTACGTACAGTGTTATACTTGGTTGAAGCCAAAAGTTGAAGCAAAAGACTGAGTTTTTGACTTCTCGTTCAATTTTTATAAAAATAAGCAAATAATTGCATCTTACATAGTTCTAGACATTCCTTGATAATTACTCTCTACTTTTGTCTCAAACGTTCAAAAACTCAGAAAAACTACCTTCACCAAATTTCGCTTCAAAGATGGCGGCCAAGTTATTCGCGTTCCAGGTTTTATTACAGTTCATTGGCTTAGAACAAATCCTCGCTTTTTTGCCCTTTCTACATTTTGGTAACTAAAGAAATTTAAACTTCATGCCATGGACGATTTTCTAGGACGATTTTCGAGTGGGGGGGCGAAGGTGGAAACAAATCTATTGGACAAAGATGCTATTGCTTATTTTTCTTACTCAATAGAGATTCGCTTTCCCACTCTTCCACGGGAGGCTATCCTAAGAATTTTTTATTACACACACGCGCGCACACTTCAGGGAATGTCCTCCAATTTGTGCTTGCTATTTCTCTCAAATGAAGAATTAGAAATGGTTTCTCGTTAGAACTTCTTTATTTATATTATGGAAATATTTTAAAATAGGATTCGGTTCCTATTCTATACTCCCTCGGCCTCCCCGTGCAAACACTATACATGCGTGAAACACAGACTTGCTTTATATACTAATTTTCCAACAAAGTTACCTCTTTTAGAAACTTATTGTATTTCTATTTTAAACAAGGTGCCTCTATTAAAGAAGGTATACGAACTTTGCCGGGCTGTTATTTTTTACATTTGGCAACTGATTTTAGCAACCAAACGTTGCAGTTTTTTCCATTACTGGTGATGAATTACGTTCATCTTACCTGCATTAAAATTTCGTCTATAGTGTAAGACTATACTATAAGGACCGTCTTCCACTGTCGCGTTTTTTGTACGTACGATACGTATACCCGCGCAAAAGTTTAAAATAATTTAAATGATACTTATGAAATCAACGATTAAATAGGGCTGGATTCTGTTGTTCCCATCTCATTCGTGCTCGGCCTTTGTTTTGGAAGCCTGAGCGCTAGGAAAGTTTGGGCACGGGTACCCATTTCAGTCGTGCCGTGCCAATAAATTGAGTGTAGAGAAAACGGGGCTGCCTAAACAATGAGCTGAGTGGCACACCATCATCGGGAAGTGCCCAGTTTATTAACATAGTCATTGCGGAGTTCTATATCTTGATTATAATTCAAAGCACTGTAACCATGTACGTAGAAACAAGGCTGCTTCTATATTATCGATTACTAAAATCATAAAGATATATACGTTGCAAATAATCTGCATGCAAAAGTTGTTTTGAAATCTGCATTTTATTTCAATCATGCGAAAACCACACAAACTTTAAACATACTCCGGTTTTAACCAAAGCAGAGTAAAACAAATACCACAACAAACAACTGCCGACATTGTTTACTGTGACAGCAGCGAAAAAGCTTTTATCGGCATTTTTCTCCTCCAATCACGAACGAGTCTAAAAACTGGTAGCAAATTCCAGTGTTATATACATCATTAAAACTAGCCGGTGTTGACGTTAGAAACGGTTAAACAGAACAGACTCTTGCCTACGACGCAGCGTGCGAAAATGTCTTTGAAAAAGATCGTTATCTTTGCCGTCTTATTGCAAGCTTTTCATCTCGCAAGCTGCGACCTTTCCCGTGTAAGTCATGACAATATGAAGGCGATCAATTGGGGTCTTCCTTTGGCGGGACATAAGCTCGACGCGACGCCGATAGCAACAAGCAAAGTTTCAAATCGAATTCAATGCATGACAAAATGCACCAAGACACAAGGATGTGTGTCTATAAACCTCGGGCCAAGCCAAGCGGGTGAACACGAATGTGCGCTCCTGGACACAACTCGTTACGGCTTTACATTTCCAAATTTAACTGTTGCAACTGGTTGGTCCTACATGGGACCAAAGGTATGTATAATTCTGGGGCCGGTTGAACGAAAGCTTGACAGCTTTATTCACATTAGAGTCATGCACACACCGAGTACGCCAGTAAAAGAGCCTGGTTCCGAGGGTGCGAGAACGCTTGCTTCCATCAAAACCCAAACATTTGATTGGATTTGATTTGAACTTGCATCCTTAATGCAGAGTAAGAAATTAATACAGATGTGCCATGAACGTTTCGGCAATTCTTATCTTTTTGCGATGAACATTTTTTTAGACTCGATGCGAAACGAAACCTTGTCCCGACAAACAGGAAATTCGGTGTATTGCAAAAGAAACAGAAAATGATTATTTATGTGTGAACAGCTCAGCCGGTAGGTTTTAATGATGATTATTCAATGTAACTCCTTATATCAGGTGGTTTCCCACTAAAATGAATTTTACCACAGATTGAATTTTTTTACTTTATTTTCTCTTCGATTGGTCAAGTCTCAAGACAATCCGCTACGCTCGAATTCTCACATTTGAAAAGATACTGCATGATAAGGCGAAAAATTTGATTTGAGCAAAACATTCAATCTCGTGGAAAACCGTCTTGGAACAGACAGTTTCTTTCTGCTTAGAACTGATAGAGCTAAGATCCAGTATAAACCCTAAACTTTATCTTAATTTAAGTGTAATCAGTATACGGATAAAATAATGTTTATATTTTCTTCAGAGACGTCATGTCAGCAGTTAAGAGATGCTGGCGACACAACCTCTGGTATTTATACTCTTTCATCATCTCTGGGCTTACAATTCAAAGTCTATTGTGAAATGGATACAAATGGTAAAGGGTGGATTGTTTTCATGAAGAATGACGGGAAGAACGCCGCGATTTTTAACCAAGATTGGGCGACCTACCAAAATGGATTCGGGGATCTAAACTCGAATCACTTCTGGTTGGGAAATGAATTCCTGCATCAAATAACCAAATTTATACCACATGAACTGCACGTGGATATTCAGGAGGCAGGTGTTGCAGACAAGTACGCATTTTACAGCAGTTTCCAGGTATTTCTTACTTGTATTTTTAATTTACGATTGGTCAAATTCTCGGTTTTCTTAAATAGCTCTGCATTTAGTGCAAGGGCATTCAACATCAAATATACTAATATTAGTTCATTGGGATAAACTGAAATATTATTTGACCACGGTCTATAAGGCAAAACACGCGTGGTCTGGAGGTGTAACACGCGTGGTCTGGAGGTGTAACACGTGTGGTCTGGAGGTAAAACACGCGTGGTCTGGATGTAAAACACGCGTGTCTGGAGGTAAAGCAACATGAGTCTCGAGGTTTTCCTTTTGCCTTTAAAACGTTCATTCATTTTAATGAGGTGGTAGCATTCCAGTTCTTTCTTCATTTCAACGGCTAAAGCTCGCTATTATTTGTCAGGTTTCAGACGAGAACGATGGCTATCGTCTCACTTTCGACACCTCGTCCTACCAAGGAGATGCTGGAGATAAACTGACAAATCACAACAACATGAGATTTACTGCCAAAGACAAAGATCTTGATACCTATTCAGGGAATTGTGGACAGAGTTACGGCTATGTTGCATGGTGGTATTATTCGTGTTGGGCGGCCTTGCCTACGAGAATCCCTCCCAGATGGACAAACGACCTGGATTTCATTCAGCTCAAAATACGACCAATGTCTCCTTAGAACAGATCTTTTCGCTTTTCCACCTTTTCTGCATCAACTGATACTTTATCACTTGCATTTCGTGTTTCATCCACTGTCGTTTCCATTCGGTCGCTTCTCGTTGTTTCTCGTCGCCTCGCGTCGCTTCTTCGACATGTGACGGATGTCATCCTCGCTAAAACTCGATGAGTGGGAGTTCTCAATCTTCTCTTAACGTTTCCATGACGATATTTCCACTCGAATAAGAGCTTGATTTTCAGTGTTTTACCTTTAGTCTTTCCATTGGTCAATAAAGAAATTTCTCATTCACAAATCCTATTTCCAGCTTTGGTGTGTGAAATCACGTTCATCTTGCCTGGAAAAAAATTTCGTTTATATTATTTATACAGTTGGAATCGCATCCATTATATAGCACGGGTTATTTTAAAAGCCTAAATATAACAGTAAGCAACATAGTTTCACGAAGCTCCTTAACGTTACGGGAATATAATGTTTATTAAAGTAATCATTAAAAATTATAAATTACACATTAAATTATAAACATAAAAAAAATACGTAAACTATATCTTAAAGAAATGTTGCGAAAAAAACAGACAGGTTGTTTTGAAAGCCGGGTTTCATTTCAATCATCACGCCCCAAACCACATAAACTATAAACCTGCTCCAATCTTTACCAATAATTGTAAAAAAATACCGCAACAAACAATTGCCGACATTGTTTATTGTGACAGCAGCGAAAAAGCTTTTATCGGCTTTTTTCTCCTCCAATCACGAACGAGTCAAAAAACTGGTAGCAAATTCCAGTGTTCTATACATCATTAAAACTAGCCGGTGTTGACGTTAGAAACGGTTAAACCGAACAGACTCTTGCCTACGACGCAGCGTGCGAAAATGTCTTTGAAAAAGATCGTTATCTTTGCCGTCTTATTGCAAGCTTTTCATCTCGCAAGCTGCGGCCTTTCCCGTGTAAGTCATGACAATATGAAGGCGATCAATTGGGGTCTTCCTTTGGCGGGACATAAGCTCGACGCGACGCCGATAGCAACAAGCATAGTTTCAAATCGAATCCAATGCATGGCAAAATGCACCAAGACCCAAGGATGTGTGTCTATAAACCTGGGACCAAGCCAAGCGAGTGAACACGAATGCGCGCTCCTGAACACAACTCGTTACGGCTCTACATTTCCAAATTTAACTGTTGCAGCTGGTTGGACCTACATAGGACCAAAGGTATGCATATAACTCTGGAACTACTTGTACAAGCTTGATAGCTTTATTCACATTTATGGTGGTTTTTGAGATCACCTTATTCAAACTCTTTTTAACACTTTTCCTTTCGTGAATCGAAAAAAAACTGTCAACATTTGATTGGATATGACAAACTTGCGTCCTTATCCCAGAGTAGAAAATTAATACAGATGTGCGACGAACGTTCCGGCAATTCCGTGCGCATGCGCGCCCTTACGAAGGGTCCATACAAAGTCTCATCTTTTGGTGATGAACGTTTTTTTAGACTCCCTGCGATACGAAACCTTGTCCCGACAAGCAAGAAATTCGGTGTATTGCAAGAGAAACAGAAAATGATCATTTATGTGTGAACAGCAAAGCTAGTAGGTTTTAAAGAATGATTATTCAATGCAGCTCCTAATATCAGGTGGTTTTCCAGTAGCATGAATTTTACCATCGATCGAAATTTTTTACTTTATTTTCTCTTCAATTGGTCAAGTCTCAAGACAATCTGCTACGGTCGAATTCTCACATTTGAAAAGAAAATAAGGCGAAAAATTTGATTTGAGCAAAAAATTCAGTCTCGTGAAAAACCGTCTTGGAACAGACAGTTTCTTTCTGCAGGTTGTAAATGGATCAATAAGAGATGATCCTTACTGGACCTCTAGGAAGAACAGTTTAGAACTGATAGAGCTATCCAGTATAAATAACGTTAGTTTAATTTAGGTTTCCTCCTGTAGTAACACTGGATCAATAAGAGATGATCCTTACTGGACCTCTAGGAAGAACAGTTTAGAACTGATAGAGCTATCCAGTATAAATAAAGTTAGTTTAGTTTAGGTTTCCTCCTGTAGTAACACTGGATCAATAAGAGATGATCCTTACTGGACCTCTAGGAAGAACAGTTTAGAACTGATAGAGCTATCCAGTATAAATAAAGTTAGTTTAGTTTAGGTTTCCTCCTGTAGTAACACTGGATCAATAAGAGATGATCCTTACTGGACCTCTAGGAAGAACAGTTTAGAACTGATAGAGCTATCCAGTATAAATAACGTTAGTTTAGTTTAGGTTTCCTCCTGTAGTAACACTGGATCAATAAGAGATGATCCTTACTGGACCTCTAGGAAGAACAGTTTAGAACTGATAGAGCTATCCAGTATAAATAAAGTTAGTTTAGTTTAGGTTTCCTCCTGTAGTAACACTGGATCAATAAGAGATGATCCTTACTGGACCTCTAGGAAGAACAGTTTAGAACTGATAGAGCTATCCAGTATAAATAAAGTTAGTTTAGTTTAGGTTTCCTCCTGTAGTAACACTGGATCAATAAGAGATGATCCTTACTGGACCTCTAGGAAGAACAGTTTAGAACTGATAGAGCTATCCAGTATAAATAAAGTTAGTTGAGTTTAGGTTTCCTCCTGTAGTAACACTGGATCAATAAGAGATGATCCTTACTGGACCTCTAGGAAGAACAGTTTAGAACTGATAGAGCTATCCAGTATAAATAAAGTTAGTTGAGTTTAGGTTTCCTCCTGTAATAACACTGGATCAATAAGAGATGATCCTTACTGGACCTCTAGGAAGAATAGTTTGGAACTGATAGAGCTATCTAGTATAAATGAAGTTACAGGTTTCCTCCTGTAGTAACACTGGATCAATAAGAGATGATCCTTACTAGACCTCTAGGAAGAACAGTTTAGAACTCATAGAGTTATCCAGTATAAACCCTAAACTTTATCTTCAAGAGTAATCATTCGATAAATAATGTTTACATTTTCTTCAGAGACGTCATGTCAGCAGTTTAGAGATGCTGGCGAAACAACCTCTGGTATTTATACTCTTTCATTAATCTCGGGCTTACAATTCAAAGTCTATTGTGAAATGGATACAAATGGTAAAGGGTGGATTGTTTTCATGAAGAATGACGGGAAGAACGCCGCAACTTTTAACCAAGATTGGGCGACCTACCAAAATGGATTCGGGGATCTAAACTCGAATCACTTCTGGTTGGGAAATGAATTCCTGCATCAAATAACCAAAGATAAACAACATGAACTGCACGTGGATGTTCAGCAGGCGGGTGTTGCAGACAAGTACGCATTTTACAGCGGTTTCCAGGTATTTCTTACTCGTATTATTATTAACTTACGATTGGTCAAATTCTCGGTTTTCTTAATAGCTCTGCATTTAGTGCAAGGGCATTCAACATGAAATATACTAATATTAGTTCATTGGGATAAACTGAAATATTATTTGACCACGGTCTATAAGGCAAAACACGCGTGGTCTTGAGGTGTAACACGCGTGGTCTGGAGGTGTAACACGCGTGGTCTGGAGGTAACACATGTGTGGTCTGGATGTAAAACACGCATGTCTGGAGGTAAAGCAACATGAGTCTCGAGGTTTTCCTTTTGCCTTTAAAACGTTCATTCATTTTAATGAGGAGGTAGCATTCCAGTTCTTTCTTCAGTTCAACGGCTAAAGCTCGCTATTATTTGTCAGGTTTCAGACAAGAGCGATGGCTACCGTCTCACTTTCGACGCCTCGTCCTGCCAAGGAGATGCTGGAGATCATCTGAAAAATCACAACAACATGAGATTTACTACCAAAGACAAAGATCTTGATACCAATTCAGGGAATTGTGGACAGAATTACGGCTATGTTGGATGGTGGTATCAGAATTGTTGGTATTGCCTGCCCACGAGAATCCCTCCCAGATGGGGGTCAACCGACCTGGATTTCATTCAGCTTAAAATACGACCAATGTCTCCTTAGAACAGATCTTTTCACTTTTCCACCTTTTCTGCATCAACTGATACTTTATCACTTGCATTTCGTGTTTCATCCACTGTCGTTTCCATTCGGTCGCTTCTCGTCGCTTTTCGTCGCTTTTCGTCGCTTTTCGTCGCTTCTTCGACATGTGACGAGAGGCGCCTCTTTTCTGCATCAACTGATACTTTATCACTTGCATTTCGTGTTTCATCCACTGTCGTTTCCATTCGGTCGCTTCTCGTTGTTTCGCATCGTTACTCGTCGTTTCTTCGACATGTGACGGATGTCATCCTCACTGAAATTCGATGATGAGTGGGAGTTCTCAATCTTCTCATAACGTCTCCATGAGGATATTTCCACTCGAATAAGAGCTTGATTTTCAGTGTTTTACCTTTAATCCTTCCATTGGTCAATAAAGAAATTTCTCATTCACAAATCCTATTTCCATCTTTGGTGTATGAAATCACGTTCATCTTGCCTGGAAAAAAATTTCGTTTATACTATTTATACTGTTAGAATCGCGTCCATCATAGCACGGATTATTTTAAAACCCTAAATATAACAGTAAGCAACATATATTCATGGAGTTCCTTAACGTTACGGGAATATAATGTTTATTAAAGTAATCATTAAAAATTATAAATTACACATTAAATTATATACATTATAAATACGTAAACTATCTTAAAGAAATGTTGGGAAAAAATCGGGAAAAGTTGTTTTGAAAGCCGTGTTTCATTTCAATCATCACGCCCCAAACCGCACAAACTATAAACCTACTCCAATCTTTACCAATAATTGTAAAAAGTTACCACAAGAAACAATTACCGACATTGTTTACTGTGACAGCAGCGAAAAAGCTTTTATCGGCTTTTTTCTCCTCCAATCACGAACTACTTATTCAGGTAGCAAATTCCAGTTGTACATCATTAAAACTAGCCGGTGTTGACGTTACAAACGGTCAAACAGAACAGACTCTTTCCTACGACGCAGCGTGAGAAAATGTCTTTGAAAAAAATCGTTATCTTTGCCGTCTTATTGCAAGTTTTTCATCTCGCAAGCTGCGGCCTTTCCCGTGTAAGTCTTGGCAATATGAAGGCGATCAATTGGGGTCTTCCTTTGGCGGGACATAAGCTCGACGCGACGCCGATAGCAACAAGCAAAGTTTCAAATCGAATCCAATGCATGGCAAAATGTACCAAGACCCAAGGATGTGTGTCCATAAACCTCGGGCCGAGCCAAGCGGGTGAACACGAATGTGCGCTCCTGGACACAACTCGTTACGGCTCTACATTTCGAAATTTAACCGTTGCAGCTGGTTGGACCTACATGGGACCAAAGGTATGTATAGTTCTGGGCCCGGTTGTACCGAAGCTTGATAGCTTTATTCACATTTATAGTGGCTTTTAAGATCACCTTGAAAATCTTTGTAGTTTAGTATATGACTCATTTTCATGAAATGAGTTTGTCAAGTTATCAATTGCATGCTCGCTCTGTCTTTCAGTAGTTTTTTTATCTTACAGGTATAATTAACGGTGGTTGAAGTGATTATGCATAACGCTAATACGGCTTTTATTCAAACTCTAGAACTTTTGCCATACCGCAAAACATTCCATCTTACACTCTCGTTGACCGCACTTGCTTCTATTACAATCAAAACCTGAGCATTTTGATTGGAGAAATAAGCCAAGAAACTAAAAGAACTCATTTTTCCTCATATTTAAGAATGCATTTGTTGACCTAAAGTTTTAATAATAAGAATTTAGCATTTGAAATTTTCCGTTCGTATACGTGCGTAAGAAAAACGCAACAGTGAAAAACAGCTTGAAGTCTCATCCTTTTGCGATGAATTTTTTCTAGACTCGATGCGATGCAAAACCATGTCCCGACAAGCAAGAAATTCGGTGTATTGCAGGAGAAACAGAAAATGATTATTCATGTATGACCAGCAGATCTGGTAGGTTTAAAAGAATGACTTTACATTGCAGCTTCTAATATCAGGTGGTTTTCCACTTACAATAATTTTACCACCAATTGAAAATTTTTGTTTAATTTTCTCTTGGAGTCTCAAGAGAATCCGCTATGGTCGAATCCTCACATTTCTCTAGGAAGAACAGTTTAGAACTGATAGAGTTATCCAGTATAAATAAAGTTAGTTTAGTTTAGGTTTCCTCCTGTAGTAACACTGGATCAATAAGAGATGATTCTTACTGGACCTCTAGGAAGAACAGTTTAGAACTGATAGAGTTATCCAGTATAAATAAAGTTAGTTTAGTTTAGGTCTCCTCCTGTAGTAACACTGGATCAATAAGAGATGATCCTTACTGAACCTCTAGGAAGAACAGTTTAGAACTGATAGAGCTATCCAGTATAAATAAAGTTAGTTTAGTTTAGGTCTCCTCCTGTAGTAACACTGGATCAATAAGAGATGATCCTTACTGAACCTCTAGGAAGAACAGTTTAGAACTGATAGACTATCCAGTATAAATAAAGCTAGTTTAGTTTAGGTTTCCTCCTGTAGTAACACTGGATCAATAAGAGATGATCTTTACGAGACCTCTAGGAAGAACAGTTTAGAACTGATAGAGCTATCCAGTATAAGCCCTAAACTTTATCTTCAAGAGTAATCATTGGATAAATAATGTTTACATTTCCTTCAGAGACGTCATGTCAGCAGTTTAGAGATACTGGCGAAACAAACTCTGGTATTTATACTCTTTCATCATCCCTGGGCTTACAATTCAAAGTCTATTGTGAAATGGATACAAATGGTAAAGGGTGGATTGTTTTCATGAAGAATGACGCCAAGACCACCAATTACTTTATCAAAGATTGGGCGACCTTCGAAAACGGATTCGGGGATCTAAACTCGAATCAATTCTGGTTGGGAAATGAATTCCTGCATCAAATAACCAAAGATAAACAACATGAACTGCAGGTGGATCTTCGGAAAGCGGGTGCAGCAGACACGTACGCATTTTACAGCGGTTTCCAGGTATTTCTTATTTACATAAACTGGTTAGGTTAAATTATCGGTTTTCTTAGTAGTTCTTAGTAGCAAGAGCATTCAACATCAAATATACTGATATTGATAATCTATATATAAAATTAAATACTGAAAATTAAGCACGCGTGGTCTGGAGGTAAAACACGCGTGATCTGGAGGTAAAACACGCGTGGTCTGGAGGTAAAACACGCGTGGTCTGGAGGTAAAACACGCGTGGTCTGGAGGTAAAACACGCGTGTCTCGAGGTTTTCCTTTTGCCTTTAAAACGATCAAAATTTTAATGAGGAGGTAGCATTCCAGTTCTCTATTTAGTTCAACGGCTAAAACTCGTTATTATTTGTCAGGTTTCAGACAAGAGCGATGGCTATCGTCTCACTTTCGACACCTCGTCATACCAAGGGGATGCTGGAGATAATCTGAAAAGTCACAACAACATGAAATTTACTACGCAAGACAAAGACCTTGACACCTATTCAGGGCATTGTGGAGAGGGTCACAAGGTCGGATGGTGGTACTATTCCTGTTGGGCGTGCCTGCCCACGAGAAACATTCCTTATTGGGGAACCTCCCTGGATTTCATTCAGCTCAAAATACGACCGATGGATCCTTAGAACAGATCCTTTTGCTTTTTCCTCCTCTTTTCTGCATCAACTGATACTTTATCACTTGCATTTCGTGTTTCATCCACTGTCGTTTCCATTCGGCGTTTCCATTCGGTCGCTTCTTGTCGCTTCCTGTCGCTTCTTGTCGCTTCTTGTCGCTTCTCGTCGCCTTTTCGACATGTGACGGATGATGTAAAAGCGCCTGTATTCTGATGTTCACCCTCAATGAAACTCGATGAGTGGGTGTTCTCAATCTTCTCATAATAGACTCATAACGTCTCCATGACGATATTTCCGCTCGAATAAGAGCTTGATTTTCAGTGTTTTACCTTTAAACTTTCCATTGGTCAAGAAAGAACTTTCTTATTGATCACTAATAACAAATAATCTAGCAAAATATATAAAAACGCACGCAAACTTACCGGGTAATTTCACATTTTACAACCGATTTAGCAACCAAACTTTGCAGTTTTACTTATTCGCAAATCCTATTTCAAGCTCTAGCGGAAATAACATTCCTCTTGCCTGGATCAAAATTTCGTCTATACTATAATGGAATCGCGTCCATTAATAAAAAACCCTTGAGATATTTAATTCTGTTTTTCCTTCACTTCTTTTTGCTTGCTCCGAGAGGCCATTGCCCTCTGGAAAAGAATACTAGTCCAGTCTGGGTCGAACTGAAATCCACAACAAACTGATCCATCGTAATTAATAATCGCTATTACTTGCACCCGTAAGACTGAACCATAGGCGTCTTAATGTCCTATTTATATTTTTTATACACTTTTGGTTATAAAAAGAAGGTTATAACTTAAAATACTGTCTCTTCAGAGATATATATTACAAGGAAAAAACAAAATGTCTACATCTGGTTTTGAAGTGTTCAAGGCTGTGATCTTGTCTTCAAATCCCGAGCAAGTTGGCACAACGCGCATGGCAGAAGACATGGTAGACAGCTGACCAGGCTGTCGTTGCACACGGAACCCTGAAAACGAGAAATTTGTTGGGTTAGCAGCGTTCTCACATCTAAGGAAATTTCCATAGAAACGTTTCATTGACTCTATCGAGGGGAGGGAGGAATAGTTAATATATTCTTTTCAAATGTTCTTTGTCTCAGATTATTGAAAACAACCCCCCCCCCCACAGTAGAAAGTATGTATATTTAAATTGCGAAAGCAATGTGGGTCGGTCATAGCGTTGCAGACACGAGGTAAAATTGAAGTAATACTAGCAACGAAATTCGTATCCGCCTGAACTTCTGAACATGATTTTACAATCATTCCGGTTCGACAAAGCTGAAATATCTGATACCTGGATGTCGTGTTTCATGCGATGTTTTGTCCTGAGCGCCGCTGGTCCAATGCACCCGGCGCAGCAACACTCGCCCATTTTCCCGCTCAGCTTGCAAGCCAGAATCGGGGAACAGAAAAAGCCAAGACAACCTGTCGTTAAATTGAAATAAAACGCAGATTAAAGCCATACGTGCCTCTTGTTTGGAGTCGTATTTCTCGTTTAACTTTTCAAAGCGATGCAAATGTAATGTACTTCAGTAAGCATTAACTGAACATTTTTTTTGACTCGGCAGCTTCAATTTGAACAAAGTACAATATAAAGGCGTTTATATCTCGGTTTATTTAGAGTAGAATGTTTGCTTCGTAATAGCAAAACTATATAATATCCACAAATTAAACATTGAATTAGTGTATACAGGGTCTTCATATTTTCTTATCAATACATCGGGTTCATAAAGATTAGGGAAAAGCTGGCTCCAAGACGTCTCCGCAGGATTCAAAATTTCCCGCCTTTCTTCCATCATGGTCATGTGACCTCATGGTGCAAGTCGCCTATTGGCTCGCAACTTACAAAAGTATATCTTCGGCGCTTTGTCGCATAAAAACACATACGCTATGATGACAGCAATCTCTGTTATCTTAGAGTATACTTACACGATTTCATGTCACTAAAACATTTGCACAGCCCCGAGCTCCACCCGATAGTCGAAGGGGGTGGGCCTTCCCCCGTAGGTGGGCCAACGTCAAGAGCGGCTTGTTCCGGTTGTTCAGTAACAGCTGGTTCAACAGCGGCCATTTCAGCTGCGAAGTAAATGATAGTTCTAATTTTAATATGATTATTCAAAAACAAACGTGTTTGCCTGTGTCAGTGTGTGTGTGACAGAGCGAGTTATTTTTAGCTATTTCCGGGCAAAATTTACGTGTGCTTGCATTGGCAGTTTTCGAACATTTCTCTGCGAAGTAATTTGCAAAACATTATAGAATATAACAGGCTTTTTATGTCAGACCGACTTGGCACGTATCTTTTGTGGCCGGTTTGAAAAGACTGGTTTTCGAGACACAAGGCTGATGATTTTTGAGACACAAACGTGAGCTGGGACATTATCTCTACGATTCTACCTATGCATACAGCACCTAAGATGAAATTCGTTCACTTTTAACACCGATCTTCGCTAAGCAAATTCAAATATGTAAATGACAATGTTGACTGCGTTTATATATTTGACACTATAGTCTATTCCCCATTTTATTTATAGTTGTTTACCGGTTGCTTGGTGACGTTATTCAAAATTTTTCGCCGGCTTTCTTGTGTAAACTGCACGAGAAACTTTGCAAAATTTTAGCCGACGACTTAAACTGCACGTCGTTCTGATAAAACATTGGAACTCCCGACGATTTTAAATAGAAATCTTGGGGAGTTGAATGTTTTAATTTTTAGTTAAAGTCAGTTGATTATATTGTGCAGTGAGGCTTAGAAAAGGTTATTCGATTCCTGTCTGTCAGAACGAATACCGCGAACGTAATGGTCCAGTGTACCTAAGTAGTATCATCTCTTTCGTGAATTTGTTTGAACGCACCTGAAATGAAATTCCTCAATTTATTTCAAACGCGTAGTATAATTTTACTCGCTTTTCAGCAATGATTGATCAAGGCTATTAACTGAAGCTGTATGACAAAGATTAATCGAAAATTTGGTGGTCCAGAGCAGGTAGTGTTTGTTATACAATAAATTACTGTACTTGGCTGGTGACTGAAGTACTTGGAAAATATGTCCCGAAAAGTTCAAAGCCACTTTGACGTTTTAAGATAATGCATGGGACAGCTAGCGGTCAAAATTACCGCTAATATGTCATATAGAGTATTTCTTTTTGGAACTCGCTGCTAAATTTTGAAAATGCTCTTGAAATTTTTGACTATAGTCGATGCAAATACCTGTATCTTTCAGAAAAGTCTTGTAAAAAGTACTTGAATTCTTCGTTGCGTCAGGTAATTCGCTTTTGTGAAGTGATGATCCCTTTTGCTTGAGAGCTGTTGTGAAATGGATCCGGATCTAATCGTATTAAAGCTTTTAACATTGTCAATCACGTCAACGTAAGCCTTATGAACACATCGACACGGCGTTCAGGCTTGCAAGAGGAGAAAACAGCGGTCAAACCTTGGGGAAATCTATATCTGCAGTGCAGAACGGCATTGCCATAGTGGAGGGGAGGAATTATGGTAGAAAACAGGGGCTTTTTGAGAAAAAATAAGTTGGTATTTTTCCTAACGCATTGTATGTTAGTTTGTGCATATTGTCCCCATGGTGATAAACGTGAATTGACGGTTTTTGTCTTGTCATAGACGATGTGAAATGATTTATGTTCACTGGCTTTAAGAACTTAAGGTGATGGTACTACGCTTCATTATAGCGAAGTCTAACTGTGGTCTGACGTAACAGATGATTTGATAATTTGGCGTATGCATTGGTGCGTCACAATCAACTCATTGAACTATGCTATAGTTGCTGAATTCCTCCGGCTATAAACAAGACCAGTATATAATATTTTGAGTGTTCTTTTTCTGATAGAGAATTTCTGAGCTTGCTCGCAAATCCTTTTGGTACATAATGCACAATAAGTCAATTACGTCAGCAAACTCTTGAGATTAAAAAAAAATTGGAGGTTTTTTTTTATTACTCGGAGAAAATTTTTTAAACTTTTTTTTTGTTTTGGCTCTGATGGCTGGGGATTAAAGACCATAATCCACTGTAAGACATTCCTGTCTGTTTTCATTTCATTTCATTGAATAAATTGCGTTGTAATAATGTTCATAAATCATAATCGAATTAGTCGATATATATGATCGGCTTCGCTTCGCTAGGTTATCGGCTTTCGTCGTAACATGACGTGTACAACTGTGGGCGATGGTTTTTTTCTGTCGTGTTCTTGATCAAATCCAATATGGCGGCCGAAAGATCACATTTTATAGCACCGGTTATACAAGATAATCCGAATGGCTGGGGGCCCACGTCTGTCTCAGATGCTTTCAAAGGAATACCTTATCAACCGTTCTCTAAAGGAGATAGACTTGGCAAGGTGAGAATCGAGTTTTTAGCCCATCTTCTTAGCGAAATCTATATTATTTTTCATTCTTTATTATAAAACCACGTGTGTACGATTTTCTTAATGTACGTGTCCTTATGCGTGATTTTCTTCCTTGATGTACTTTCGTACTTTATTAATGGTGAATAGGTTGTATTTTTGTTGTTATTATTCCGTGCCATGTGGTGTACTATGTAGTAGAAGATTAGGTTGTTTTTAGAAAGTTGAAAATGTTTATACAATATAAATAGACTAAGATTTTATTTTGTGTATAATAAAGATAGTTTGTCTAAAGATACTATGGATTTTTTTCAAAAACCTAGATTTCTGATTGGTCTGGAACATCGTTTCAAGACAGACGTTACCAAAGTGAGTTATCATCTGTTTTATCTCCACTATGATTGTAAGGGCGGATTTTCCCTTGCAGAGAAATGGTTCGCCAATGAAATATTTGCGTATTTTCTCTGCATGTTTTCTGTTCTTGGAAATCGTACATCTGTTCCTCTACATCCATGCCCTAAATGATAGTAATCCCAGACCAGAAACTATGAAGAACAACTTGCACAGACTTAGTGCATTTTAAAATCAGGATATTGTTCATGTCTGTGTTCACTTCTGTCTCTCTAAAGCTGTTCTTTGCACCAATTCTATTCCAGATAAGTATTTGAATCAATTTGGTGGAGGCAGTCAGTATGCTTATTACCACGAGGAAGATGAGTCTAGTTTCCATCTTGTTGACACAAGCCGCCCTCAGAAACCTGTTTACATGCGGAATAGAAACCGGTTCAACCAGGTATGATTTGTGCGTGGTTTAAAGTAATTCTCACACTATCTCATGCTATGAAAACGTCTCCTGAAGACAAACCAAGACTGAAGACTTCTAAGCTGCTTTATGCGATGTTTGGTTATTCATAGTTGTACTAAATTGTGTTTCCAGCGGAAGATGAATCGTGACAGGGAACGTCAAATGCAGCGTCAACAAGCAGGAATGCAAAATCTCATGAAAAGTCGTGATAAGAGGTTGAATCGTAAACTTCAAAAGCAGTATGCTAACAGGAACAACTGGCAAGACAGGAGGAACCAGGGTCCGCAGAAGTTTCGCAACGCTTCTGTGATGGTTCGTGAGGAATGGAAGGTGATTGAGGAAATGGACTTTCCACGGCTGTCAAAATTAAGTCTGCCCAGCATTGGGGAACCCGAAGATCTGTAAGTACATTTGAAAACTGTGAATTGCAAATTGTGACTGGCCAGCCTTGATTTGCACTTGCTATCTTTTTACTGATCTCTGTATGATAGCTGAATGCACATCTTCAGCTGTAAATTGAGACTATCCTATAAGCAGAACTTGCTATTCTTCACAACTGATCTCTATATGACGTTTGCCGTTCTTTGCCACTGATCTCTATATGCTGTTCTTTGCCACTGATCTCTATATGATGTTCTTTGCCTCTGATCTCTATCTGCTGTTCTTTGCAACTGATCTCTATATGTCTTTCAATTTTCAGAGTGAAATGTGGTGAACTGGAGTATTATGACAAAGCCTATGATCGAGTGAATATTAAGACAGAGGTGCCCTTAGCTATGGTCAACCGGGTATTTCATAAAGTTACGACCACTGATGATCCTGTGATCAGGACCGTAAGTCATCAAGCTGAAAATTTCAAGCTATGTTTGATAAAGTTTGCATCGTCAATTGCATTCATGGACATGAATAAACTTGGATTGTCCAACTTGTTAACTTTCAGCTGTTGTCAAAAGGAAATGTTTTTGCAACTGATGCCATAATATCAACGTTAATGACATGTACAAGGTCTGTGTACTCATGGGATATTATTGTACAGGTATGGATAGAAATCATAGAATGGACTTTGAATTCTTGTGTTGTTCGGGTTTTGTACATTTTTCATTTCTAATGTCATAAATAATGTTTCTTTAGCGAGTTGGTAAAAAGTTGTTCTTTGACAAGAGAGATGATTCTGAATTTGGTAAGATTAACCAAGTCTTTCAAGCAGCATGAAAGAAACAATGTTTCCTGGTTTGTCCAGCTTCATGAAACATGTCTAGGAAACAGTTTTTCCTTGCTAGACATGCTCTTTTTCTCATTGTGTGAATTCCAACCAATATCTAGATCTTCTGACTGTGAATGAAACAGCAATTGAGACTCCCAATGATGACAGTGCAGAGAAAGGCATTAATTCTGCCACAAATCTTGCGCTTGAGGCGACATTCATCAACCAGAACTTTTCGCAACAAGTGTTGAAACGTTCGTATGAGCGAGAGAGATTTGACCAGCCAAATCCATTTGTTGTGGAAGACGTGGAGGAAGAGGCTAAAGTTGCTTCCGTGGGTTATAGGTAAGATAGGGAGGGTGAAGACAAGCTGTTGGGATAGGGGGTAAGGATGAAGATGAACTGTTGGGATGGGGGTAGAAACTTATAAAACTGCAGGAAGGTAAAGTTCTTAGAAGGGGAATGGGGTAAGGAGGGAGGGAAGTGTGGGGTTAGCTGCAGTTGGGAGGGGAGGTGGGGGGTTAGGGGGAAGTGTAGGTTTGGATAGGGAGTTTATAATTGCATATTTGAACTTGAGTGTTTTGGAGGAGAGAGGCAAGGAAAGTCATCAGGTATAGGACAAGAGGGATGGGGGGGGTTATGTTAGGGCAATGGGGTAAGCATGACCCACGTATTCTAAATGTTGATCTTGTGATTTACCTGTACATGTAGATATCGTAAGTGGAATCTTGGAGATGATATTGATGTGGTGGTGAGATGCGAACATGATGCAGCATTGGCTCCTGGGACTTATATCAACGTCAAGGCACTAAACGAATGGGAGTCTAAGGTAGGGTGGAGAGGATCCGAATAGCTTTGTGTGCATGACTGAGAGAATAAAGTTTTGAATTGGGAATATTTAGGCAGGAATGGGGGATTGGCGTCAGAAGCTGGATACTCAGCGAGGAGCTGTTCTTGCCACAGAACTCAAGAACAACAGCTGCAAGTTAGCGAAATGGACTGTTGCTTCTGTCTTATCTGGCTCGGAATATCTTAAGATTGGGTGTGTATTTAGTCTATATTATAAGTTGTATTTCATAACTTTTACAGAAATCACCCTAATTGTGGGTTGCAAGAGATCATTTGGTAATCTTTCACTTCATATTGTGTATGTCTTCTTTAGGTATGTCTCACGTAAGAACTTCATGGATTCAACTAAACACTGCATTCTTGGCACGCAGCAATTTCGCCCCAGAGAGCTGGCTAGTCAGATGAATCTCAGTATGGATAATGGCTGGGGAATAATACGATGCATTGTGGATTACTGTATGAGCCTGTCTGATGGCCGATACCTCATTCTGAAGGATCCAAATAAGGCAAGTCTTGTGGCAAAAGCACAGCTATGTTATGTAGAGATTATGAACATAGCTTGTGTTTTGCTTGAACGATGTTAGCATTTTGTCTGTTTTTGAAGTAGAATTTTGAGCAAGTAAAACGCGATTCATGCTTTCGATAACATCACTCTGGGTCTGACCAGTGTAGTCCTTAGATAACATCACTCTGGGTCCGAAATTCGCCTTAAAATAGATTATGATTTAACTATAGGGAATGATTCGCATTTACGATATTCCGAACAACACGTTTGAGAGTGACGAGGAGGATGACGAAGATGACGAGGAGGATGACGAGGAAGCCGATGATGAAGAGGATGATCAGGGGGAAAATGGGGGTAAGTGGAGACAACCGAGGACAGGGGTGGGGGTAACTAGGTTTACTTGGAGTAAATTGGGAGGGCAGTCAAGGGTAAGTGGGGCAATGTATAAGGGTGTAAGTTGGGATAATTGTGGTCAGTTAGGGGTGTTCAGGGATAACTGAGGTTGGACATTAGGGGATAAATGCTGGACTATAAGGTTGTTGCTGACTGGAAAAAAAATTGTGTTTTTAGAGAACTAACAGTGCCCATGGACGATGTCAATGAAGTAACTAAATTAGTTTGATAATTGACACTTGTTCTTGATAAAATCACGATAAATTCCTGGCATGTAAAATGCTTCTTTAAATCTGCTAAAATATAATGTCATTCTAATAAAATATCAACGTATAAAAAACATCATATGATGCTATAGTGACTGGAACGATAATTGAGGGTTATTTGGCCGCCATCTTTGAAACCAGAAGCCTAGTTGAGAATGATTCCAGTTTCTTTTGCGGACGAAAATATTAGAAGTGGACTGGCACTGGTGCCATTCTGGGAACGAGGATGGCACTGGTACCCAATTCGGCTTCAAATTGGCTTCAAAGGTAGCGAACGTTTTATCGCTCCAGTTTACACAGAGTTCACCGTTGCCGCGTGGTATTTTTCTTCATTTCATGGCCTGGTTACTAGTCAATCGATTGTGCTCGCGAGTGACCGGCAATTCATAGAAAATGATTACCGCAAACCACGTTTTACGTCAACAATCCTAAGAATCCATCTATTTATTCACCAGTCGCCTGCCGCTAAGTGAAATACTCACATATTTTTACATAATCGGTATATTGGGGTTAAGATAAACATTCTGAATATGTTTGACATGTTTCCCATATTACAACCTCTTAGAAAACGATAAAATTGTAAAAACGGATTGGCCAATTCTGTCCGTAACTACAGTTGAAAGTTAACTAGTCTTTTATACAACTGACCACTGACGTGATAAAATCCAACTTATGTAGACACAGTATTCGTAGTGACAGTTGCTAATTGTATGCGTCGGCTTGTGTTGAGTAGCAAATATGTGCATTCTCGTATCGTTCGTGTTTATTCCTGGCGGTGTAGGCTGTAAGCATTGGAAGATAACAACCATTCTAATCGCTGACTAAATTTTCCTGAATGAAATCCACCGAGGACAGGGAGATCATTTCAATCACAGCGCTGGGATCAAGGCTGGAAAGAGGCACAGTTCCACTACTATAGTGATATCGGGCTTTCTATAGAATATTCCAAAAATTCATCCTCCAATCAGGCAGGGACCCAAACGTAAGACCCCCTACACCCCCCTCCCATACCCCTCACTTCCACTCCCCTCATGGGAGGTCATCACAAACATTCCCCCACCATAGTGACCTCGGGCTTTCTAAAGAATATTCCAAAAATTCATCCAATCAGGCGGGGAACCCAACTTAGGACAGGGCACATATCCACCTCCCGTGCCCTCACTCCCCCGTGGGAGGTCGTGACTCTCGTGACGTTGTGCAACACGGCTATAAATGAACGATATGCGGTCTTGGGTATGAATAGCTTTTCGTGACAAGAAATGAAAAGGCCACTCCACAATTTTCAAGTGTTCTCAAACAAGCATCTACTCATACGTAAAAGTTCTTGCCTAATGTAATCAAGCGCACGCAATTCGTATTTTTAACATGGCTCTACTTAGCAGCCCTGTGTGGGAACGATAACACTTCAAATTTGATGTCCCCCCGTCCACGAAATCTGCAATATCATTCTGAAGCGTATTACATTAATTTTGATGTTATTTCTTTCGCTATAATAAATATAAGCCATGCCCAAAACTCAGAAGACGTAAAATAAACGATTTAATGTGAATGACAATATCAGTGACAGTGTTGTGAAATGTAAGGCAATTTCCGATAACGTATGAAAAAAATCACGGTTTACAGACGTGTAGAGACAGCGGAAAAGATTTTGCGATTGAGGGTGACGCTTATACCAGCTAAACAACGGAGAGTCGTTTATAAGTTTTGTGTGCTGTTTGACAAATATTTTAAGCCTTAATTTTTTAAGCCTTTCTTGCCTTAATTGCTGAATTTTGATAGATATATTTTTATATTTTGATGGGTAGCCGAGATATTTTTCCGGCTGATAATACTAACAGTCTGGAAACCCAGCTTGAGATTCAGACGCTATGTGAAATATATGGAAACCATTTCAGGCTGACGGTTTAAACAGGCAATAATCAAATATTAAACCGCACATATTCACTGCTTTTCATCGTTTTATGTCTTTAAATACAAGACCTGAGTTCCAACGGTACCCCAACGTATTAGGAAAATAAATATTTTAAACACTAGAACGATAGAACCGCTTTTTTGACAAGATATATGGGTCGGTCGAGATGTGCTAAGACAAGACAGCCCGAAATTTCGCATGCGACCCTTTATATGACGACCAGTTTAGCCGGCCGGTAGTAAAAAAAATTCGGATTTCTTTTGACGGGATAAAATAGCCATGATTTATGCCAAATTTAAGCGTGATGCTCATCTGATGGGAACCAGAATTGCGGTTGTCATATTGCTTCAAAACTACAATCAGTACATGTTTGGTAGACAAAAAAACTAGAACGAAATATACCGTTAACTTGGTTCCTACGTTACGAACTGTTTGTTTACATATTTCCATATCGCTTATATTTCATCGAGTGTGTTTGTAAACCTTCAGTTTTATTGTGTGTGTAGTCGTCTCACTCGAAAGGGCTTCTATCCCGCGATTTCCAACGGACGGAGAATGCTTTTCACGACGTTGTTTTTTGCTTTCGCTGCGTTCATCTTGCCAACGAGTCATGCTGTGCCCTACGCTTGTAACTGGACCTACGTTCCTGCTGATTACATTCATTTTCCGCACGTTCCTGTGAACTGCTTCACGACGACGCCTTCGGCATGTAAACGATCGTGGAAATCCGGAATTCCCGAAGGTGTAGCCACTGCGAAACCTCTGATCTACTCCGAGTTCATTTTTTGCCACGAGAGCTTTTCGACGTGCGGTTATGTGCCAATAAACCCGGACACTGGCGTCGTTCTTGGAGGCAGTGGTGTCACCGTTGGAGGAGGTGTCGATCTTGGAGCAGTCGAGAAACATGCTCAGGCGTTCAAGAAATTACGTAAGTCGTACCCTTGTTAATAATGATTTGCAGCATGGTAATTTAAAAATTGTTGGTATATTCACTCGCGATTGCATGCCAACTCAAACTTTGCGAAGTTAATTACCTATTTCGCAACTCTCCCTGACCTCGAGACTTTAAGAACTTCCCACAGGAGACGAACGACGCTTGAAAAAGTAAATCCGAAATCGATAACCGCTTTAGAATAGGCGAAATCTTTCCGTGCTGATGAAAACATGTCTTGGTTAAGCAAATGATTTCGTACCTAGAGTTTAAGAAGTTCTGTACTCTGTCTGAATGAAAGATTGCCAAATCTTTTGTTTATATATATTTAGGTATAGAGTGTGCTATTGTACTTTTGGTGAAACAAATTTAATTGAGAGATATAATGATGGAAATAATTTGCTGTATATTTGTCTGCGTGACTAGGTTAACTGAACAGTATGTAGCGCTTTGTCGGTTGCAGTTGCTGAAACCTCCTTTAGTATTAAAAAATTAGGCCGCGTAGTCCAGATTTATGCTAAAAAAGTATTATCTTGAGATTGCTATGCAATTAAGATAGCATCAATCTCTTACAAATTACTCCGATGTAAAATTGTGTATTACTTCGCCTGCTTTACCGTTTCCGTGTAGGAAAGAGACTCCTCTCACTCTCTCGTGAATGAGAGACCTCAAGTATTAACCCCTAAACAAGTGGTCAGTGGTTGAAAACGTTATCGATATATTGGGATTCAAATTGCTGTTCAATGAATCCTTCATTTCTATGAGTTTCATGAATCTGTAGGTTTCTGTTTCGGAGTGCATCGCCTTATTTTAAACTAAAGTGCTCTTTAGATTGCAATCATCCGCTACAGCATCTTCTGTCTCCCTTTCAACACTTAAAACGTCTTAAAATTTATATTTTAACGGAATCTTGTTGATGCTGGACATATTCAAACTCCAACTGTTACCGAAAACTTTGTATATTTATATTCGTAACTTCCTTCTTTTAGCAAGGGCAGTTTATATGAAGCTGAAACCATACCTTGGCTTAAAACAAGAGCTGGCAGCCTGTGCTGCAATCGAGAAACCTCTTTCCCTGTTCTCAAACGAAGCCCTTACCCTTACCAGCACAGTGCAAGAGCATCTCATTAAGCAAGTTGAAATCAGGTACAACCTTGACCGTTCCCCGGGGTCTACCCCTTTCATATCCCTGGAGCGGGGTATTCGCACCGCGATGGTCAGCCTATGGTACCAGCTCGGGCGACCAGAGGCCTACCCGGAATTCTGGAAATTCGCAACGCAAAACAACTGGGAACGGGCCGTGGCGAGTCTCAGGAATTTCTACAAGATACCCTTAAAACAACGCACAGAAGATCTTAGACGACGCAATGACGAAGCCGATATAATCGAAGCGACTTTCGTGCAGTGTAGTCGTTCGTTAGACGCCGTAGTTTTACTGGACGAATCGGGCAGCGTTACCGACGCAAATTTCGCCGAAAGCTTGCAGTTCGTTGTGAACATAACAAACGCTTTCTCCGGCCCGAAGTTAGTCGGAAATCTCGGCACCCGAGTCGCGTTATCGACGTTCAGCTACATGTACACGGCGCATTTCCATCTCTCGAGCTATAATACACACGCACAATATCTCGCCGCCGTAAATGGCGTGCGCAAACATGGCGGCACTACGTCGCTAGGATACGCGCTGACGCGAGTATTGGACCAGTTCAGCGAGACGAAGGGACTGAGAAACGAGAGGTACGGGATACCGCGCGTGCTGATCGTGATCACGGACGGACAATCGCACGATCCCGTGCTCGTCCCCGCGCGAAAACTGCGCCAAAAAAATATCGTGATCTACGCCATCGGAGTTGGGCATTTCGACATGGGGCAGCTTCTTGAGGTGGCCACGTCCCGAGAACATGTTTACACGCTCAGCACTTTCTTTGAACTCGAGACATTCCTCTCGACTCTAACCGCGGCGACATGCAACGAACCCCAACCGGTGAACCTCCGACGGCGTGTCGAGATGTCGAGCCCAAAAGCGAAGTTCCAGTACTTTGTTTACAAAGCGAGGCGGAAGTCCATGCTGGAGGTTCGTGTGAGGGACTTGGTAGGACAAACCTTGATGTACGTGTCGCGAACCAACCCCCATCCTTACAAGTACGACAGCGATTTGGGCTTCGTGCATTCGGTGCAGAAACACAAAGTCGTCGTGATCGCGGTGAAAGATCAGAAAAATCAGACCAGCGTCGCGAAGCGATCGGTCGACGAACTGGACGTCATGGAGAACGTCTATGTCTCCGTCTTTGCAAACACCAGGAACGCGCGGTTTATCATCGAGGCTGAAACATGCGAGAACTGTCAGGAGGGGACGAACGAGGTTTTTGAAGCCACAACTGGGGCTGCTAGCGTCAAGTCGTTATGTAACATTGTTGCGTTTGTATGGGTTTGCATGTTGAGCATGGTATTATTGTAACATTAGGGATAACAAGGAGCAGTTGTGGACACTTGAATAGCGTGTTTAGGAACATCGTATATTGAACCAAGCATATCTTATATTTATACCTTTTTTTGTATGTGATATGCCGTTTTGGAAGTTCTGAGTATGTTATGCAACATGGGTTGGTGAACACGAGACGTTATTACCTCCTGTGAAAATAACACAATGTCTAAAAGCCGATTACATGTTGCAACAAGCTCTTTTCTACAAAATACATGAGCAAATATAGCACTGAATATCGGGCCTTGGACTAGACGTATAATATAAGAATATTATGATAATATTAGTGTTTATCTCGGAAAATGTCTATTTATTCAAGTGTATGAAAGTTTTTGGTGTACTGAATTAAATGAAATATGGTCGGTAAACTTAAGACTGTTATGTTTGGGATCACAGAGAGATCTGCCGTTTGAACTGCTGTGTGCAGCGACTATTGCGAATTAGGCTTCTTGGAGATTGTGCTCCGGTAACTTACTAGTTTTTGGCGTTTTAAAAAACTTTTTACGAATGCAGCAATGCAAATAACAACAAGAAGCAATAACGTTTATTCAACAGCCAATTATCAAGACGGACATTAGAGAGAAAAAAGATGAAACGGTAATGTTTTTAAAAGAGGATGTTTTAGAAACTCGGGTAACTTTTGTCGAAAACGCTTAAAAGCTCAGTAACCAGTTTTTTAAAGTTCGCTGTGCTGACGCCACATGGCTCCTTTTCCACATGGTATTTCCCACTGACTCATCACGATCCAATTCTGAAAACTGTGTCCGTCTCTTTTGAACAAAGCCATCATTACTACTTTGATAAAGTTGACACATATGTCTTTTATTTACTTGCCAATATACAAGAGATGCCGACAACTCGATATTGACAAGTTTACAATTCCTAGAAAGAAAATTTCGTATTTTAAACCTCTATAACCTCAGGGTTAAGGACGCACCCAACGTGAGTTGATCATTTGTGTAATTAGCATATTTACCGTTTGATAGTTCAGATATTCATTCGGAAAGGAGATCAGTTTCAATGATTCAAAAAGTGGAAACATCACGAGATTTTCAATGGAACACAATAATGACCTAATATTTTTATAGTATTTTAAATATTTTCACTTGTAATTGAGGGTTTTTTTCTTTTTAATTAATCAATATTTGCAAATAATCAAAAAGAAAGACATGGCTAATTCATCGGGGCAGGATATCGCCAGGCAAACACTGACCGATCGTTTGTTAGATGCCGTGAAACAGGCAAGTGATGCTTTCTTTCAGTGATGAAAGCTTCGATAATTTTTGCGTAGAAAATTTCTATAAAAGCAGTATTTTTCTTGTTTACCTTTGGACGTGATCAGTGAATGAGGAGGTGTCTTTATTTTAGTGTCAAATACGATTTGGAGGAAAAACTGAGCTTGCAACTGAGAAGGATAGCAGGTACTGTACTTCGATCTGAGATTTGTACTTTTGACCTGTCTCGACCAATTCAACTCAGGGCGAAGTAAGGATTTGGGACAAATTTATAACAATAGCTTTCTAATTGTGAATATGTACCGCAGATTTGTAACATTTACATTCGAGAAAACGTCTTGGCAAGTTCTTTCATTCATTAATTCCTAGTTTGTGTCCAGGATTTAGGAGTTTATGTTTTCGAAAATATTGAACCAGGAACTTCACATGTTAAGATGTCAGGCACTTTCAATATCATATCTAATAAAAACCTGAAGCTTCTGACCTTCAGCTTTCTTTTTAAAAGAATTTAGTCCTTGCAATCGACCTTAGGTTAAAATGAAAAGATTTTGTCCTACTGTGCGTATTTCACTGGCAGTTTCCAGACCTCTTCCAAGTAGATTTTCCAAGAAACAGATATATTTTATTTTTGAAAAATTCAGGATATCCTGTCTCTGTGCTCAGTGGGTGACTGCATTGCAGTTTGGGATGAAATCTAATAAGAAGATCAATCCATTGAGGTTAGGATCATTTTGAAATATATAACTCAGTAATATTGGCTGTATACAATGCCACAATTAATCTTTGGATTATGTTTTCTATAATATACGCTACATATTTATTTGTCTTGACATACTTTCTGTGGCATTTTAGACACGTTACTGGTCAGGTATTGCTCAGGAACGAAGGCCAGTCAGTGTTCTGGCAGTTTGTGAAAGAGCATCTCAGTGCAACCGAAATACGAAGATTTAATTCTCTTGAGAATGTCAACACTGACACCGGCAGAGGTATGTGAATTCAACATGAAATTTCTACATCTTGTAAATCTCTTACCAGGGCATTGAAACAATGCAACCATTAAGATTTCTGTGTTGTTTTATAGCTCATGCCTGGCTTAGATCAGCACTGAATGAGCAATCTCTGGAGAAGTATCTGCATAGCTTTCTGGGACACAAGCAACTTTTAAGGTATAAAGAAAACTGTAAACAAAGATTATTTACTGTTCTATTACCAACTGACATACAGTCAAATATATTTCTTACTGTGGTATTTTACTTGCCAATCAATTAATTTTATTTTATTTACAAACAATGCTTTGTGAATTGAGTCTTGTATGATAATTAAATAACTTTTTAAAATATATGTCTCAAGTGCTTATTATGAACAAGATGCTTTATTATTGGATGAAGAAAGATCAAGCATGCTACCAATGATGGCCGCAGGTGAGGCGATATAATTGCTTCATCCATTCAAAAATGTGTCATCTTTCATTTCATTTCTGACACTCAAAATTTGCAATTTTTTCAGGTCTAAGTTCAATCCTTTTTGCAATCAAAATTGACGATGCTGAGTTCAACATTTCAAAACAGGTGGAAAGACTTGTATTTATACAATTGTTTTATAAACTTTCAATAGTATTTTATTAACCTAGTATTTGTTTAATATTTCAAAAGGCTTCAACAAATGGAAATCTAAATATTCAGTTGGCTCCAGTTAATGTTGTTCAAAGTTCAATGAAGAAAGAACCATCTCCAATGTACTCAACATATGGAGCTCCAGGTATGGTTCTGCTCTTTCAGTTCTAAACTGTTCTTCCTAGAGGTCCAGTAAGGATCATCTCTTATTGATCCAGTGTTACTACAGGAGGAAACCTAAACTAAACTAACTTTATTTATACTGGATAGCTCTATCAGTTCTAAACTGTTCTTCCTAGAGGTCCAGTAAGGATCACCTCTTATTGATCCAGTGTTACTACAGGAGGAAACCTAAACTAAACTAAATTTACGTTTTTCTTTTTCAGTAAAAGAAAAGAAAAAGCGAAAAAAGAAAAAGCCGACCATAGCGCAAATAGAAAACGTCGAATTTGACGACGAAGAAAGTCCTGATGATCCGAAAATGTCGGAAACATCAGAAGAAGTCTTGACCAATCACGAGCCAGACATTCCACAAGTTGACGTCAGCTACTCTAATCCATCGCTCACGATAACAAACCAAGCCGGTGAAACTTCAAGAAACCCCGTTTATTACGAGAAACAATCACGAGAAACTAATTTTGAGGATTTAAAAGTCGAAGAAACAAGAACGGAAAAGATTGTTAAAAATCAAAAATTTTATTTCCTCGAGGGCAGTGGTTTGCAAGCTACAGCGAATATCCCCGTCAGTAAGCCTAGATTAAGTATAAGCTCGGACAATTCCGTCTCGTCTCAACCTGCTGAAGAGGGGCCAGTTTTGGACCATTCAAGAGATGAGCCGTTGGTCGATTTGTCCAGCGGTGTTGCGCTCACCCCGGTCTCTTGCCCGGATGAGACGACCGCCTGGGCTCTAGCGGAATCCAAGGATAGAGAGAGTCCTGGGAACGAAGGATTACCGGTAGTCGCAACGCGATTGTTCGCTGGTTCAAATCATGACTCTCCGGTTTCAAGGTTAGTTGTACTTTTAGTTCTGGTCCAGCAAAATGAGGAGGGGGGCAGCAAGCTTGAACCGAATTCTGGTCCAGTTAAAACGTTATTATATTACTCTCAGTGTCTGTACCGACGACGATGTCGGCGACGACTACACGAGCTTGGCAATCGGGGCGACCGATGCCGTGATATCAGCCACTCAAGATGTTCACAAAGAAATTGCAGATTTCACGAGTTCTTCTCTTGTCAGAACCATGGGAGATGGTCGCATGAGTGTAAGTATTTCGCCACGAGATGACGAAATAAGAATGGTTTTTTACCAATTTGTGTCAAAGAAGCAGTTTTAATTAATATTTTTGGTGTAAAAAAGGCATAATTCTCGCTCTTTTTGGCCAATTCAGGAGATCACGTACACGCGTAAAAATCACCATGTTGATGCAAGTTGTTAAAAACAGGAGTGAACAATGTTGTGCTGCACCCTGTGAACAGTATTGTTAACAATGTTATTGAAACTTGTTGAATCATCAATGCTGTTGCAACTTGTTACAACAACATTGCATCGTGATTGCATCAACATTGATGATTCAACAAGCTTCAACAACATTGTTAACAATACTGTTCCCAGGGTGCAGCACAACATTGTTCACTCCTGATGCGACACCTGATCAATTTTTACGCGTGTAGGTCAGTTGTGGCCGGATCTTTGATAAAACTTGATGTAACTCTAATAAAATATTTGTTTGTTAACAGCCACCGAGCGAGGCTTCTGGTACCAAGGAAATGACTTCAGGTGCGAAAAAAATACATTCCCTTTGTGAAGACATGTCAAATATGATCAGAATACAGATTACAGCGTTAGCAGACAATATTCTTGAAAAGAAAAACACTATAGATTGTATCTCAATGCAAAACGTGCAGTTTACTGTGTTCGGTAACAAAAAAATGCTTTAACAATGAACATTTCCTATTTAGGGGAACTAAAACAGGCCATCGTATCCATGATGTTAAGAAAAGATGAGGTTGAAGAGTCTAATAGGTATTCAACCATTTCATGTTTTTTCTAGTACCATTCTTTTTCTTCTTATAATATTGCATCCTACTTTATTCAGATCGCTGAGACAACTTTTGGATAAAGAAATGCAAGAATCAGCCTCGCTTCGTGATCAAGTCGATGATTTGCGAAGGGAACTTTCATCTTCAAATGAAACGTTTCATGCAACCCTGCATACCCTAACAAGGTTAGCACGTTTCACCTTTTCTCATTCAACCATCTACTTAACTAACACTTTGTAATTTCAAATCTCGTCAGAAATTTTGCACTTACATATAGTTATTACGAAAAGGAAAAAATTGGGAAACTTTACCGTAATCTTTAGCTGTGTATTCCAATTCAATTCGAAGTAGAACCAATGAAAATCAAAACTGAAACCGCGGTTTGTTTGACCTTTGCCCGTAAACAAAAATCTGACAGTTTCTTGTATTTTTCGCAGCGAAAATGATCTCTTAAAACACCAATTAAAGAAATATGTTGCGGCTGTTCAGTCGTTGCGTAGAAACGAGTCTTTGGACATTGGTAAGTATTGCTACAATTAGAGAGTTGATGATGGTCGTGGTTTTACGATTGAAAGCCAATTTTGTCATATAGCTGTTCCTGGAAGCAAACAGTTGGACGATCTTCCTGTACTGGATGACAAACCACAAGATCAAGCGAGGTGCTGCAGCTATTTGATTGATATAACCTTAACCAACTTATACTGGATAGCTCTATCAGTTCTAAACTGTTCTTCCTAGAGGTCCAGTAAAGATCATCTCTTATTGATCCAGTGTTACTACAGAAGGAAACCTAAACTAAACTAACTTTGTTTATACTGGATAGATCTATCAGTTCTAAACTGTTCTTCCTAGAGGTCCAGTAAAGATCATCTCTTATTGATCCAGTGTTACTACAGAAGGAAACCTAAACTAAACTAACTTTATTTATACTGGATAGCTCTATCAGTTCTAAACTGTTCTTCCTAGAGGTCCAGTAAAGATCATCTCTTATTGATCCAGTGTTACTACAGGAGGAAACCTAAACTAAACTAACTTTATTTATACTGGATAGCTCTATCAGTTCTAACTGTTCTTTCTAGAGGTCCAGTAAGGATCATCTCTTGTTGATTCAGTGTTACTACAGGAGGAAAACTAAACTAAACTAACTTTATTTATACTGGATAGCTCTATCAGTTCTAACTGTTCTTCCTAGAGGTCCAGTAAGGATCATCTCTTGTTGATCCAGTGTTACTATAGGAGGAAACCTAAACTAAACTGTCTTTTTTTAATGTGATGAATTTCAGTGATGAAGAAAAAAGAGATTTTGAAAGGAAACTCATTCAGGTAACAGGTTGTCGATTTAAATCTTCTCTAAATTGTTTTTTATTTCGAACGTTTTATAACGATCAGATTTTTTTTCAGGTCGCAGACATGCACGGTGAATTGATTGAACTCAACGACAGGTTACAAAAAATGTTGAATATTCGTGAACACCAGTTAAGAAGACTGAGAGAAGAGCTGATTGATCTCAGAGGCCCGGTGAGATTCTATATTATTACGTACTAACTGTGTAAAGAGTTTATGCTGGATAGCTCTATCAGTTCCAAACTCTTCTTCCTAGAGGTCCAGTAAGAATTATCTCTTATTGATCCAGTGTTACTACAGAAGAGAAGCCTAAACTAAACTAACTTTATTTATACTGGAAAGTTCTGCTAGTTCTTAACCATTCTTTTTATAGTAGTTTAAACACTTATTGGTCCATTGTTATATTTCAGCTTCCAGAAGATGGTAATCTTGATGACTCTTCCAGCTTGGAGGGTTTAGGACCTCGCTTGGTCCAAGTAAATACACGTCCTCTTATAAATATCTGGATTCCTTCAGCGTTCGCTCAGGGAAGATCTTCCAACGTCCACCACACGTATCAGGTAAATGTGAAAAACTTATCATTTTAGGTCGTATCATTTTACCGACATTTTTCTATCCAAACTTGGCCAGAAGGCAACAAGAAATATACGAAATGATAATATCGGTGAAGCGAAACACAGTCCAGCTTCACTGTTTTTCTGTGCTCCCATTTCTGCATCAAGTCACTTTGTTTTCATCTTGTGATAATACTGATTCATTTATACTCGTAGCGTTAACGGGAAGAACATTTCTGGCATTGTTGATTTCAATGTTTCCTTTTCAGGTGTATGTAAGAATCAAAGATGACGAATGGAATGTTTACCGAAGATATTCAGATTTTTATGGCCTTCATAAAAAGGTTTGCGTTTACATATTTGAACGATATTCTTCCATTACTAAACATTATAGTCAAGAGCAGTTTCATGTTATGGTCCGTGACGCACTTATGTTAGTTATGTACTAATATAACTATACAGTTTACACTTTTTTGTCTTTTTCTCCAGATCAGCAAGCAATATCCTGCCGTTAGTCAGTTTAAATTTCCGCAAAAGAAGGTTCTTGGAAATCGTGATGCAAAATTCGTGGAAACTAGGCGAAAAAACTTGCAGCGATATTTACGAAAATTAATAAATTACAGTTTGAGAATTGTTCCAGAACTTTCAGAAAATCCTTGTAAAACCACGTTGCTGAATTGGTTCCCTTTCTTCGGGTTAGTATTTTCCGATTATTTGTTGTTAGATTGGCTCTCCCGTTTCCAAATTTATATATTTTCTTTATAGACAAACTGCAAATGAGTCCGGCGTACAAAAATCATCAAACCCAAACATCCCAGCCCATTACACAGGAATATAATTTCATTGATCAATATTTATCAAAACGTTGCAATACTTAAACAATGTCGCCTTAAACAAAGTCGCCTTAAACGCCAGCAACAAATTCTACTCTTTAATATATACCATGAGATGGTCATGTTCCTGATTTCCCCTCAAAAATGACATTATATATTTGTATAGACAAAATTATTTTATGAAATTAAATATTATTATAAATCAAATTTAAAAATATAAATTATTATAGTTATGGAACCTATCGAAAATCTCTTTGTAATCTAGTAATATGTACAATTGCAAATATATTAGAATATAAACTAATTTAAAAAATAGGATTATTAATCGTCTTTTTTGTATATTTAATTTACACAGGCATGGCAAATAAGTTTGTCCAGTACGTTTGTTCTGGTTCAAAATATTCACAATGCGATATTTTAGAGTTACATTTGGTAAGGATTTTTAAAAGCGATTGATTGATTTGAGGTTGAAAAAGAGTGGATAAATTCTGGTCAGAAAGAAAAATAATTGGAGGGAAGAGGTAGGAATAACACGAAGAAAAACAGGAGAGAATTGAAGGCAGCTAAGCAGTGAAAAGAGCAAAACGAAAGCCGGAAGAAGGGAAGAACAAGAAATACATAAAATGGTCGAAAAAAAGGTAAAATGGAGGACGTTTTTTCTCCTTATTTTCATTTTTGATTTTTCAGTGATTTTCAGTAGTTACCAACCTTCCGACAACTTCCGGTAACCACGGCCGCGTGCGAATCGAACCAGGAGTGAAACAATTTTCACATTTCAATATTTTTAGTACGATCTGGTATTTCTCGTTTTTTAAACTGTTCTTCTGTACAACAGAAAATGATTTTATCAAGATGTATTCACGGATACCTGTTTGTGTATTCCCGTTGAAGATCGGGCGAAGAAATGCGGTAAACTGAGAGTTTTCGTTGCGTGAACAGCGTAGTTTTTGGCTGGCTTCAAAATCAAACAAATTTTCATTCATCAAGCCGGTGTCAGATTTCGTATAAATCTCAGGATTTTTGTTGAATTTAGTCGTTTTATTCTATACATCATTCATTATGTCTTCGGTTGGGATTCCTATTAACTCGAAGAATTATTGGAAGAGCAACGATTTGATAGATAAGAAACTCGGTTCTGTGTTAGACCGAAAGGTGGCTTCGACAAGCAAACAAGTGCTGTTGGATAGAATCGAATTTAAAGAGGCCTCAAAGCCGGATCCGTTCTACCAAGAACTAAAACAGAAATACACGCCGTTGAATAGCGCCTCGTCGAATCAACAGACTGGAAATGATCAGAAAGAAAATACAAAGAAAAAACTTGATGTTTGTATAAAGAAACCAGGCAAAGATGAATTACCCTCGCCGAAATTTGTCTTATTTGAGAAAGAGAAGGTTCATCTGGGATGGAAGACAGTCCGGAGTGTTGGTCCAGGGTTGTTCAATCTGGGTAACACATGTTTTCTGAATTCCGTCATACAAGTTCTGACATATACACCGCCATTAGTGAATTACCTGGCAACACAGGAGCATTCAAGGACATGTGAGTATATTTTGTGCATGTGTTTCAATTTTTGCTAATTATGCTTAATTAGTAAAATGTGAATTGTTAAGTAATCAAAGTGACATGGCCAAGTGTTAATTGATATTATTGATTATATAGTTTGGTATCATAGCTTGTAGTAGATAAAGAAATTGTTCACACAGATTCTGCCTAACACAGTGTCCTTAGCTATATCTATTGAAACATTTAAATGATAATTTGTAAATTGTGTTTCTTTGAGAACCCAATTTTTAGCATTGGGGGTTGGTTAATACATTAGGTGGGGATTTTTAATTATCCAGTATTCGTCCACCATCAACTCAGATGATTTTACTCATTAGTGTCACAAGTACTGTCATTTATCAATGGTTATGCACTATCTACTGTATAATTATTCATTGTTATTGTGCCTTTTTACTACTTATTACATATGTATACTTATCATGTGCCTGGTCATAGCTGAAACAATATGGCTGAAACCATCAGGCAAAAACAGAATATGTGAATATTCACCCCCAACCATCACTGTAGTTTCAGGCCAGTGCCTGGTTTCACTTGTTAGTCGACTAAGTTTCACTTGTCACAATGCTGGCCAGCATCATGGTTAACAACAAAATCAAGATAAGTTTTTGTATTTAAATGCTGAAACAGATTCAATTCTTCTTCAGGTGCAACTGTTGGATTCTGTATGTTATGCGAGCTACAGCGTCATGTTGTGCGAACTTTCTCGCACAATCAAAATCAAGCAATCAAACCATTAGCTATTTTACAGAAATTAAAATGTAAGTTGAACCCAACCTTTCAAATGTATGGTCTTGAATATTGTTGATTCTCAATTTCCTATTTGTTTGTTTAGTCATTGCAAAACATCTCAGATTTGGCCATCAAGAGGACTCACATGAATTTCTTCGCTATGTTATTGATGGGATGATGAAAAGTTGTCTTTCTGGAGTGTCTGAGAAGTAGGTTTTAGGACAAAAATGGTGTTTTAGGACAAAAATGGTGTTGGTGTCTTTGTGTGATGGCCTTGTTTCAGAGCCTTGTATAGCATTTCCAATTTAAATGAAAGACATTGGTAGAAAACTAGCCATTAATTAATAGGCAGACACAAGGTTCTTAATATATGCTTTCAATGTGTTTTTGCATCTAGATTAGATTCATATACGAAAGCAACAACAATGGTTCATCAAGTCTTTGGTGGATATTACCGAAGTCAAGGTTTGCTTTTTAAAATATGTACAAGTATTGCAATGCTGACTAACAAAATTTGTTGTGTTGTTAAATGTTTTAACTGTGCAATTGAGCGAAGAGTAACGGCCAGAAATAAAAGATATTCTAATCCTTTTTAGTGATTTGTGAAAAGTGTCATCACACATCAACCACATATGATCCACTCATGGAAGTATTGCTTGATATTAAGGTCTGTACATCATCCTTAAAACTTTCACAATCAATCACCATTGAAATAAAGACGTGATTGTCCTGCTTGTAACCTGTGTGTAAATTTGGTATTTGCTATATAATGGGCTAGTAAATACTAGTTAAATTAAAATTTATATCAACTAGTTATTGTATATGAGCTAGGTATTGAATATCGGCTGGCTATCATGTATATATTTAAACAATTCCATAAAATGACCAACTTTTTTTTCACATTGTTGTATTTGTAGTAAGTTTATATCCTATGCTAAATTTTATCTTTTTAGCACACTCATTCAGTTGTGAATGCTATGCACAAGCTTGTTTCATCTGAGTTACTCAATGGAGAGAACCTGTACTTATGTCCAAGGTGAGCTAAATCAAGAGTTTGCCATTGGCAATGAATGAAATCTATGTTAATATAATTCAATAGTTTAAAATAAATAAAAAAAGAAGTTCAGTCTTTTGTCTGTCACTGAATTACTCACAAAATTAAACCTTTTGATTGTTGAAGATGCAAAAGAAAAGTTCCAGCGAAGAAAAATTTAAGGGTTCATCAACCACCAAATGTCATGACAATGTGTTTAAAGAGGTAGAATTTGTACCTGACTAGTTTCAACTGAGATGGTTGGTTTAGTTTTTAGAAAGTCTGTTAATAAGTAAAACGAAGTTTTCATGACTATAACGTTTTGTGTAGTCGGTTAGTTTCACAGGTAATGGTTAAATTCAATGTCTTTTCTGTGTTTTATATAGATTCGACAGTCACTCGTTTTTCGCTTCGAAAATAAACAAGGAAGTTAGTTATCCGGAACAGTTGAATCTTCGGCCGTTTATGAGCACGAACCAAGGACCAGCTGTTCCTTACAAACTCTACGCCGTTCTCGTTCATTGTGGTTACTCCTGCAACTCCGGACATTATTATTGTTTTATAAAGGCAGCCAACAATCATTGGTATCAAATGAACGATTCCTCTGTAAGTTGTTATACGAATTACGAAAAGGATGTTGTTAAAAACAACACTACTAAGGCTAATGGTGAAGACTACTACTGATATAAAAGCCAGACCAAAGTCTGTGTAGTTTGTCTTTGAACTGATAAAACTCTAACTCTAAGGCAGAATCTTGAATTCTCCTTGGGAACTTAAACAACAAACATCGAATTGAACTGTCTTTTATCTTGTACACTCGCACGAATGGAAGCCCTCGCCAACAAACAGTCGTATATTCACTCTTATTTCATTTTGTAGGTTCGTCAAGTCAATTTAAAAACGGTTTTATGCCAACAGGCGTATCTTCTTTTTTACATCAAAGAACACAACATTCACAAAGAGGTTTGTGCCTGGTTTGTTTTATCTATGACTGTAGTTGTTCTGGGAGTGATATTTCTTCTCTGATTTTGTTTAGAAAACAAATTCCACACAGAAACAGCCCGCTAGAAATAGTTGCACAAACAGCACAGAAGGATTTCATCAAAAACAACATTCAAATGCACCAAAAGTCATCAGCGAACGGTCAAACAAAGGTATGTGTACATCGAGAGACCGAAATGCTTAATATTAGTTGTTTTTAGGTTCACTTTTTTTATTGGATAGTATTTTATGAAAGCTTTGCTTTATTTCACGTCAAGTAATCTTATTCTCAATTCCTAACTTCGAAAACAATGCTTGCACGAATATTTGAAGCCTTAAAGATTCAATATAAATTGTTTTAGACGACAAAACCGCAGCTCAACAATTTCCCGCTAAAAGACCCGAATCTTCGTGGAAAGCGAGCGTTGAAACAAACAAACAGTTAAACTTGAACCATCGACCTACGAGCATTCCTCAAAGGCGGGAAAAGGTTGTGTTCGCTTTAAATCACGGACTTAAAAAACCCCAAAACACAGCAGAGGAGAAAGAATTGGAAACCAAAGAAGATAATTTGAAAACTGACACGAAATCATCACAACATTTGCAACACGATAATCGAACGAGTTTTGAAGGAAGGAGCGAGAAAGTCGGTGAAAAACTTCAAGTGAATGAAGTTAGTAGTTCGGTGGTAGACGACAAAAACAACCGATCATCTTCTGCAAGTGACACAAATTACGAAAACAAGTCGACTGATAAAGGTATATTAATTTCACACCTGGGGGAGATGTTGAACTATATAGTTTAACTGGAAGGCTAACTGGTGATAAACATGCCTGTATTATACCTTAAAGTCGGTGTTTTTTAGTGCTATGTCCTTGACAGATGCAAATGAGTAAATAGTTAGGATTGTCCGGCGTATAATTGCCCTTATTTGAACACCCGTAACTTACCCACTCGATCACATCTGTCAAAAGGAATCTTTCATAGAACTGGTCTTTAAAGAGCTCTTTTCAATCGCTTTTTTAAATGTCTTTATTTTGTTATTTAGCGGAGCAAAAAGACACAAAAACTCCACAGGATGTTCACGCCACAACAAAATGGACTGTTACAAAGAACAGCTCCCTTCCTACGGCATTGCTACCTGGGGCTTTACTCCCAGGAGGTAGGGAGAGGACCCCCTCTATGAGCTCGGAGCTCAGTAACCCCGGAAGTGTGGCGAGCAAGACTGGGGACTGGGCCGTGTGTGATCGAAGTTCCACCCAAGATATGATCGGACCCAGGCTTCCAGAGCGACAACACGCCGGTTGGAAAGTTTCGACAGCTGATTCGGCGAAGAAAGATGGCGTGAATGGAGATTTTAGGAAGAGGTATTATAACTGATGCTCTTGTTATAGATGAGTGCTGTGAATATATCCAGTCTTGTTATAGATCAGTGCCGTGAATATATTCAGTCTTGTTTTTGATCAGTGCTGTGAATATATTCAGTCTTGTTATAGATCAGTGCTGTGAATATATCCAATCTTGTTATAGATCAGTGCTGTGAATATATCCAATCCACTGATCTGAAATCCAATCTTGTTATAGATCAGTGCTGTGAATATATCCAATCTTGTTATAGATCAGTGCTGTGAATATATCCAATCCACTGATCTGAAATCCAATCTTGTTATAGATCAGTGCTGTGAATATATCCAGTCTTGTTATAGATCAGTGGTGTAAAAATATTAAAGAATTGTCTTTAAATTTAGCGAACAAACTGCCGGAGATGATAGCGACAGCCAGCAAAAGAAACATAAACACAGAAGGGAAAAACACAAGAGAAAGAAGTCGAGAAGCGTTCAATCCGAAGATGAAACGAAGTTGCTATCGGACGAGTTTCGGGAAGGCGAAAGAAGTCGAGGAAAGGCGGAGCGGTTGAAGAAATTAACGAAAGCAAAAAAGCGGAAGAAAGCAGAGTTTGACAGGGATGAATCGAGTGGAGAAGACGAAGAGAAGAAACAAAGAAAGAGACACAAAAAGCTTAAAAAGAAAAAGAAACATAAACGAAGCAGAGATTCCGAGGCGGAGATTTCAAGTTCGAAAAACGCAGAGAAAGTTGGAGCTGAAAAGAATCTCAATTCGAGCCAGGAATCTTTGTTGACTTCGAAAAGCGACATAAACTTCGATGCGGATTCTGAAAACAAACTACACTCGAGAAAGAAGGATAGAAAACGCGACAAAAAGGATTCCGATAGAAAACATGGCGGGAAAATTCTGCACGAGTCGGCTTCTGGCTTCGTTGGCAAAGATGAAAGCTTGAAAGAAAACGATGATCATAAAACTGTAGCGAAGAAACAAACGTGCTTTGAAAAAACAGACAGCAATTGTATTGGTTTACAAAACGGTACAAAAGAAAAAGGTAAAACCAACGGATACGATTCGCCCGACGATAAGTTCCGTACGAATTGCAAAAAAGTTGGTGATTTTGGTAAATCACTTGTTGGGAAAGGGAAGGAGGTGCTTGGGGATTTGAAGGGATGTCGGAAGAGGGATAGGAGGGATAATAGTGAGCAGAAACCGCTGGTCCAGTATTCCGATGACTCGACGTCGGAGGAGCAGTGTGAGGGTAGTAGGGGTGAATCGAGGAATCGTGGGTATACGCACGTGGATAACAGGGGTGAAAAAGACTCAAGACACAAGACAAAGTCACCAGGTAAGATTTTCTCAACAATTTGGGGGCTTTTTCCCCCTGAACAAACTGAAATTCGTAATTGTTGAGTCTTTGCGTCTTTTTTACAGAAATCTCGCGGGAAAATGTAAACAGAAAAGGGGTTGTCGACACGTTGCTAGGCAACTCGCGAAAGTCATCAAAATACGGCCGATTAGGTTGGTTTTCTAGTCCAATGTTATTAAACACTGCAATAGAAACTACTTTATTGTCTTCAGATATCCAACTGTAATCAACGTCATATCTCGTAAATTCTCATGCAACCTCACGCATGCAAAACTTCGCTCAACTCTCAAACTCGTTTCATCAAAATCTTGTTTAATCGATTCGTTTTGAATAAATATTTTAGTTGAAAGATGGGATGGCGAACGAGATGAGTCACTATCAGATAGGGATACAGATGGACACAGGAAGAGAAGGCGGGATATCTGGGACGAAGAGTATGACAGAGGGAAGGTTGGTGATATTATGATACACCATCCAGTTGGTCTTATGTAGTCTGAACATTGTTCTATACTGTAATTAAAGTTGACTACCTTTTTATATTACTATTCCCGTAGTTTAGTCTGATGAAATATCTTCAATTTGTAGTCAGTATGTTTATTTTGTTTGCATGATGTAGGCAATTGCCCCTAATCGTCCTCCTCGGGTGATTTTGTATTTTCAGGTAAAACGGACAAAGAATAGACACAAATATCGTGATTATTCGCATCACGGGGAGAGTTCGTTTCAACGTGAATACGATAGAAGATTTCGAGTGAGTATTTGATGCATCTTTTCTACTCATCGCAAAAACCCTACTTGCAAGTTCGATGTGAGTTTTGCATAGAAATTTTCCGTATATATGACTTTTGATAGATGAGAATACGTAATTACTTACGAATGCATGCTCCGATGTATAAGAGCTTTTTAATATAAGATTTGAACATCAGTCACTAATTCATTCGTTCACATCTATCAAAAGAAGAAAATCACAGCAAAAATCGCACTGCTACTTTTTATGTCGTCGAGAAGCTGTCATGGCACCACAAGTTATGCACACCTATGAACTATTGTCTCGCGTGTGGAGTTTCTTTGTTTTGCGAGCGCGTCGTTGAACTGGCCGCTTCTTGAATCTTAAACTCTTGAGTCTTAAAGTCTTTATACATGTAAAGCTGTTGTATCGCTCATATCCTGTCAAAATCGAATCTTAATTCAATTTACAACAGATGTGCGCTCGCCAAGATTCTAATATTTTTTTCAAATTTTAGAAGGAAAACCGACATTCCACGTCTTCAAGTGGTTGGCACAAGCGTAGCTATGATCGTCACTCGCGGCGCGATAGGCGATGATGTCATTTCATTTCTGGAATTGACTGGAAAAGACTGAAGAAGCTGCCTCATGTTGGTACAGTCCAGATCCAAAATTGGTTTTTATATTTAACTGTGCAACTTCAAATGTATGGGAGTCGAAATAGGTGGGTGAGAATTGAGGGGGTGGGTGAGGCATTGTGTGTGAGGAGACCACTAGAGGTATTTTACAATTAAATTACAGAAACATTGTCAATGGTATTGTATTTTTATTTAAACAATGGCTATAGTCTATTTTATCATTTCCAGCTATAGTTTTTTGTATACATTCTTGTTCCAACATCTCGTAAGCAGAAAGTTCTGTTACACAAGGTATCAAGTGATTTCAATTCTATTATAAAAGTTTTAAAAGCTCATCAACTATGATGATGGTCAAGCAACTGGCTAAAATATATAATTACGGATTGTTCATCAGTTCATAATTTTGCTTGAAACTTGTGTTTCATAAAAAAATGAACTTTTTTATCTTATTTTACTGCATGTCTATGAGAAAGTCATTCTGTATAAAATGTTACAAAATTGCCAATTCTTGAATTTGATGACTGACAATGAAAAACTGTTTATCAACAATACTCTACAATGTCCATGCCTCAATTACAAATTTGGGGAGTGCCTATTAATGATTTTTTTGATATGTCATGCATGTGATTTAAAATTACACTGATGTGATCATGTGAATGGTAAAATATTAATGGTTTATAGTGAACAAAAAGTCAATCCTCACAGGATGACAGTCACACACAGAGAGAGTTCTGTGATTTCAGAGAGTTAATATCAGTCCTACAAGATTAAAAATAATTACTCTGAACTCTTTGTATGTGATTGTCATCCTGTCGGAATTGATTTGACTAATTCAAGTTTTATTTACCATGCATTTATTGCATTGCCATTTGATCTATGCCCATAGGCCATAGTGCATTTTTTAACATTTGCCTTCATGAAAATAAGTCCACTACAGTTGAAGGAATGTTACGTGCTGTTCCCAAACCAAAGCAACTGTACCATGGAGATTAGAAATAATCTGAACGAAGGACAAAGACTCCAGATCAACATCGTCTTTCAGCACTCCTGTTTCTGAGAAACTACAAAGATAACGTCCAAAGTCTGTTGAAACCAGGATCCGTTTTGTGATGTAATTTATCGCAACAGAATCAATAGATCCATATTTTTTAGGTATCATAACTTTGCGTTCCAACTCGCCGTTCTCCGTGTAGATATAAAAACAATCTTCCCAATAACCTGCAGTAATTATTTTTGTTCTATTATTATCTAGAAACCGTATCATATTCGCTCTGTCAGATAATTCTTTGAGATGAGAACTATTATGGACTTCAAATGAATTCGTCTTACAAGAAGTTCCGACATGTAGAATTTGTTTCTCTCGATCAAAAACGGCGATCATTTTGTCATTGTTTACTGCTATGGGTACAACAGATCCAATTATATCTGTATAGGCTTTCATGTGTTTAAAAGGTAACAGAGACTCAAGTTTTTTCTCTCCATGCTCATCAAATATCAACAACTTGTAACTCCATGATTGATCATCGCTTTCTTGCGTGATGAGGTAAAGGTTATCTTCGGCATCGATATCCATCCCAACAACCTTGCAACTTGGCAAATCTTCTTGTTTGGAAGGATCAAATATTGTACGGGATTCTCCTGAGGGATTCAAATTTTTAACAGAATTATGTATCTCTATTCTCGCAACAATTTCTCTTTTGCTATTTACAACACAGCAAGATCGATCAATACTCTCGGTGGTTTCGAAAAATGTGTAACCCAGGTACGGCGACGTAATTTCCACACCAGACTCTCTGTATTTTTCAATAAGGCGATCACTCCGGACTATTGGATGATGAGTTTTCTTTCCAAGCAAAATCTCGGGCCAATTAAAAAGCACTGTTTGCAAGTTCGAAAACCTTTTGGCGAATTCAAACAAAAGCAGATTCATTTGATGAACTGACGAAGCATTGTTGAGTCGCTTTGTTTTATTAAACCGAGATTTAATTCCGTCGTCAATCACAACAGAAAATATTTCTTGAATAGCTTTGATATCATGAAGCCCCTTCAGGTATTGCAGGCAATCGCTTACCCCCGCGTCAGGATCTTCTGATTTTTCTAAAATTCTGGCCATCATTCGAACCTGCGTCGCTTGAATTCGGTCCTCGATGGACAAAGCTTCGTTGCTGAATGCTTCGGTTGCTTTTTCACGAGCGAGCTTGAACGACTCAATGGCAGAGAGATAGCGTTCCTTGGAATGTATTTTCAATGAATTGAAGGCGTTTATCAAAGACGTGACCTCGTTGATTTGAGAAACAAGAACAACTTCCCGAAAAGACGTAGCTCCAGCTGAGGTTGCTTGTTCGGTTGATTCTGATCCATTGTCGGACGCATTAAACTGTTGTAGCGACTGATAAAGACCATTGATTCCTTCCTGAAGAAAACAAAAACTGCTCAGTAAGTCCTTTTTCGCTAATCCATCCAACTTCGTCTTAATATCATCGAGTTCTCTCACGATCAAGCGTCGACATTCTTCGTCCGTGACGTCGCCATCGTTTAAACGTTCTGAGATTTTACTGCGAGCCTTGTCCACTAAAAATCCAAATGTCAGCTTCAAAACTCTGGTAACGATCTCAGTCATCTTGAAATAAACGGAGCGTTATATTAACTGCTTGTGAAACTGTCACAAGATCAACACACCCTCTAATTTCACTCAAATTTAAACCAACTTATATTTTGTCTCAAAAAATTCCGAACTTTGGGAGAGTTTGCTACTCCCTGATGGGCATATCAAAAACTGATTTTTTAGAGAGGGAATCACAGTTTTTATTGTAAGCAAGCGCTTAATGTCTCAGATTATGATGTATTGTGTGCATGTCAACTCAATATTGGTTTGATGTGCTCCTAAATGAATATGAACTAGAATATGTGTGTAAAAAAAGTCGAAATAAAGACTGTTTCTTACGAGTCCATCACGAGTCCATCACGAGACCAACACACCCACCCCGCCCAGGAAGACGTTTAATTTCATTCAAATTTAAATTCAAACGACTTCATTGTCTTGTACTCGAAAAATTTCCGCGTCAGGAAAGTTCTGTTTTGAAAATTTCAAAAATTCTTCAGAGAGGGGTTCCAAGTTTTTGATATAAAAAACTTTTGTTTACCGATTTCAAACTTCTATGTTTCTTCAAAATACGATGTACTGTCTGGATATCTTACACAAAATTAGTAAGCCATGCTTCTAAATGAATATGGGAAGGTTGGTGATATTATGATACACCACCCAGTTGGTCTTATGTAGTCTGAACATTGTTCTATACTGTAATTAAAGTTGACTACCTTTTTATATTACTATTCCCGTAGTTTAGTCTGATGAAATATCTTCAATTTGTAGTCAATATCTTTATTTTGTTCGTGCATGATGCAGGCAATTGCCCTAATCGTCTTCCTCGGGTGATTTTGTATTTTCAGGTGAAACGGACAAAGAATAGACACAAATATCGTGATTATTCGCATCACGGGGAGAGTTCGTTTCAACGTGAATACGATAGAAGATTTCGAGTGAGTATTTGATGTATCTTTTCTACTCATCGCAAAAACTCTACTTGCAAGTTCGATGTAAGTTTTGCGTATAATTTTTGCGTATATATGACTTTTGACAGATGTGAATGCGTAATTACTTACGAATGCTCTGATGTATAAGAGCTTTTATTTGAACATTAGTCACTAATTCACTCGTTCTTATCTTTCAAAAGAAGAAAATCGCAGCAAAAATCGCAAGTGTAAACGAGCCTTTTAGCCTATCACTTTGCAGCTGCTTTCATGTCGTCGAGAAGCCGTGAAATTACCTCATTTGAAAGCGTTGTAAGAACGAGAACGATGTCGTGGCACCACTAGTTATGCACACCTATGACCTATTATCTCGTGTGTGGAGTTTCTTTATTTTGCGAGAGCGTCGTCGAGCTGGCCGCGTCTTGAATCTTAAACTCCCTACTGTGACGAGAAAGTCTTTATAAAGCTATTGTATCCCCCATATCCTGTCAAATTGGAAACTTAATTCAAACCAAATCGCCCTAAACTATTCTTTTTCCAGCGCCAATTTAAAACTGATGTGCGCTCGCCAAGATTCTAATATTTTTCTCAAATTTTAGCAGGAAAACCGACATTCCACATCTTCAAGTGGTTGGCACAAGCGTAGCTATGATCGTCACTCGCGGCGTGATAGGCGATGATGTTATTTCATTTCTGGAATCCACTGGAAAAGACTGAAGAAGCTGCCTCATGTTGGTACAGTCCAGATCCAAAATGGGTTTTTATATTTAACTGTGCAATTTTCAAATGTATGGGAGTCGAAATAGGTGGGTGAGAATTGAGGGGGTGGGTGAGGCATTGTGTGTGAGGAGACCACTGGAGGTATTTTACAATTGAATTACAGAAACATTGTCAATGGTATTGTGTTTTTATTTAAACAATGGCTATAGTCTATTTTATCATTTCCAGCTATAGTTTTTTGTATACATTCTTGTTCCAACATCTGGTAAGCAGAAAGCTCTGGTACACAAGGTATCAAGTAATTTCAATTCTATTATAAAAGTTTTTAAAGCTCATCAGCTATGGTGATGGTCAAGCAACTGGCTAAAATATATAATTAAGGATTGTTCAACAGTTCAGTGTTTCTTTTCCAGAGCTATAATTTTGCTTGAAACTTGTGTTTCACAAAAAAATAAACTTTTTTATCTTATTTTACTGCATGTCTATGAGAAAGTCATTCTGTATAAAATGTTACAAAATTGCCAATTCTTGAATTTGATGACTGACAATGAAAAACTGTTTATCAACAATATTCTACAATGTCCATGCCTCAATTACAAATTTGGGGAGTGTCTATTAATGATTTTTTTGATATGTCATTCATGTGATTTAAAATTACACTGATGTGATCATGTGAATGGTAAAATATTAATGGCTTATAGTGAACAAAAAGTCAATCCTCACAGGATGACAGTCACACACAGAGAGAGTTCAGTGATTTCAGAAAGTTATGAGTCATACAAGATTAAAAATAATTTTTCTGAACTCTTTGTATGTGATTGTCATCCTGTCGGAATTGATTTGACTAATTGAAGTTTTATTTACCATGGATTTATTGCATTGCCATTTGACATATGCCCATAGTGCTTTTTTTAATATTTGCCTTCACGAAAATAAGTCCACTACAATTGAAGAAATGTTACGCGCTGTTCCCAAACCAAAGCAACTGCACCATGGAGATTAGAAATAATCTTAACAAAGGACAAAAACTCCAGCTCAACATCGTCTTTGAGCTCTCCTGTTTCTGAGAAACTACAAAGATAACGTCCACCGTTAGTTATAACCAGGATCCGTTTTGTGATGTAATTTATCGCAACGGAATAAATATATCCATATTTTTTAGGTATCATAACTTTGCGTTCCAACTCCCCGTTTTCCGTGTAGATATAAAAACAATCTTTCAAATAACCTGCAGCAATTATTTTTGTTCCATTATTATCTAGAAACCGTATCATATTCACTCTGTCAGATAATTCTTTGAGATGAAAACTATTATGGACTTCAAATGAATTCGTCTTACATGAAGTTCCGACATGTAGAATTTGTTTCTCTCGATCAAAAACGGCGATCATTTTGTCATTGTTTACTGCTATGGATGCATCGTATTCATATACATATGTATAGTCTTTCATGTGTTTAAAGGGCAACAGAGACTCAAGTTTTTTGTCCCCATGCTCATCAAATATCAACAACTGGTAACTCCATGGTTGACCATGGCTTTCTCGCAATCTCGTGAAGAGGTAAAGGTTATCTTCGGCATCGATATCCATCGCAACAACCTCGCAACGTGGCAAATCCTCTTGTTTGGAAGGATCAAATATTGTACGGGATTCTCCTGAGGGTTTCAATATTTGTACAGAACCAACTCTCGCTGTTTCCGCAACAATTTCTCTTTTGCTATTTACAACACAACGAGATTCATCAATACTTTTGGAAAATGTGTAACCCAGGTACGGCGACTTAATAGATACACCAGACTCTTTGTATTTTTTACTAAGGCGATCACTCCCGACTAATGGATGATGAGTTTTCTTTCCAAGCAAAATCGCGGGCCAATTAAAAAATACTGTTTGCAAGTTCGAAAACCTTTTGGCGAATTCAAACAAAAACAGATTCATTTGATGAACTGACGAAGCATTGTTGAGTCGCTTCGTTTTATTAAACCGAGATTTAATTCCGCCGTCAATCACAACAGAAAATATTTCTTGAATAGCTTTGATATCATGAAGCTCCTTCAGGTATTGTTGGCAATCGCTTACCCCGGCGTCAGGATCTTCTGATTTTTCGCAAATCCTGGCCATCATTCGAACCTGCGTCGCTTGAATTCGGTCCTCGATGGACAAAGCTTCGTTGCTGAATGCTTCGGTGGCTTTTTCACGAGCGAGTTTGAACGACTCTATGGCAGAGAGATAGCGTTCCTTGGAATGTATTTTCAATGAATTGAAGGTGTTTATCAAAGACGTGACTTCGTTGATTTGAGAAACTGGAACAGTTTCTTCAGAAGACGTAGCTCCAACTGAGGTTGCTTGTTCGGTTGATTCTGATCCATTCTCGGACGCATTAAACTGTTGTATTGACTGGTAAAGACCATTGATTCCTTCCTGAAGAAAACAAAAACTGCTCAGTAAATCCTTTTTCGCTAATCCATCCAACTTCGTCTTAATATCATCGAGTTCTCTCGCGATCAAGCGTCGACATTCTTCGTCCGTGACGTCGCCATCGTTTAAACGTTCTGAGCTTTTACTGCGAGCCTTGTCCACTAAAAATCCAAATGTCAGCTTCAAAACTCTAATAACGATCTCAGTCATCTTGAAATAAACGGAGCGTTCTTCAAATAAAACGTTATATTAACTGCTTGTGAAACTGTCGCAAGATCAACACACCTTCTAATTTTATTCAAATTCAAACCAACTTATATATTGTCTCAAAAAATTCCGAACTTCGGGAGAGTTCGCTACTCCCTGCTGGGCATTTCAAAAACTGATTCTTTAGAGAGGGAATCAGAGTTTTTATTGTAAACAAACGCTTAGTGTCTCAGATTATGATGTATTGTGTGCATATCAACTCAATATTGGTTTGATGTGCTCCTAAATGAATATGAAACTAGAATATGTTTGTAAAAAAAAGTCGAAATAAAGACTGTTTCTTACGAGTCCATCACGAGACCAACACACCTACCCACCGCCCAGCAAGACGTCTAATTTAATTCAAATTTAAATTCAAACGACTTCATTGTCTTGTACTCGAGAAATTGCCGCGTCAGGAAAGACTGGAAAGTTCTCTTTCGAAAATTTCAAAGATTCTTCAGAGAGGGGTTCCAAGTTTTTGATATAAAAAACTTTTGTTTGCCGATTTCAAACTTCTTTGTTTCTTCAAAATACGATGTACTGTCTGCATAACTTACACAAAATTAGTCAGCCGTGCTTCTAAATGAATATGGGAAGGTCGGTGATATTATGATACACCATCCAGTTGGTCTTATGTAGTCTAAATATTGTTCTATACTGTAATTAAATTTGACTACCTTTTTATATTACTATTCCCGTAGTTTAGTCTGATGAAATATCTTCAATTTGTAGTCAATATCTTTATTTTGTTCGTGCATGATGCAGACAATTGCCCTAATCTTCTTCCTCCGGTGATTTTGTATTTTCAGGTGAAACGGACAAAGAATAGACACAAATATCGTGATTATTCGCATCACGGGGAGAGTTCGTTTCAACGTGAATACGATAGAAGATTTCGAGTAAGTATTTGATGCATCTTTTCTACTCATCGCAAAAACCCTACTTGAAAGTTCGATGTGAGTTTTGCGTATAATTTTTGCGTATATGTGACTTTTGACAAATGTGAATGCGTAATTACTTACGAATGCTCTGATGTTTAAGAGCTTTCATTTGAACATCAATCACTAATTCACTCGTTCACATCTATCAAAAGAAGAAAATCGCTGCAAAAGTTCCAAGTTTAAACGAGCCCTTTAGCCTGTCACTTTGCAGCTGCTTTCATGTCGTTGAGAAGCCGTGAAATTGCCTTATTTGAAAGCGTTGTAAGAACGAGAACGCTGTCGTGGCGCCACAAGTTATGCACACCTCTGACATATTGTCTCGTGTGTGGAGTTTCTTTGTTTTGCGAGCGTCGTCGAGCTGGCCGCGTCTTGAATCTTAAACTCCCTACTGTGACGAGAAAGTCTTTATAAAGTTATTGTATCGGTCATATCGTGTCAAAATCGAAACCTAATTCAAACCAAATCGCCCTAAACTATTCTTTTTCCAGCGCCAATTTTTAAAACCGATGTGCGCTCGCAATGGTTAAAATATTTTTCTCAAATTTTAGCAGGAAAACCGACATTCCACGTCTTCAAGTGGTTGGCACAAGCGTAGCTATGATCGTCACTCGCGGCGTGATAAAAGATGATGTCATTTCATTTCTGGAATCGACTGGAAAAGACTGAAGAAGCTGCCTCATGTTGGTACAGTCCAGATCCAAAATGGGTTTTTATATTTAACTGTGCAACTTCAAATGTATTGGAGTCAAAATAGGTGGGTGAGAATTGAGGGGGTGGGTGAGGCATTGTGTGTGAGGAGACCACTGGAGGTATTTTACAATTCAATTATAGAAACATTGTCAATGGTATTGTATTTTTATTTAAAAATTGGCTATAGTCTATTTTATTATTTCCAGCTATAGTTTTTTGTATACATTCTTGTTCCAACATCTGGTAAGCAGAAAGTTCTGGTGCACAAGGTATCAAGTGATTTCAATTCCATCATAAAAGTTTTAAAATCTCATCAACTATGGTGATGGTCAAGCAACTGGCTAAAATATATAATTAAGGATTGTTCAACAGTGTTTCTTTTCCAGAGCTATAATTTTGCTTGAAACTTGTGTTTCACAAAAAAATAAACTTTTTTATCTAATTTTACTGCATGTCTATGAAAAAGTCATTCTGTATAAAATATTACAAAATTGCCAATTCTTAAATTTGATGACTGACAATGAAAAACTGTTTATCAACAATACTCTACAATGTCCATGCCCCAATTACAAATTTGGGGAGTGTCTTTTAATGATTTTTTTGATATGTCATGCATGTGATTTAAAATTACACTGATGTGATCATGTGAATGGTAAAATATTAATGGCTTATAGTGAACAAAAAGTCAATCCTCACAGGATGACAGTCACACACAGAGAGAGTTCAGTGATTTCAGAGAGTTATGAGTCATACAAGAATAAAAATAATTTCTCTGAACACTTTGTATGTGATTGTCATTCTGTGGGAATTGATTTGACTAATTTAAAGTTTTATTTACCATGCATTTATTGCATTGTCTTTTGATCTATGCCCATAGTGCATTTTTTAATATTTGCCTTTTATATGAAAATAAGTCCACTACAGTTGAAGAAAAGTTAAGCGCTCTTTCCAAACCAAAGCAACTGCACCATGGAGATTAGAAATTATCTGAGCGAAGGGCGAATACTCCAGATAAACATCGTCTTTCAGTTCTCCTGTTTCTGAGAAACTACAAAGATAACGTCCAAACTTAGTTAAAACCAGGATCCGTTTTGTGATGTAAATTATCGCAACAGAATAAATAGATCCATATTTTTTAGGTATCATAACTTTGCGTTCCAACTTGCCGTTCTCCGTGTAGATATAAAAACAAGGTTCAAAATAACCTGCAGCAATTATTTTTGTTGCATTATTATCTAGAAACCGTATCATAGTCACATCGTCAGATAATTCTTTGAGATGAAAACTATTATGGACTTCAAATGAATTCGTCTTACATGAAGTTCCGACATGTAGAATTTGTTTCTCTCGATCAAAAACGGCGATCATTTTGTCATTGTTTACTGCTATGGGTACAACATATCCAAATATATCCACGCGCAAACCGCGAAACATTTGTCCATTGTATTCTGCCATGAGTTTAAACTGACGATATTTATTGATTACGGTGTTTTCAAAAGGCAACAAAGACTCAAGTTTTTTCTCTCCATTCTCATCAAATATCATCAACTTGTAACTCCATGGTTGATCATCGCTTTCTCGAAATGCCGTGATGACGTAAAGGTTATCTTCAGCATCGATATCCATCGCAGCAACCTTGCAACTTGGCAAATCCTCTTGTTTGGAAGGATCAAATATGGTACGGGATTCTCCTGAGGGTTTCAAGATTTTAACAGAATCATCTCTCGGTATTTTCGCAACAACTTCTCTTTTGCTATTTACAAAACAACGAGATCGATCAATACTTTCGGAAAATGTGTAACGCAGGTACGGCGACGTAATTTCCACACCAGACTCTTTGTATTTTTCAATAAGGGGATCATTCCCGACTAATGGATGATGAGTTTTCTTTCCAAGCAAAATCTTGGGCCAATCAAAAATCACTGTTTGCAAGTTCGAAAACCTTTTGGCAAACTCAAATAAAAGCAGATTCATTTGGTAAACAGACGAAGCATTGTTGAGTCGCTTCGTTTTATTAAACGGAGATTTAATTCCGCCGTCAATCACGACAGAAAATATTTCCTGAATAGCTTTGACATCATGAAGCTGCTTCAGGTATTGTAGGCAATCGCTTACCCCCGCGTCAGGATCTTCTGATTTTTCTAAAATTCTGGCCATCATTCGAACCTGCGTCGCTTGAATTCGGTCCTCGATGGACAAAGCTTCGTTGCAGAATGCTTCGGTGGCTTTTTCACGAGCGAGTTTGAACGACTCTATGGCAGAGAGATAGCGTTCCTTGGAATGCATTTTCAACGAATTGAAGGCGTTTATCAAAGACATAACCTCGTTGATTTGAGAAACAAGACCAGTTTCTTTAGAAGACGTAGCTCCAGCTGAGGTTGCTTGTTCGGTCGATTCTGATCCATTCTCGAATGCCTTAAACTGTTGTAGGGACTGATAAAGACCATTGATTCCTTCTTCCAGAAAACAAAGACTGCTCAGTAAATCCTTTCTCGCCAATCCATCCAACTTCCTCTTTATATCATCGAGTTCTCTCACGATCAAGCGTCGACATTCTTCGTCCGTGACGTCGCCATCGTTTAAACGTTCTGAAATTTTACTGCGAGCCTTGTTCACTAAGAATCCAAATGTCAGCTTCAAAACTCCGCTAACGATCTCAGTCATCTTGAAATTTTCGAGGCGTTCTCCACAACAAACATTATAAATACTTGCAACTTGAGACGGTCACAAGATCAACACATGACATAAATATCTGGTGATTTATTTGCATATCTTTGCCTGAAACAAAAATTACCAAGTCTTCTAACGAAGGCCCTGAGCTCGAAACGTCGAGAAGTAGAAATATTTTCGTCTGTTTTAGGCAGTTGGTATACCACATTTTATACTTATATCGCAAAGTAGACCATAATGGGAAAGGTTATTAACTGCATTAGTAATAATTTTAGCCGTAGTAATCTGAGACAATCAAAATATCAAAATTACATTCAACTACTGTTTTTATCCTATGATCGAAACAAATATTCCCGCGATAAATCGCCTTTATGCTAATATTAGGTTTGCGAATCTCTTTCTCCGAAAGTGTATTTTTGACTTGTTAGAAAGATTTTTAGAAATAATGTTCATAACATGTTGTTTAAGTACACACCAGTGATGATATGTATTTTCATTCAGATTCGAATTCAAATAACTTCATTTAACAAATTCCAGCGTCAGGAAAGTTCTTTGCTTCCTTCGCATTTCATGTCTTTGGAGAGGTAGTGACAATTTTTAATACATAAAAAAACGTTTGCTTAATTGCTATGTGTCTTCAGAATACGATGCACTGTCTGCGTATCTAACACAAATTATTTTGCCGTTCTTCTAAATGATTATGAACTACAGTTCGTGTAAAAAAAGTCGAAATAAGGAGAAAATGATTAGAAATATTTTGTAGCAGAAAATGTGTAAGCCTTGTACGCAGCGCGTCCCTATTTTTTTACACGTGTCAGAAACAATGAGAGCGAGGCTGTGATTGTTCCCAACATGAACATAATGGAAATTTCTGTATGAAATATTTGAAAACATTTGACTTTATTTTACAAGTTTTGCCACAATGAAGAGCTTGTTTTTGCCGTTTCTGTTTGGTTTACTTGTGTCCGCGTTCTTCTCCGTCTCGCGTAGTTCAAACACGGAGAAAAACAATCCGTTTCGCATGGGAAGAGTGAACATAGTTTGGCAAAAGGCGAAGCAGTTGTTGTAATCACAAGAGAAGTTGGACGCGTTGTACGTTGAGCTGGAGCGGCAAAACAGAGACGAGATAAAATGGAAACATCAGAAACAAGATGGAAAGGATAATCTCGGCGAAGCTGAGGCGATTATCAGACGGAATTTGATGAATATTATGGAAAGGTACGGGTTGTTGGGTGCTGGGGAGGAAGGCCAGGATCATATTGAGACGAATCGGGCACACGACTCGTCGTTCAAGAAAGACGAGAGGCTAGAGAAATTGTGGGAACACGCCAAAAATGAAGGTAAACAACAGAGTTGTTATTGATCTACTTAATATATACTCTACACTATTCATTGATCACCCACAATCTACCCTTTACCTCTACACTATTCATTGATCACCCATAATCTACCCCTTACCTCTACACTATTCATTGATCACCCATAATCTACCCCTTACCTCTACACTATTCATTGATCACCCATAATCTACCCCTTACCTCTACACTATTCATTAATCACCCATAATCTACCCCTTACCTCTACACTAGTGATTCATTCATCACCCACAATCCACCTCATACCTCTCATCTACTCACCTCCCCCTCACTCAGACCTTATCATAGTCCCAAGAATGTACTAAATTTCAAATTTAACTTCTCCGCAGCATGATTTAGCAAAGAAGAATTAGAAAAGCTGCGCGAGGAACTAACCCACCATCACGATAAATGGAAGCAGTACAGGGATTTGGTTGGAATTGTTTTCGCACATAAAGACAGGCAGAATAACATTATTGGAAAGAACATACCACATGAGGAAGCTTTCTCAAAGCTTTAAGAGGAAATGAACATGAAGCGTAGAGAAGTGGACAGCAGCTACCGTCGGTTAAAAAAGAAAGTTTTGTCTGGAGCTCCCAATGAAGAATTTCAAGACCATCGCGTCAGAGATTTGTGGAAAGGAGCTCAGGTTCAAGGGTACTCGGAGGAAGAGCTTGACATCATGAAAGTACGTTTTCAATGCCCTTTGCATAATAGATCAACTTGTGAACCAGTTAACAAGAAGGAAATAAATCACCACAGCTAAAAAGAGCATACAAAAATTAGTATAATTACCATGTTTGACTGCAAAATGCTTTGTAGTAAGGTAAATATAGCCATGCAAAATTTTGTATACTTTTTTTACTGGAAGCATGTAACTAAATTGGTTGTGTACAGTAACTAAATAAGTATGCAAAATTCCCAAATTCGCATAGCTGTATTTTCCACACTTTATACAATATTTCACAGCCAAACTTGGCAATTTTACTAAGTTTAGTGTGCACTTTTCTGAATTTCCTTTTTTGTTGCCTAAATCAAAAGTTGGTTTATTAGGCAAAAGGTTTATTCTTCAGCAAAATCTCAAACGTGTTTGTTATTGGCTTGTTGCCTGAAACATTTGGTTTATATTTCAGGAAGAATTACGGCACTTTGATAACAGGATAGCCAAGCATGATGACCTTCAAGAACAGCTTGATGTTGCAGAGGATATGCTTAACAATGGCCATGATCACATTAAACCCAAGTTTGAAAAGTTGACTGAAAAAGTGAACGAACACAGAAAATATGTAAGAAACTGTGTCAATGTTTGTTACCGTCATTGCAATGAAAGTGCTTGTATTACGGATCTCACCGAACTTTGGTGAGACATTAAAAATTTGTAATCACACCCACAAACATTCACGACCATACCTACAATTATAACAGTTTATAGCCGCATTATTATTGAGCTTTAGCAAGTGATATTTTTTACAACACAAATGGCGTGAGATTGGGTCAAGGATTGTGATTGGTGAAAAACAAAAAACTTTACTTCCGGTCAATGTAAACATCCCTTGCAATGTATGTGTGGTTGCGAATGTTAGTGGATGTGAATGGCATACAAATTTTTGATACATCACTGCAGTTTTGTGAGATCCGTAATAAAACATTTGTTACCTGAAGTTGATCAATACATTTGTTTCAAAATTGCTGAACTAATTGTTTACTGGAATGCTTGTTCATGATTAGTCAAAACCATTGGTCGACTTGCACATACAGAAATTTGATCAATTTTTCGACAAATGTCCTCATCAACTTAGGTACTGTACTTATGAAATACTATTTCTGTCACAATGAGAGTAAATTGTTAGCAATATAGCACCACTGACTAACAACTGGTGATAATTACATGTTTATAACTATGATTGTTGTCTTCAGATAAAGAAGTTACACACAACACTGGAGAAGAGAATAGGACCTCGTAATGAGTTGTGATTGAAATTACTTTCAAGAAGTGATGGTCAGATACTAAAGTATGGTGTATGCATACCATATGGTATATGGATTAAATTCTTGTGAGTGTAATGCTTGGAAGATGGTTGAATTTGATGAATATTATGGAAAGGTACGGGTTGTTGGGTGCTGGGGAGGAAGGCCAGGATCATATTGAGACGAATCGGGCACACGACTCGTCGTTCAAGAAAGACGGGAGGCTAGAGAAATTGTGGGAACACGCCAAAAATGAAGGTAAACAACAAAGTTGTTATTGATCTAGTTAATATATACTCTACACTATTCATTGATCACCCACAATCTACCCCTTACCTTTCACCCACTCACCTCCCCCTTTTAGCCTATCACTTTGCAGCTGCTTTCATTTCATTGAGAAGCTGTGAAATTGTCTCATTTGAAAGCGTTGTAAGAACGAGAACGCTGTCGTGGCACCACTAGTTATGTACACCTATGACCTATTGTCTCGTGTGTGTAGTTTCTTTGTTTTGCGAGCGCGTTGTCGAGCTGGCCGCGTCTTGAATCTTAAACTCCCTACTGTGACGAGAAAGTCTTTGTATAAAAGCTATTGTATCGGTCATATCCTGTCAAAATCGAAGCCTAATTCAAACCAAATCGCCCTAAACTATTCTTTTTCCAGCGCCAATTTAAAACTGATGTGCGCTCGCTATGATTCTAATATTTTTCTCAAATTTTAGCAGGAAAACCGACATTCCACGTCTTCAAGCGGTTGGCACAAGCGTAGATATGATCGTCACTCGCGGCGTGATAGGCGATGATGTCATTTCATTTCTGGAATCGACTGGAAAAGACTGAAGAAGCTGCCTCATGTTGGTATAGTCCAGATGCAAAATGGGTTTTTATATTCAACTGTGCAACTTTCAAATGTATGGGAGTCAAAATAGGTGGGTGAGAATTGAGGGGGTGGGTGATCATGTGAATGGTAAAATCTTACTGGCTTATAGTGAACAAAAAGTCAATCCTCACAGGATGACAGTCACACACAGAGAGAGTTCAGTGATTTCAGAGAGTTATGAGTCATACAAGATTAAAAATAATTTCTCTGAACTCATTGTATGTGATTGTCATCCTGTGGGAATTGACTTGACTAATTCAAGTTTTATTTACCATGCATTTATTGCATTGTCATTTGATCTATGCCAATAGTGCATTTTTTTAATATTTGCCTTTTATATGAAAATAAGTCCACTACAATTGAAGAAAAGTTACGCGCTGTTTCGAAACCAAAGCAACTGCACCATTGGGATTAGAAATAATCTCAACGAAGGACGAAGACTCCAGATCAACATCGTCTTTCAATTCTCCTGTTTCTGAGAAACTACAAGATTTCACGGTTAGTTAAAACCAGGATCCGTTTTGTGATGTAATTTATCGCAACAGAATAAATATATCCATATTTTTGAGGTATCATAACTTTGCGTTTCAACTCGCCGTTCTCCCTGTAGATATAAAAACAATCCTCAAAATAGATTGCAGCAATTATTTTTGTTCCATTATTATCTAGAAACCGTATCATATTCCCTATGTCAGATAATTCTTTGAGATGAAAACTATTTTGGACTTCAAATGAATTCGTCTTACATGAAGTTCCGTCATGTAGAATTTGTTTCGCTCGATCAAAAACGGCGATCATTTTGTCATTGTTTACTGCTATGGGTACGTCATATGCATATATATCTACTTTCATGTGTTGAAAAGGCAACAGAGACTCAAGTTTTTTCTCTCCATGCTCATCAAATATCAACAACTTGTAACTCCATAGTTGATCATCGCTTTCTCGAAATCTCGTGATGACGTAAAGGTTATCTTCGACATCGATATCCATCGCAACAACCTTGCAACGTGGCAAATCCTCTTCTGTGGAAGAATCAAATATTGTACGGGATTCTCCTGAGGGTTTCAAAATTTGAACAGAATCATTTCTCGCTATTTTCGCAACAATTTCTCTTTTGCTATTTACAACACAACGAGATTCATCAATATTTTTGGAAAATGTGTAACCCAGGTTCGGTGACGTAATTTCCACACCAGGCTCTCTGTATTTTTCAATAAGGCGATCACTCCTGACTAATGGATGATGAGTTTTCTTCCCAAGCAAAATCTTGGGCCAATCAAAAAACACTGTTTGCAAGTTCGAAAACCTTCTGGCAAACCCAAACAAAAGCAGATTCATTTGGTGAACAGACGAAGCATTTTTGAGTCGCTTCGTTTTATTAAACCGAGATTTAATTCCGCCGTCAATCACAACAGAAAATATTTCTTGAATAGCTTTGATCTCATGAAGCTCCTTCAGGTATTGTAGGCAATCGCTTACCCCCGCGTCAGGATCTTCTGATTTTTCTAAAATTCTGGCCATCATTCGAACCTGCGTCGCTTGAATTCGGTCCTCGATGGACAAAGCTTCGTTGCTGAATGCTTCGGTGGCTTTTTCACGAGCAAGTTTGAACGATTCTATGGCAGAAAGATAGCGTTTCTTGGAATGCATTTCCAATGATTTGAAGGCGTTTGTTAAAGACATAACCTCGTTGATTTGAGAAACAAGACCAACTTCCTCAGAAGACGTAGCTCCAGCTGAGGTTGCTTGTTCGGTCGTTTCTGATCCATTCTCGGATTCCTTAAACTGTTGTAGCGACTGATAAAGACCATTGATTCCTTCTTGAAGAAAACAAAAACTGCTCAGTAAATCCTTTCTCGCCAATCCGTCCAATTTCCTCTTAATATCATCGAGTTCTCTCACGATCAAGCGTCGACATTCTTCGTCCGTGACGTCGCCATCGTTTAAACCTTCTGCAATTCTACTGCGAGCCTTGTTCACTAAAAATCCAAACGTCAGCTTCAAAACTCCGCTAACGATCTCAGTCATCTTGAAATAAACGAAGCGTTCTTCAAACAAGATCAACACACCCTCTAATTTCATTCAAATTCAAACCAACTTATATATTGTCTCAAAAAATTCCGAACTTCGGGAGAGTTCGCTACTCCCTGCTGGGCATTTCAAAAACTGATTCTTTAGAAAGGGAATCACAGTTTTTATTGTAAGCAAACGCTTAGTGTCTCAGATTATGATGTATTGTGTTCATATCAACTCAATATTGGTTTGATGTGCTCCTAAATGAAAATGAACTAGAATATGTGTGCTAAAAAGTTGAAATAAAGACTGTTTCTTACGAGTCAATCAGTGACAATCACAAGACCAACATACCCATCCATCGCCCAGCAAGACGTCTAATTTCATTCAAATTTAAATCCAAACCATTGTCTTATACTCGAAAAATTTCAACGTTAGCAAAGTTCTGTTTCGAAAATTTCAAAAATTCTTCAGAGAGGGGTTCCAAGTTTTTGATATAAAAAACTTTTGTTTACCGATTTCAAACTTCTATGTTTCTTCAAAATACGATGTACTGTCTGGATATCTTACACAAAATTAGTTGGTAATGCTTCTAAATGAATATGGGAAGGTTGGTGATATTATGATACACCATCCAGTTGGTCTTATGTAGTCTGAACATTGTTCTATACTGTAATTAAAGTTGACTACCTTTTTATATTACTATTCCCGTAGTTTAGTCTGATGAAATATCTTCAATTTGTAGTCAATATGTTTATTTTGTTCGTGCATGATGCAGACAATTGCCCTAATCGTCTTCCTCGGGTAATTTTATATTTTCAGGTGAAACGGACAAAGAATAGACACAAATATCGTGATTATTCGAATCACGGGGAGAGTTCGTTTCAACGTGAATACGATAGAAGATTTCGAGTGAGTATTTGATATGTATCTTTTCTACTCATCGCAAAAACCCTACTTGCAAGTTCGATGTGAGTTTTGCTATAATTTTTGCGTATATGTGACTTTTGACAGATGTGAATGCGTAATTACTCACGAATGCTCTGATATATAAGAGCTTTTATTTGAACCTCAGTAACTAAATCACTCGTTCACATCTATCAAAAGAAGAAAATCGCAGCAAAAATCGCAAGTGTAAACGAGCTCTTTAGCCTATCACTTTGCAGCTGCTTTCATGTCGTTGAGAAGCCGTGAAATTTCCTCATTTGAAAGCCTTGTAAGAACGAGAACGCTGTCGTGGCACCACAAGTTATGCACACCTATGACGTATTGTCTCGTGTGTGGAGTTTCTCTGTTTTGCGAGCGCGTCGTCGAGCTGGCCGCGTCTTGAATCTTAAACTCTCTACTGTGACGAGAAAGTCTTTATAAAGCTATTTATTGTATCCCCCATTATCCTGTCAAAATCGAAACTTAATTCAAACCAAATCGCCCTAAACTATTCTTTATCCAGCGCCAATTTAAAACTGATGTGCGCTCGCCATGATTCTAATATTTTTCTCAAATTTTAGCAGGAAAACCGACATTCCACGTCTTCAAGTGGTTGGCACAAGGGTAGCTATGATCGTCACTCGCGGCGTGATAGGCGATGATGTTATTTCATTTCTGGAATCGACTGGAAAAGTCTGAAGAAGCTGCCTCATGTTGGTACAGTCCAGATCCAAAATGGGTTTTTATATTTAACTGTGCAACTTCAAATGTATGGGAGTTGAAATAGGTGGGTGAGAATTGAGGGGGTGGGTGAGGCATTGTGTGTGAGGAGACCACTGGAGGTATTTTACAATTTAATTACAGAAACATTGTCAATGGTATTGTATTTTTATTTAAACAATAGCTATGGTCTATTTTATCATTTCCAGCTATAGTTTTTTTGTATACATTCTTGTTCCAACATCTGGTAAGCAGAAAGTTCTGGTACACAAGGTATCAAGTGATTTCAATTCTATTATAAAAGTTTTAAAAGCTCATCAGCTATGGTGATTGTCAAGCAACTGGCTAAAATATATAATTAAGGATTGTTCATCAGTTCAGTGTTGCTTTTCCAGAGCTATAATTTTGCTTGAAACTTGTGTTTCACAAAAAAATAAACTTTTTTATCTTATTTTACTGCATGTCTATGAGAAAGTCATTCTGTATAAAATGTTACAAAATTGGCAATTCTTGAATTTGATGACTGACAATAAAAAACTGTTTATCAACAATACTCTACAATGTCCATGCCCCAATTACAAATTTGGTGAGTGTCTATTAATGATTTTATTCATATGTGATGCATGATTCTTCTAACGAAGGCCCTGAGCTCGAAACGTCGAGAAGTAGAAATATTTTCGTCTGTCTTAGGCAGTTGTTATAGCACATTTAATACTTAGATCGCAAAGTGGACCATAGGCATAATGGGAAAGGTCATTAACTGCATTAGTAATAATTTTAGCCGTAGTAATCTGAGACAATCAAAATATCAAAATTACATTCAACTACTGTTTTTATCCTATGATCGAAACAAATATTCCCGCGATAAATCGCCTTTATGCTAATATTAGGTTTGCGAATCTCTTTCTCCGAAAGTGTATTTTTGACTTCTTAGAAATCTTTTTAGAAATAACGTTCATAACATGTTGTTTAAGTACAAACCAGTGATGATATCTATTTTCATTCAGATTCGAATTCAAACAACTTCATATAACAAATTCCAGCGTCAGGAAAGTTCGTTGCTTCCTTCGCATTTCACATAAAAAAACGTTTGCTTAATTGCTATGTGTCTTCAGAATACGATGCACTGTCTGCATACCTAACACAAAATTAGTTGGCCGTTCTTCTTAATGATTATGAACTACAGTTCGTGTAAAAAAAGTCAAAATAAGGAGAAAATGATTAGAAATATTTTGTAGCAGAAAGTGTGTAAGCCTTGTACGCAGCGCGTTCCTATGTTTTCACACGTGTCAGAAACAATGAGAACGAGGCTGTGATTGTTCCCAACATGAACAAAATGGAAATTTCTGTATGAATTATTTGAAAACATTTGACTTTATTTTACAAGTTTTACCACAATGAAGAGCTTGTTTTTGCCGTTTCTGTTTGGTTTACTTGTGTCCGCGTTCTTCTCCATCTCGCGTAGTTCAAACACGGAGAAAAACAATCCGTTTCGCATGGGAAGAGTGAACATAGTTTGGCAAAAGGCGAAGCAGTTGTTGTTATCACAAGAGAAGTTGGACGCGTTGTACGTTGAGCTGGAGCGGCAAGACAGTGACGAGATAAAATGGAAACATCAGAAACAAGATGGGAAGGATAATCTCGGCGAAGCTGAGGCGATTATCAGACGGAATTTGATGAATATTATGGAAAGGTACGGGTTGTTGGGTGCTAGGGAGGAATGGCTATAGTCTATTTTATCATTTCCAGCTATAGTTTTTCATATATAATCTTGTCCCAACATCTGGTAAGCAGAAAGTTCTGGTACACAAGGT